TTTATCCATACAGTTTCTGATCAGATCAACTGGTGCCAAACACAGATGCTTTACTATGTAGTTACACTAAAGAGTGAGTTTCTGGAGCTGTATAAATCAGATATGCTTTCCCTCTGCCTTCAGCCAGGAGTTGTTAGAATTTAGTTTCTTCTTCCTCCTGCTCTACCAACCTCTTCTCCTCCCCCTCCCCTTCTTGCTGGGGATTGAATCCAGGATCTCTGCACTGAGCTACAACTCTAGCCTTGCCCGACCAATCCACTTTTAGTTTTTGAGGCACGGTCTTGCTATGTAGTCTAGACTGGCCTTGAATTCACATTGATCCTCCTGCCTCAGCCTACCAAGTCCTGGAGTTACAGGGGTATCCACCACACCTGGCTGTCTCCAGCCTTTTTTAAAATTATTTTTTTATTTTAAGACTGAGTCTTGCTAAGTTGCCTGGGTTGGGCTCAAACTTGTAATCCTTTTCTCCCAGCCTCCTATCATAGTGCTGGAAGGACAGGTCTGTGCCGTGATACCTGGCACTTGTTTTTATTTCTAATTGAACAAAGTACCAGTTAATAAGCCTGCATCAGCTCATCTGGGGCAGAAGTGCTGATTTCATTCTCTGCAGCTGGGAAACCTCCAGCTACACACTCTGTCTTTTGCACTTACTGAATTCCTCCAGGAAGTAGACCACAGATTCCGTGGAATGGGATGATGTTAGAATCCTTGTTTATCAGCCTAGTTTTTACCCTCTTATTTACTGTTGGTCTTCAGTTACTTCATAACAGACCTTTGTTACGAAATCAGGCTTTCTGTGTCCCTCAGAGGCACTGGAAACCAGCTTGCCACAACACATAGATTTCCTTCAGTGCTGGTGAAGGCAGCTCTGGGCTGGTCCCCATTTCTGTAACTTTGAATAAATTGGAAATCTGTTTGGATCCAGAGGAGGGAGGAGGCCTGGGAGAAGATGAGATGTAGTTCTTTGCGAGTACAAATTAGAGACTGTGAAATGGTCCCTTGCTAGTATGACCTGAGTCTTCCCCAAGTGGCTGGGGCTCAATTTGACTGCTGTGGGTGTGGCTAGTGCCCATAGGACTCGGAAGTGTAAGAGCAGGCTGCATTTCAGCCTCCCACTCGCTGCCTGTCTTCCTTGTTGATTCTAGGGTGAAAGAGAGGCTGGATTTGGAGGCCAAAGACTGTCATTCGAGGCCTTTCTGATTTAAGAGAAGCCATGATGTGTAAATGAATGGATTTGGCTGTGTTTCAGTAAAACTTTATTTACAAATAGCCAGCTGATAGACCACTAGTTGTTACCCTCACCCCCAGGCAGAAAGCATCTGATACAGGGTTTGGTGTCTCATTGGTCTGCAAGAAATGAAAGCCATTTACTTTTCTTCCTTTTCAGCTTTATTGATATATGGACAGATAAAAATTGCATATATTTAGGATATGCAGCTTGCCATTTTGGTGTATATGAAAGCCATTGTTACTGTTTTTACTGTTATGCCATTTCTTGAGCTTGTACTTAACCAGGTACTATTCTAAGTACTTAGCCACTGAGTACTTCAATATTTGCCACTAAGCAACTCGCCTAAGGTCCTACAGCTACTGCATGGCAGAGCTGACAGTCAGCTGCTTTATATGAGAGGCACCCCTGCCCCCTTCTCCCTCTTTCTTTTTCCCTTCTGGCACTTGCCACCTTTTATATGCTTCTATATTTATGCATGTCCACCTGTCCCTTGGGGTGGGAGCAGGGACCTTATCACCTGGTTCACAGCCTTGAGCTCAGTGCATAACCCTCATCCTGGCATATGAGCAGGTCTTCGCTAAATATTTGCCTAAGAAATAAATGCATCATTGCCAGCTGTTCCCCACCCTCTTGTCTCTTCTGTGCCAGAAAGCGCTGAAGCTTTTCACAGTAGGTAGGGCTTAGGCTGTGGTCTCAGTGAATTTATGATTCCCTGATAACTCACCACCCGCTGTCTGGGGTGGGGGCAGGCTGGTGGGCAGGAAGGTGCTCACTCTTCTGGAAGAGTACCCAGGCTGCAATAAAATGTTTTCTGCCTGGCCTAAAATGCCGTTATCTCTACCTCCTCCTTAAATGATGTTGCTACCTTTGTTTGGAAGAATCCACCTCACCACACAGCCTTACTTAGCCTCCTGGCAGCCTATGAGGTAAACTAAGCTGTGGGACTCATTCTCCCATTTTTCAGGTATGTAAACCAAGGCTCCAAGGCAAAGGGACTTGGCCCAAGGTCATTTCAGCTAAAAAATACCAGAGCTAGGATTTGAAACTGGCTCCACGATCTGCTTTTGGTTAGTCTGCAACGCTGGTCCCTGGACCAGGAGCATCAATTTAATGTGCTAAAAATATGTTCATGCCAGGGCCCAACAGAAGATGTCTTGATTTAGTCATTTTGGAGTGGGGCCCTGGACATCTGTGTTCAGCAGAGTCCATAGCTGATTCTCCTGGGATAGGGACTGGGAACCTCCTGCCTTCATAGCACAGGCGGCTTGTTAGGGTTGCTGCAGGGGATTTACATTTAAATTTTATGACATAAACTAGATGGCCTGGTATAATTTGCTGCTGTGGACTTTACCCCCCATCACCTGCATAGATATTTCAGTGTATGTTATTGGAGTGTATGCACTGTTTTGCTTTACTTTTGATCTTTTAATTTGGAGATAGTTTGGATCCCAAAAAATTGCAAAAATGCTAAGAGTTTTCATGTACCTTCGACCCCACTTTCTCCAATGATAATACCCAAAAAATGAAGTATTGAAGAAACTGGATGGCAATACCATTGTTGTTTAATAGCATCAAATGTTCCAATAAATCATTGTGGCTGCAGAATGGCTTGTTATATCATTAGATAATATTATTTTATTCCTTCTTTTGTTGGTGACCTTTTCTATGAAAGGATACTCCTCCTCTCTTTGTTCACCCTGTGTGGTGATCCATTTAGAAAAAGTTGGAGTGGGGAAATGTTTGTTTCTTTTACTTTTTTCTGTTTCCAAAACAATGACCAAGTTTCCTAAGCATCTTTTTTAAATGGTTAGGTTTTCTAAACATCTTTTCATCAGTGACACCAGGATGTTTGTGTGCTTTCCAGTATCGATTATGAACTTACATATTTAAACACAAATTGTTTTGCACCTTGTCCTTAATATTGACTCTTGTTGGACAACAGGAGCCACCTTTGGTTGCATCTGGGTCTTTTTAACAATCCTCCTCATCTTTGTGTATAACAAGATGTTCCAGGGCTATCTTGGACATTTCCTTGCCAGGGACTCTGCCAAGAATTTAGAAGTTTGAAACAGAAACAAAGTTTCAGTGCCTGACTCCACCCCAAATCAGTTTGCTTTGAAGCCCCCTGGGACGGAAATAGGATATAATGCCTTTTGGAAGGGCACTCCCCACCCAGGTGGAATGCACTTGAGACAGAGACAGTAGAGTGTGAGAGTGTGTTGTCTGAGCCAGAGTCTCCTCAAACTGGTGGAACGTGAGCCATGTGGTACCCACCCTGGCTCTGTCCCTTGCCCTGTCTGCATGTTGTTGAGCACGGGCTCATCTCTGTGCCATTAGGAAAGAGGTTGTTTGAAAGCTGGTTCCGAACCTGTCATTGCCCTTCAGATGAAGATGAGCATTCTTTTTTTTTTTTTTGTCTTTTTCATTTTTATCGGTACCAGGGATCGAACTCACGACCGCCTGCTTGCAAGGCAGGTGCTTATGCCGCTGAGCTAAATCCCCAGCCCCCAAGATGAGCATTCTTGATGTCTCCAGTGTAGACTCTGCACAGTCTGCATTGTAGATTGCTCAGGTTGCTGCCTGGGAACTAGAGTCTGTATGCTTCCCTCTACCAAGGCGCTTTAGCACCAAAGGTGGTTTTGGTGACGATGCTGACTCGCCACTGGGGTATCCAACTCAGTCACGGTTTTGTCTCTGTGTTGTTTGCTCATCATTTGATTACTACTGTCTCTGAAACCTGACAATCTGGGGCACATGTCCTGCTCCTGTCACTTAGCTGTGAGACCTCAGAAAGGTCATTTTACTTTTGTTTCTCTGTGTCTTTAACAGCAAGTTGATGGTGATACTTAGACCTGCCTTGTAAGGTGGTCATGCATAGTAAATGAGATAATTTGTGTAAAGCCCTTCGCACTAAACCAACTAGTAGAGCAGGTTAGCAGGTGTTGTTATCAGTAACTGTTGCTACATGCTTTATGAAGTCAGGGATCATATTTGTTCAGATTTGATGCATGGAGGCTGGCACTTGTAGGTGTTCAGAAAACATTTGTTGGATGAATAAATGAAGTGGAAATAATAGTAATAGGTTCACAGAGTTCTCTAGAGATACAGAATAATGCAAGACCATCATTTTTTTTTTGTTTGTTTTTTGAGATAGGGTCTCACTGTGTAGTTCAGGTGGACTTTGACCTCTCAGCAATCCTCCTGCCTCAGTCTCTGAGTGCTGGGTTTACAGGTGTGCATCACCATGCCTGACATGATCATAGTGTTTTGTGTAGTGCCTGGTACATAGTAGCTGCTCAGTAAATGTTTGCTCAGTGAATGAGTAGAGTGCAGTGTGGACAACAGTAACACCAGCCCTGAGGATTATTGTAGGTTTATAGGGAAAGGCAGGTCTGTAGTGCTTTGGAGAGCACCAGACACATAGTAGGTGCTCAGCAAACACATTTTGAACAAACGAGTGACATGGAACAGTGGTAATAACTGGTGGGGTTGCTGTGGGGAATATGTGGCGGGGTGGGCTGTAGCATATTCTTTGTACTTGCACATAGTGGACACAGGAATTTTGTGTGTGTGTGAAATTCGAGGAGCACTCACAGCTTCATTCTTCTGAGGCTTGGGAGAAGGGTTGATGGGGGATGCAGAACAGCATAGGACTGGGTGAGGGTCCTTTTGAAGGCATTGGACTGTTCTTGACTTACCTCTAGCACAGATGAAAAAACTTAACTGGTTATTTCCTATCTCCTCCCCACCCTGTGCTTTTCTCTGCTAGAATCCTTGCCCGGAATCCGGCGCCTCCTTCCTTTCCAGGATCACCTTTTGGTGGATCACAGGGTAAGGCTGGGTCCCCAGTTCTTGGGCAGGTGGTGGGGAATGAATGAATGAATGAATGGATGGATGAGTATGTGTAGTGAGCGTCCCGCACTCTCTTCCACTCACTGCAGAACTCTGTCCTGAGTCCCCCTGCACTGGCCACATGGCCTCAGAGACTCTTTCTGCTCTACATTCTTGAGCTCCAGTGAGTGTGATGTACACACAGACAGGAGCAGCTCACCTCTGTGAAAGGCTTGGGCTAGGCACCGTCCAGCTCCAAGCTCACTTGTGGATTTGGGTGTTTTTTTACACAAAGTAAAGTTATAATCATCCCTGGATATCTGCTGCAGAACCCCTACAAATACTGCAATCCTCTAATGCACAGGTGCCTTGTGTAAAGGAGGGAAGTGTTTTCTTATATCCTGTGCTCATCTTCCTGTGTACTGTCAATTGTATCTAGATTGCTCACCTAATAAAATGTAAATATTATACAGTTTTCATACTGTATTGCTTAGGAATGCTGTGAAGAGAAGCAATTGTCCATGTTCAACACGGACGCATTTTTACGAATATTTTCCTGGTTTGTTGAAACCGTGGGTGTAGGAACTGCACATACAGGAATCTGACTGTGTTATTGCTGACATTGTCTACCTCCTCCCATTACAAAAATCATACACATCACATCATAGCAAATATGGGTCAGAAAAATACACATAGATCAACAGCGAGAAAATACCTAGATGTAACCCCTGTCAGCATCTGGATAGGCTTCTTTCTGATCCTCCTTTGTTGTAGCACATCTTTTCTTGTCCATTGTCAGCACCTTTCTGGGGGTTGTTTGAATCTGCTTTTTCCCTAATAAGCATTATTCTTAGCTCATTAGGAGCTTTTTGTAAGTATATTTCTTAAATGATTTGAAAAATTATTTTGTTAAGTAAGTTAAATTTTTGATACCTGAAAGCTGGGCATGGTGGTCCATGCCTGAAATCTCAGCACTTGAGAGACTGAGACAAGAGGCTGGTCTGGGCTACCTAGGGTGTTCAAGAACAGACTGAACTGCAAAGTGAGATCCTATTTCAAAAATATGAGAAACATCATTGGAAGAGTTAGTGTAGTTAGTGTAGTCTATAGTTTAAATCTGAACTGAAGATTAGAGTCTCCATGCTGATACCATTCTTATTTTTGAACACTGTGTTTTGGTTACATCAGGGCATGACCTTGTTTGCAATGCATTCTAATATTTAGGGACAAATGTGGTAAATTTAAGTGAATTCTTTTGATAGTTTTTTGTAACTGTGAGATTACTTCAAAATAAGTAAAGTGTTGAGTTTACATTTTATTCTGAATGTGTTCAAGCCATGTAGATAGATTAGTACAAGTTGAGCATCTCACATCTGAAATCTGAACTTCTCTGTAATCTGGGACTCTCTGAACACTGCTGTGACACCCAAGTTGTCACATCTTACGGCTGACGTCATGTGACGAATCTGTCAAAACTCAAGCGCATTAAGAATATTGTATGTAATTACTTACAGGCTATGTGGGTAAAATGTATATCAGATGTAAAAGAATTTCATGTTCAGACTTGATTTCTATCATCATGGTATCTCTTTAGGTATATGCAGATATTTCAAAGATGAAAACAAATATGAAATCTGAATGCTAGTGGCTCCAAGCATTTCAAATAAATTCTAGTCAGCCTGTGTAATAAAATTCAGTAAACTCGTCACTCAAGATTTACTGACTGCTAATATTCTGTTGTGTTAGCCTTTTCTAATTTAAAACTTAAGAAGTTAATTAGTGTTGGGGTTGTGGCTCAGTGGTAGATCGCTTGCTTCATCAGAATGAGGCCCTGGACTCCATCCTCAGCAGTGCAAAAACAATAAGAACCCAGCACAAAGCAAAAAAACTATAAATGGAGACATTCTGATGTTTCCTTCCAAAGTATTCTGGGTGGCCTGAGAGAATTAGCTCCATGCCCCTCATGTTGGGCGTTTTCCTGGTCACCTAGTGGCAGAGTTGCAGTGGGGGCCATGTTGTGGAGGACAAAGTAGCATTGACAAGGCTGTGGACCAAGCCCCACTGTCCTCTTCCCCCAGTCAGCACGCACCACCTGCCCCCTCATGTCTTGGCCACAGGTTGATGATCCGAGGCTACCGGCAGCCCTTGGAGAGCAGTGACCTCTGGTCTCTAAATAAGGAGGATACATCAGAACAAATCGTGCCTGTGTTGGTAAAGAATTGGAAGAAGGAATGTGCCAAGTCGAGGAGGTAAGTTGCGCTCCAGGGGAAGCCAGATATTCTCTAGGGTGACCCAGTCACCTTCTGGCCAGTGCCTCCCCTAGCAAGCTTTGCAGTTTTGGGAATGTTACATCACTAGCCCATGCTACAGTGGCCTCATCTGCCAACAGAGCTTCTCTTTGGGCAGAAGAGAAGAGGTTCTGTTGCTCTTACCCTTGGGAAAGCGTGCCTACTGTGTGGGGCTCTCCCTCCCTCCGTTTCATTCTTTATGCCTCTCTCTGAGCATCTGGCATTGCAAATGCTTCTGCTGTTATGAGTGTTGAAGTCATCAAGCTAACCTCTGGCAGATAGGATGGGACTTGAACCAAGAAGCTCTGCCTCTGGCCTGGGCCTTCATGGAGACATAATTCACTGCTGCTTTTGTGCTCAAAACTGAGGCTCAGGGCAGGCTCCTTGTTGGGTGCGACTTTCATGCCAGGCCAGATGAGAGACAGGAGCTGAGTATGTGCTGAGGGGAGCTTCAGACCCCATAAGGCAAGACAAAGCCATGAGGGTGGCCCAGCTGTTTTAGCTAATGGGTCAGGAATGGCTTCTCTCAGAAGAGGACATTTGATCAGAGACTCTTGTCGAGCGAGAGTGAGCTGTGTGTTCTCATGGGGAACAACCAGTTCATAGAGCCTGGGGTGCCCATGGAGCAGCAAGGTAATCACACAGCTTGAGTGGAGTAGTATGGGAGAGCAGGAGGGAGAAATGCTCTCAGAGGTTTCAAGGCCGTGCTGATGAGCTTGCGTTTGATTCTAGGTGTAGTGAGGAGACAGGTTCATGTGAAGCAGTGGCGTGATATGAGTTTTGTTTTATAACGACCACTTGGGCTGCTCTGGAGAGGGTGGATGGTAGAGATGAGAACAGATAGGGATCTCATGGGTTACCTACGATATCCTTTTATATCTCACTCCAAACCTCTGTTTCTACTCAGACGATTTCCTTAGAAGTCATTGTTGCACGTCACCTAGCACCATGCCCTGGTGCTGGGAAGCCGTGGCATTTAGGTGGATGAGTTGCATTTGTTCATCTCAGTGCAGCCCTGGGCTGGACACTTTTGAGAGCAAGGAGGACATGGCATGACCTGGCTCATGGGGCTTGAAAGCCACTCCAGTTGGGGCTCCATGGCCTTCAAGGGCACTCATTTTGGTGAGGGGTTGCTGGCCGTTTCTTCAGAAGTGTGAGCCAGCACTGCCTCCTGTAACTCAGTGGGTGTGAAGGAGGTCAGAGGATGTGTGTCCTGCCAGGTCTGAACTTGGCATGGTCCCTCATACCCACGTCTCCAATTAACCAGAGCAGTGTGCACCTCGGGTTGGCTGTTGGCAGTGAGCTTCGAGGGGTCCCAGGTATCTGTGGGAAGGTGAGGGCCTGTGGGCAAAGCTCTGCCTTTTTTTCTCGGCCCTCTCCTCTCAGCCAATTTTGGACTACTTTTAAAATCCAGTGCTTGGAGAGCCTGGTGGTGCACACCTGTAATCTCGACACTTGGAAAGCAGAGGCAGGCGGATTACCAGAATTGATGGCCAGCTGGAATTATATAGCAAGACACTGTCTCAAAAACAAACGAAAGCAGGGGCTGAGGATTTAGCTCAGTGACACAGATGCCTTTGTGGTATGCACAAGATCATGAGTTTGATCCTCAGTACCAAAAAAAAAAAACAAAACAAAAAAAAAAAAAAAACCAAAACTAAACCAAACCAGAAAACAAACAAACAAAAAACCAAACTGGTGCTTCATTGACTTGTTAAATGGCTTTGCGTTTTCTCCAACCATTAGCTACCAAGGGCTTAAAGCCAGTATTGGATTGTGGGCCTCGCTGGCACCAGTTTAAAGTGTTTTGGTGGCTATGAAAAGAATTTGGCAATTTTTTTTTTTAAAGTTAGGCATAGTTGCCATACCACTAGCCACTCTTTTGCTAGGCAAATACCCAAGAGGACTGCGAACTTACACTCCTAAAGAACTTGTACAGGCTTGTAGTTGCTTTGTTTGTGGTAGTCAAACTGGAGACAACCCAGGTCACCTCTAGTAAGTGTGCAGATCATGGTGCCAACAGTAGAATACATTTGTGGACTCCTTCACAGAGGCCTCCAGGAATGAACTGCTGCTACCGTACGAAGCGGGGATAGTTACCCTTAGTGAAAGGAAACAAAGAAAAAGCAGCTGTCTCCTTCAGTATTTGCAGATTTGCCGCAAGGCACCCTTAGAAACCACAGATGCATGAACCACCTACCAATGCACTGTCTAATTAAAAAAAAAATAGGTAGGAAACAAAAAAGTGAAGAATTCATGTTAAGCAACACGTATTTTAGTGTACAGATGCCACATCAGGTGTAAATCCCAACTAACGCCTTCCTGTTATCCTGGAGATCAAAGTACCAGCAGCATTGTCACCCTTTGAGATGAGACAAGATCTTGCTAAGTGATCTGGGCTGGGCTTGAACTTGGAACCCTCCTGCAAAACCATGACCAGCACTAGGAAAAGTCTCAAACAAAATATTTCTAAGATGACAATATGTAATCCATTAACTAGTGATTTCCTATTTTTTTTTCTGAAATGCTGTGTAACTTGTACCCTTTTTCTGCTTTTTTTTCCTTTTTCTCCTTAAATAAAAATTTTAAAAAAGAGTGTTCACAAAAGTTACACCGTTTAAAAAAATTGAGGTTCAGTAGTCTCCCCTTATCTGTAGTTTTGCTTTGCATGGCTTCAGCCATGTGTGGTCAGCTATGATTTTAAAGCATTAAATGCCTAATTTACAGATTAAATTTAGTGTAGCGTCACTGGGTGGGGTGTGAAAAGGTCTCCCTAAAGAGGAAATGGGGACCTCAATTTCCCCATTCATAGGATAGGTTGTAGGTTTGCTGACGCTGGTCACAGGAAAGAACTGTAGAACGAGTGAGAGGCATAGAATTAGGCAAGTAAAGATGTGCACACTCAGAAGAGCACGCAGACCTCTGGGAGGGAGGAGCATTGTGTGGTCTTGGGTATCCTCAGGATGTGTAATCCTGCGGGTGCTTTCCTGCTGTCTGTCAGGTTGCCTGTCAGATTGTATCAGTGTGAAAAGCGCTGTGTGTGTGTCTGATGTTTAAGAGAGCTGCTGCCCACTTACTGGTGCTGCTTTCTTGTGGACAAGGAACTAGGTGAGGAGAAGGGCGGACTCAAAGTAGAAAGCAGGAAAGCAGTTTACAGGCCTGTCTATCCTTACGGCCTTCATGAGTTGTGATTTTTTTTTTTTATTGAGTTTCCTGGAAGGGAAAGAAGCGTGGGTAACCTAACAGTGGGTAATTCTTATGTCCTGAAGCCAGAGTTTTTGTTTTTCTTTTCAAGGACAGTTTTAGAATTATGATTTGTATTGTCTACCTGTTTTTTTCTATCTTCTACCTCACTAGGTGTACCTGGAAGAAAAAGCCTAATGTAGACAGGGTGCAGTACTGTCTTTGGTCTCAGCCATCCAGTAGGCCTTTGGGGTATGTCCTCCACAGATAAGGGCAGACCGTTTGTTTATTTTTTTATGCTTTGTGCAGTACTGGGGGTTGAACACAGGACCTTCACATGAAGCTACACCCCCAACCGTTTACACTTTTCGAGACAAAATCTTGCTGAGTTGCTATGTGACATGTTAGGCTTGAACTTGGACTCCTATCTCAGCCTCTCAGAGTTTTGGGGTTAGATATGTGTACCACCGTCCCTGCCTGAGACTACTGTATACTTAAATGTGTAAAAATACATACTTTGTGCAGATTTATGTCAGAAATTAGAGGTAGATTCAAGACTTTCATAATTTTGGGCCAATTTTTTGTTTGCACGAATGCCTGTTAAGATATTTGTAGCTGTTCAGTGATGCACAGAGGACAGGACAGAAAGACACAAGGCTGGCATCTGGGCTTAGTCATGACAGCTGGAGAATTTGAATTTGGAAAACAAGGCTTCTTGAGAACCTCTGATTTTGAGGTCTAGGAGAAAAAGCCTCCATCTTGAGTCATTTGTATTTGTTACAGAATTTAAATGTACCACCACACTTTCCTTGGTTGGGATTATAAGGGAAATGATCTTTCCCAGTTACCCTTCCCGAAATTATCTTGTTAGCACTAAGAAGAGCACAAGTGTACATTCAGCTTATAAAACAGCTCTCTGCAGTTGCAGGTCAGCCCTCCCCTTCTAGGATATAGTAGGAACTGTGGGACAGAGACCAGGCTCAGAGCACGTTCAGAATTGCATGACACCGAGACCTTGCTAAGTTTTGGATTTTGCCCGTGCAAAATCGTGAATGAGTTTATTTTTCAAATGACAAAACCATTGGGCACTCCTTATCTGGCTCCTTGGTTGAAGCCAAGTCAACAAAATTACAACAGTTTAGCAATGTAGTTGGCTCTGTTTACTGTTTTAGAATTAAATGTAATGCTTCATTGCATAAAATAGAGTTAAGTTTCCCAACGATCCTAGCAGAAGAGGCTGATTTTATAGATAGACAAGAGCTGACGAGAAGGCAGAAAGAACACAAAACAGAGGCTGAACATTTCAAAATGACTTCCTTTCTACAGCAGGAACAGGGAGACCACACAGTAGAAAAATAGCTGATTAGTTAACACCAGGTTACTTTAGGTTATCTTTTTCCAGTGTGAGAGTGAAGACAGAGGGGACTTCCTTATGCCAGTCTAACCTGGCCTGTTCAGGAACTCTTCTCCCGCCTAATTCTGATTTCAGGGAAAGTCACACACATAGTTTTGGCCCGCTGACATGGAGCTTCAGGGCCAGTGACTCCATGGGGAGTTTCCGTGTGTTGATTTCTAGTTTGTTTTTAGTTTGTTCTGGTCAGTTGGGGCCAGTGCAGGAGCTTAGTCCAAAACAGTGGTCCCCTGTGATTTTTTTTTTTTTAAAGCGTCTTCCAGTTTTCAGAGGGCTGCCTCACTTCTTTCCAAAACCTTTAACTCGGACCACCTCTAGGCCTTGCTCCTCCGCTCTTTCTGCCTGGAAGCCCTTTCCCTCCTCCCCGCACCTGTTCTCTCATTTTGCAGCTCTCACTTTAAATGTCACTTCCTCTAAGCAGCCCCGATGGTGGCAGCTCACACACTGGACTGCTTCTCTCCTGAGGCTCTTTGACCTTAGAGATCTCCTTGGTGCCTGGCCCAGAGCAGGTGTTCTGTCTGTGTTGGTGGACAAGTGGCCAATTGCCACTGTTGCCTGTGTTGAAATGGGTGAGGTTGGCAAGTCCCTTTCCCCTTCCTACCCCGGTCTCTTAGCTTCTCTGATTCCTGGTTCTAGGCAGTTTCTCCCAGCTCAGACCTTTCCTGTCCCACCTTCCTGACTTCTCCCACTTGTGCTCAAGCTCTGCTCGCCTCTTTCCCATCTGAGAGCCCCCTCCTCCTCCCCTTCCCTTTCTCCTAGTTTGCTGGATATTTTCCGTTCCTGACTCAGCCTTCTCTGATCACTTCCACTCCACTTGACTTCCTCTACTCAGGCCTGGGCCTTCCTCCTCCCTGCTTGCCAGAGACCTGTCCCTGAGAACAGCACAGGGTCAGGGCAGCCCGTACCCCACAAGGCCAGGGCCTCACTCAGGAAGTGATATGGAGCCTCTCCCTTCCTCCTTGCTCTGCAGGCCTGTGTGGGTGAAAAGAAAGTGTACTAAACATCCCAGGCAGAAGTAGCTTCAAAGGAGCAAGATATAGTGTCCAGGGAAGGACTTTAGGGAAGACCATGGCAACATGAAAACTGGAAATAATCCTTGTGATCAGAGAAATAAACCCCTTCTCTCCAAAGATGCCTACCGCCTGGTCTCCACAATCTGGGAGCGGGTCATCTTCCCTAGTAAAATGTGTGTAGTTGTGATTAAGAGTTTGAAGATGGGATTATATTCTGGATCATCTAGGCAAGGCCTCATGTGACCGCAGGCCGCTGTTTCAGAGCGTGATGTGATTAGAGAGAAGGTTCATGCCAGCAGCAGTCTTGAACCAAGGTACCAGAGACCTCTAGACGCTGCAAAGGGAGAGGGAACAGATTCTCCCCTTATGCCACTGGAAGGAACAACGCTGTGGGTCCACTTGAGTTTCAGGCTTCCAGAAGTGTAGGATGATTTGGACGAGGGATTGTACTGCTCTGACCACATTTGAGAAAAGAACTAAGGCATATTAGTGCCTGTTGCTACGTAACAAATTACTCCAAATGTAGCAGCTTAAAATAATAATGATGATCCTGGACTGGTGTGATTTTTCTGGGCCTTGGAATGGCTTAGCCAGCAGTTCTGGACTAGGGTCCCATGGAGTCATCTTGGGCTACTACTCTGACAACTTGGCAGGCACTGCAGGATCTATTTCCAGGTCGCACACAGTTGTGACGTAGGCTGGCTCTTCTCAAGATCAAACCAGGGAACTTCTCTCCAGGACTGATTGTCCTTAGTAGTTGACCTTGTCCAGAGTGACCAAAAAGAGGCAAGATGGAAGCCACTGTTTTTCGTCCCTCAGCCCGCCCGCCCTCCTCATGGTATTGTGCTCTGAGCAGGGAGGGACTCCACGGGGCATAAGTCCCACGAGGTGGGGATTGGTTGTCACAGCCCTGCTCTGAGGCTGCCCGCCCTGATGTTTAGGGTGGTAACACACAGTAAGTAGGACCTCACTAGCATCTTGCACTGTCAGTCTCTGTGACTTGGACAAGCATTGTGACCTCTCTCAACCTCAGCTTGTACTTAAGCAGATTAGATTTTGCCATGTTTCTAGTTCTTGTCTGTCCCTAATGTAAAATAACCTTCTATTGTGCTGACTGGCATTCTAAAGAAATGTCTGAATAATATAAAGACTTAACGATGCTTCTTGACTTGGTCCTGATAAATCCATTGTGAGTCCTGATAAATCCATTGTTTAAAATATCAAAAATGCATTTGATACATACCCATTTTTTTCCCTTTTTTGCATAGTACTGGATATTGAACCCAGGGCCTTCATACTGAGCTTATTCTCAGCCCTTAAATTTTTTTTCAATTTTGAGATAGGATCTCACTAGATTGCTAAGTTGTCCAGGCTGCACTTGAACTTGTGATCCTCCTGCCTCAGCCTCCCAGAGTGCTGGGACTACAAGTGTGCAACATCATTCCTGGCTATACCCATGTTTATAGCAGGACAGTTCACTGTTGCTAAAACCCTGAAAACAGCCTAGATGCCTGTCAAGAAATGACTGGCTTAAAAAAAAAAACAAAAAAGAGTGATATATACACATGATGCAGTTTCAGCCAATAAAAAAAGTGAAGTCGAGTCACTTGCAGAAAAATGGATGGAATTCGAGACCAACCCTCCAAGAGAAGTAAGGCCAGATCCAAAAGTTAGAGATCTCTTATATGAGAAACCTAAACTATAGCTATAAGAGAGAATAAAGTAAAGGAGAGATGATAGGGAGCTAGAAGGTAGATTCTTGGAGATAGGGAAGAGAGAGGAAAAAGAAAGAAGAGTAAAGGGATGGAAAATGATCAAGAGAAGTTTTGTGCATGTACTGAGTCCCCATTAAAAGCATCACTATTGTGTATAAAAACATGCACTCATTACAGACCACGGTTCACACACCTTCCCACCTGGCTTCGTAGCTTAGCAACACCGTGTGCTGTGGGGTGCCAGTTGTTTCGTGTGGCTGCCCAGGACCTCAGGACTGCTGCCCAGCACCATGAGAGAGGACCACAGAGCATATCACTAATCTGTAAAAAGATGGCAATTCAGAATTTGACGTCTACTTTTGCCAAATGCTTTCATACCATCACAAAGCTGGACCACGCTCAGTCTAACCATTGTAAGGTGGAGACCAGCTGACCGTGTGTTCTTGATGACAGCTTTGTAGAGATGTAATTCATATATCCCACATTAAAAATGTGCTGTTTGGTGGTGTTTGTAGTATCTCCTCCAAGTTACATGGCCTTCACTGCGATCAATTTTAGAACATTTTCCTTTTCTGCCCCTGAAAGAAGCTTCATAATTTTAGCTTCCATCTCTTAATCTCCTAATCTTTCCAGCCCCAGTAATTAAACAACCTGTCATTTATCCTTTTTCTGTATAGATTTGCCCATTCTGGACATTTCGTGGACCTGGAATCAGTATGCAGCTTTTCGTATCACTTAGTGTGATGTCAGGATGCATCCGTGTCATGGCACGTGGCCATGCTTCATTTGTTTCTGAGGCCAGTTAATATTCCACTGTGCAGATCTGCCACATTCTGCTTATTCAGTCATCAATTAATAGACCACAGGTTTTTCCATCTTTTAGGGATTATGAATATTACTGCTATAAAAATCCAAGTACAAAGTTTTAGGTGTATATGTGTCTTCATTTCTCTAAGGTTATATAAAGAGTAACATAGTATTTCTGTGTTTAACATTTTAGGAACGCACTTGTCTGTTTTCTGTGGGTTTTTTTGTTTTGTGGGGGTAGTATTTTTAAGATAGGATTTTGCTGTGCAATTGGCTGGCTTTGAATTCACTTAGTAACCAAGGCTGACCTCGAACTCAGAGTGATCCTCCTGCCTCAGCCTCCCAAGTGCTGGGATTAGAGACTGTTTTTTTGAATGACAGCATGATTTTGCATTCCTGCTGACAGTGTGTGAGTGTTATTTCCCTATGTCCTTGTGCTTTTTGCTATCTGACTTTTTGATTATAGCCGACTTAGTAGGTGTGAAATGGTATCTCACTATGGTTTTGATTTGCATTTCCCTGATGACTAATGATGTTGAGCAATATTTCATGTGCTTATCAGTATGTCTTCTTAGGAGAACTTTCTTCATATCTTTTGTTCTTTTTTAGATTGGTTGCCTTTTTCTTAGAGAATGATAAACATTCTTTGTGTGTCCTAGATATAAGTTCTTGACTTGCAGTTATTTTCTCCCAAGGTTGCTTGTCTTTCCCTTTCCTGATAGTGTCTTTTCAAGCACAAAAGCATTTTATTTTGATGAAATTTAAATTATCTATTGGGCAGTAGATTATCTGTTGAGTAATTTCTTTTGTTCCTTGTGCTTCTTCACATATCACAACCAAGACTATTGCCAAATTTAAGGGTGTAACAATTTAACCTTTGCTTCTGCCTAAGGATTTTACAGTTTTTAGCTTTTAATTTAAGTCTGATCCATTATGAATTAGTTTTCATATATGATGTAACATCAGGGTTGAAGCTCATTCAGTTGCATGTGGCTGTTCACTTTCCCAACATCAATTTTTGAAGAGACAGTTTTGTCTATAATGCATGGTCTTCACATTCTTGCAAAAAATCAGTCAGGTTTATTTCTGAACTCTTAATTCAGGGATCTTTCTGTGCCTGTTCCTCTTCCTGTGCCAGTCCTGATACCTGTCATTTTGTAGGAAGTTTTGAAATTGGGAAGTGTGATTCTCAATTGCATTTTCTCTTTCAGAACTGGTTTTTTTTTTTTTTGTCTTTTTCCTTTTTATCGGTACCGGGGATCGAACTCACAACTGCCTGCTTGCAAGGCAGGCGCTTATGCCACTGAGCTAAACCTCCAGCCCCTTTCAGAACTGTTTTGGCTATGTAGGATCCCTTGAATTTCCATATGAATTTTAGAACTTGGTGTGTCCATTTGTACCAGCAGCCAGCTAGGGTTCCACTAGGGATTGTGTTGCTTCTGTTGTTAAGTTTGTGGCTGGTATTGTCAACCCTTCATATATATTAACTCATTCGCAAGCACCCTGTGATGTGAGTCCTACTTCTGTCCCTGTTTTATAGATGAGCAAACTAGGTATAGAGAAGTTGAGTGACTTGCCTAAATCCCCACAGCTGACAAGGGTCCCACCCCGGATCTGAGCCCCTGGCACCTGGGTCCAGGTTCCTGCTGCTGTCCTTAGCAGCCTCTCCATGGTGATTTGTCTCAGGCCTTGCTTGTCCCTCAGGCACTGGGCTGCCTGCGGTGGGTCTCACACCCTCTCCCTGTCCTTGTGTTGCAGGCAGTCAGTGAAGATGGTGTATGCCTCCTCCAAGGATGCCGCCAAGCCCAAGGGGAGTTCCAAAGTGGATGTGAATGAGGAGGCTGAGGCTCTGATTGTCAAGTCTCCCCGGAAGGAGCGGGACCCCTCCCTGTTTAAAGTGTTATACAAGACCTTTGGGCCCTACTTCCTCATGAGCTTCTTATTTAAAGCCCTTCATGACCTGATGATGTTTGCTGGGCCAGAGATCTTAAAGTAAGAGCTCTTCCCTTCCCCAAAGCTCCTCTTCATTTCCCTGGTTTGACCTCTTACTTGCTTGGTTATTTGTAACCTTAGGGTCATGCAGTGTGCTGATGGGCATTCATAGCCAAGCCTCTCTGTCTTTCCCCATTTTGCTTAACTGCTGTTTGCATTAAAGCCATTTTATTCTACATGCAGCAGAAACCTACTTAATCTAAAATGGGAGGCAATGGGATTGTCTTGGCAAGCCAAGAGCAAGGAGATGCAGCTCTTGTGGAAAAAAAACTGCAGAGGGTCTAGGAAATCAGAAAGGAGTTGCTTCTCTTCTTCCCTCTGTCTCTCTGGGCCCTCATTTTCATTCCCTTTCCCCGCTTTTCTCTGTCTCTGTGTTCTCTATTTGGTCACCTCTGGGTAACTTGGTGGTGAGACATATCCTTGTAGCCAATGTAAGGATCACAAGGCAGAGGTTCTCGGTGAGTGGCATGGACCCTTTGCAAGGTCAGATGGCCACTGTGGGATCCCATTTTCACCTGTGAGGTTGAAGCCCAGAGGTTCCCTTGCAAGGCAGTGCTGACCCGGAAGTACTTTTTGTGCTTGCATGGGCCCCACTGAAGTGGTTCCGAGGTCACACCTTTCCCCTTGGTAGGTTGCTTATCAACTTTGTCAATGACAAGAAGGCCCCAGACTGGCAGGGCTACTTCTACACAGCGCTGCTGTTTGTGAGCGCCTGCCTGCAGACGCTGGTGCTGCACCAGTATTTCCACATCTGCTTCGTCAGTGGCATGAGGATCAAGACTGCTGTCATCGGGGCTGTCTATCGAAAGGTAGGATCAGCTTCCACATTTCTTCTTCTGGGACTCAATTGGTCTCTCTGTGGGGATGTCTAGGCTAGTCTCTGGAGCAGGAGGATAAAGAGGGCTGGAATAACCAGGGCTAGTGAAGATGGCGACCCTTAGGCATTATCCCTTAGCAAAGCAGAATTCGAGGGTTGGGGTGTGGAATGTTGTGAGCCCACACCTCAGTCACAGGTATCTGAGTTCTTAGAGGGCTTGGTGTAGGGAAATCCAGGTTTAGATCCTTCCTCTGCTGTTAATATTCTGTGTTTGACCTGTTTTCACCATCAAATTAAACTGAGCAGAAGATACATACCCTAAACAAGATAGCACACAGTTTTACCTGTGTACACCTGACTTTTAACACATTTTTCTTTTTTGGCAGTGCTTGGATGGGTAGGCAAGCAGTCTACCACAAAGCCTGCCCTCAACCTCCACATCTAGCTTTAAAGGAATCAATTACCCCGGGGTTTTGTCATTTCTTGGCCTTCAGAGGCAAAGACAGTGCTTGGCCCATAGGTTGGGAAGAGTCCCACTGTCCTAAAGATGCAGAAGTTGAGAAGTAGGTGAGTGGGTCCCAGTCGTGTCTTTGAATTAGATTCTCATAGTCCTTGTGCCTAAGCAGCATCTGAAAACAACTGAATAAATAACCAAAGGCACACAGGTATCAGTATTTTAAAACTCTCCAACTGAGAGAGTGCAACCACATTTGAGAACTAGGGGCTTAGAGTAGGTGGCTCTGCCAGGTGTTTTGTTCCTTACAGGGATGTTTGACAATGTCTGGGGACATTTTTGGTTATCACATCTGGAGATGTAGTGGGTAGAAAGCAGGGATGCTGCTGAGCATCCTAGCATACACAGGACAACCACACAAACAGTGATCCAGCCCCAAATACTGGCAATGCCAAGATAAGTAACACTAGCCTTGACTTTTGGGTCTTTGTTGGAATGTAGAGACAATAGCATCTACATGGTCTGGCAGCTTATTAGAAATCAGAATCTCGGGCCTTGTCACAGACCTGCTGATCAGAAACTGCATGGTCGTATGCTCCTTAGGTGATGTGTGTGCATATTAAAGTGTGTGAAAAGCCTTGGGTTAGAGGGCAATTGATTTTTTTTCCACATTGAAGACTCACCACTAGAAGGCAGGGACTCTGGTTGGTAAGCATGTGACCTTAATGATGAACCAGGTTGCTGAGAAGGTAGCTAACCTGGCAGTGGGGGAGAAAAGATTCACAGTGTTATTGTGAGGAGCCTCTTTCCTCTTCAGGTTCTGGGCAGGGGAATTCTAGTACCTATCACTGCCCACACTCACCTCTTTCCTTCTCCTTTGTCCCTCAGGCCCTGGTGATCACCAATTCAGCCAGGAAGTCCTCTACGGTCGGTGAGATTGTCAACCTCATGTCTGTGGATGCCCAGAGGTTCATGGACTTGGCCACATACATTAACATGATCTGGTCAGCCCCCCTGCAAGTCATCCTCGCCCTCTACCTCCTCTGGCTGGTGTGTGTCCAGTGTCCTTCCTGTGCGCGTGTAGGGAGGGGCCACCGCACATGGGGAATGGGTGCTGAGGATGGGAGGATCTGTAGCTGGTTGGCATTTCTTTTTATTTACATTTTATTTTCTGACCCATTAACCAGTTCCTGGATGTTTTATTCTTTCCAGCAGTTGTCAGGATTCTGTTTTCTTTGGGTCATGAGGCATGGTGTTTCTTTGCACGTGTCTTTTCTTGAGTGTATCAAATTAACAATCCTACAACCCATATCCACCCTATTCCTCCCACTCTTCCCTTGCAGATGTGATTGAGACTCGTTCATTTGTCCTTAACTAATGTCTCTCGAGGGTCTGTCTATTCTAAGAGAGAGAAATCCATGTTAGCCTAAGCAAATAGAGGGGATTTTAAAGGTATTTGAAAAAGTCCAAGGATTTTCCTTGAAGCATGAGTCACTGACTAGGACAATGATAGTGAGACCCTTTTAGAGCTTTCAGTGGTAACAGCCTGCAGCACATGTGCTGTAGGTTCGCCACCACTGATACAGATCAAGCCATGTTTTAAGGACTTTCTCTGTCTCTCATTCTTTTGCTATTTCTTGGTCTCATTATCCTCTGAGTTGGCTTCATTCTCAGTGACTTCCATAACTTTGGGCTTGTACCATCTTACAAACGAGAGTCCCAAAGAAGACTAGTTCCTTGGCCTCAGCCTTGGCCCAGCAGAGTCCTGTTCTTATCCCTCAGCTTGTTGCTGTGGCCCACGAGGGACAGGTCCAAGTCAGTCAGCCTGAATCGCAAGTCTTCTCCTGTAGTAGAAGAGAGGCGGTAGTCTTGGTGTATTTCCACATGGGGCCAGACTTCTCCCAGAGTGGAAAGGTGATGAGCAGAGGGCCTCACAGCATCACACACGCCTTGTTCTTTCCCATCCCTGGCTTCTGCCCATGTCCTTCCTTTTACTGGGAATTCCTTTCCTTTTTCTCTCCCTCCCTCTCTCTCTCCCTTCCTCCCTCCCTCCTTTCCTTTCCTTTGTTCCAACTAATGAACTACTGCCCATCCTCAAGGCTGATTTTTTTTTTCTCCCTCTCAATTAGATGGATTTCCTCCTTTTTTGAATACAAATAACTATATAGGAAATTACTAGATTTTACCTTCTGAAATAGTTTCTTTGCACCCAGGAATGGTGATACACACCTATAATACCATCTCCCTAAAAAGCTGGAAGCCTGAGGAAGGAGAATGCACAAGTTCAAACCCAGTCTGGGAAACTTAGTAACTCAGCTAGACCCTGTCTCGAAATAAAAAAAAATTGGGGATGTGGTTCATGCCCCAGTACCATGGATGAATGAATGAATGAGTGAATTAAGAAACAAATGATAGTTTGTTTTTTTTTTAAGCCTGGCATTGGCTTCTTTTTTTTAAATTTTATTTTGAAAGTATACAACAGAACAAGACAGAATAATGCCAACTAAGATCGTACAGTGAAATTGGTACAGAACTTCACAGCAGATTACTGGGATAAAAGTAATAGGTATCATAGTATATTTTGTTATCTTTATAATAATTCTTTCAATCACATATGTCAAAATGAGATGCAATATAGAACACTATAGAACTTATCAAAACAGAATATTGAATAGAGCAGTACCATTAATCAGAAAAGAGCAAAACAGTAATAAAAATATTTGCCTTCAAAGAGATGGTAGAAGTAAGTCCCCGTTATTTGCTGTGGTCAGCCTCCCAGGAGACGCTCAGATTTCTGGTTCCCATTTGATAATGGGGGGACAGAAGAAGGAGGGTAGGGGAAGTGGGATATTTGACTCTAGGCTGTGCATCAGTAGGTTCACTATCGCTTAGCAGGGAGGCAGGCTGATTGCTTGGCTTCCCAGGGTCCTAAGTTCCAACATGGCGTGGATCTCAGGAGCTGCTGCTGGTTCTTCCCCTGGAAGGGCCGCAGTCTGCCACACTGCCACCCATTACCAGGGAGGGGAGGTGCTTGCTTGGCTTGCCAGTGTCCTAAGTTCCAACATGGCTGGGATCTCAGGAGCTGCTGCTGGTTCTAACAAATGATAGTTTTAAAAAAATGTTTTGTATACCCAGCATGCCACTCCTTCCTTGCCTAGTAGTAAGTAAGCTACTTGGACCGACAGACTTATGCATGTATGAACCCAGCCAGTTAAATATTGCTTTGACTATAATTTATATTTTTGTATGTAGTTTTTGCGTGTCACTGTATCCCCTAAAGTAGTCTAAATAATGGAACTTAGTAGAAAAAACACAGAATTTTATTTATTTTTTAATGCAGTGCTGGAGATTGAATACAAGGTCTCACTCATGCTAGACAAGCACTCTCTCACTGAGCTATATCCCTAACCTAGAGTATAAATAAATAATTAAATAAACAAATGTCTTTTTAGGCAGATATCTTGGGTATTTACTTCCCCAGAAAGTACCATAGGTAAAAGTACCATAGATAAACGTAATATAGATAAAAGTATTTTTGGAATGCTTTTTTGAGAATTGTCTTCAGTCAAAGAAAGGTCTTTGACACCACTCTTCTTGTTTCGAGGAAGAGTGCTTAACCTTGGCTCTGTAAACATTTGGAGTTGAATAATTCTTCATAGTGGGGATTGTCCTTCCTATTCCAGAGTAACTTAACAGTACGCTGCCTTCTCACCAGATGCCAATAGCACCCTGGCTGTAATTTATGACAGTACAGTCAACAAAGGATAAAGCGGCCAGGGCAAAGTCCAGGGAAACCAGCTCCAGGCTTCTAGACTTCCAGGGAGGGGAGTACAGGGATGCCCTTCATTCCCTAGCAACCAGCTGTGGTCATGTGTGGAGACCCCCCTCCCCCAGGATGACAGGTACACAGCACCTGGAGTTGTTGATGAGAGCTGCTCCAGCTGTGTGCTCTGCCTGGAACCTGCCGAGATCCCAGCCTCCCAGCAGGAAAGGAGAGTTCAGCATAAGGCACATCAGCTGTGCAGACAATTCAGCCCCAGGGAGCCCCCGCCCTGTACCTATTTTGTAAGTGGTGAAAACGTTCCCTAAAACCCAGGTCCCCAGTCACTGGCCCAACTTATAAGCACTTTTCAACTCCCATAAATGGTCAGGACAGGCAGATTAACTTTTTTATCCAGTATTATATTACATTTCTAAAATCTTACGGTATTAGTTGGTAAAACTCACCGAGGCCCAAGAGCTTTGGATAAGAGATCATGGACCTGCACGTTCTTGAAGGAGTAAGGAGGCTTCCAAGGCCACCAGATTTTTACTCCATCAGTAGGTAGGAAGAATGCCTCTGCCCAAAGCTCACTTGGCAGGATCTGTGTAGGGCAGGTGGCTGTGTAGAACATGAATGTCTTGTTCTTCCCTGTGTTTGAGTGGCTGTCTTCTCTCCTTCTCTAGAATCTGGGCCCTTCTGTCCTGGCCGGGGTGGCTGTGATGATCCTCATGGTTCCCTTTAACGCTGTGATGGCAATGAAGACCAAGACCTATCAGGTAGGTGCCCGTCCCTGCCAGGATCCACATAGGGCACCTGAGGCTTTTGCATGTGGGTGTTGGTCAATACCTTCTACTCTGGCCCTGTGCCCTCAGCCTCCTCTATCTGTTGAGATCACCTGGGGAACTTAGTGAATGCAGTTGCACAGGCCTCATTCCCCATTCTGCTTCTCTGAGTGCCCTGAATGGCCTGGGCATTGGACTACATTAGCATTTTCTGGGTGGCCCCACTAGCAGTCAGGTCAGGGATCCTGAGAATGTCAGACCCTGCATGACCCAGTAATCAAAATTGCAGTATTTGGGAGCTTCTGAGAATTCTGTCTTGCCACAAAATTACTTGTTTTTATATTGCTTCATTTTCAAGAGTTAAGTAAAAATTAGCATCTACTTTTTTCCCCTACAGAGCTCTTTTTATTTTCTTTCCCTGAGACAAAGTCTCAATATGTAGTTCAGGGTAGACTTGAACTCATATAGCCGAGTGGTCCTCTGCCTCAGCTTCCTGAGTGTTGGGATTATAGGTACATACCACCGTGCCTGTTTTTTCCTTTGCTGAGCTCTTACTTCATGCTGTGCATAGTGTTAACTTCTATTTTTAGAGGTACTTTGTTATTTTTTAAGTTTTTACATACTCAATAGTATAATGAGTATTTTCTCATTATAGAAAGTTTAAGTGACATAAAAGTATATAAATTGAAAGGTGATATCCCCTTTCCTACCCTCTTAACTGCTGTGAACATGTTTAAGGGAGTCCTTTGAGAACTTCAGTGTCTTTATGTACACAGCCATTGAACTCTGTGATGACTTATGCCAGGTAGGTTTGGCATGGTATTATTACCCTATATATTAGTACCCAAATGGGTCAGCATAGCAGCATGGTTTTATAATTTGGTCACATATGTCAGGGATCTTTCTGGGCTATGCCACATACTGTGAATTTATTTCCTTGAACTGGTACATGAGAGAGATAGAGCTTATTTCTCTTCTCTCTTAAGATGGATACTGTGATGTGCCTGTGAGATTCCACATGAGTGCCCTTGGCTCCACGCATGATCTGCAGGGATAGTGAACTCCAGGACATAGACTAGGTTAGGAAGAGAGGCAATTCAGCAGGCTTGGGGTCCTGTCACCTCTCATCCCCTGGATGTGTAGCTTCTTCTGCTGTGTACCTCCTGGTATCCAGGTCATGTTGCTTAAGCATGTATCATTTAGCAGGACTCAAAGCAGCTTTTTCTTTTGCGAGGGAAAGATCTTTTAGGGTGAGCATAGGACTCCAGGGGTTCCCAGGCCAGCCTCCCACCTTTGAGAAGACCCACATTTAGTAGGGGTGCCACTGAGTGATGAAGTGACGCAGCAGGATGGTGGCGAGTGACCTGCACTCAGTGATCGTTGGTCACCCTTTCTGTGAAGGTGGCCCACATGAAGAGCAAAGACAATCGGATTAAGCTGATGAATGAAATTCTCAATGGGATCAAAGTGCTGAAGCTGTATGCATGGGAGCTGGCGTTTAAGGACAAGGTGATGGCCATCAGGCAGGAGGAGCTGAAGGTGCTGAAGAAATCTGCCTACCTGGCAGCTGTGGGGACCTTCACCTGGGTCTGCACACCTTTTCTGGTGAGTGGAGCCCCATTTCTTGTGCATCACACTGCTCTATGTTTTCGTTGGTTTTTCCATCCAGATACTTTGCGAAGGTCACTTACTTCCACAAGGCCTCCTCTGGCTGCTTCTTTGCAAAATCGCTACCACTCTCCAACCCCTTTTTATTTTATTCTTGGCCCTTTGAAGCTTCTACCCAGCCAGTTCAGGCACTGTTTGTTACGTGTTTGCTATGAGAGAAAGAGCGTAACAGGGGGTAGGAGCCCGTCTCTACACCTTTCATCTCCTTCATCTGGAAAGTCTTGCAAGAAAAACACATTAGCTGAACTGCACAGCATATTTAGTGTCATAGTTGGCCTACATTGTAGTCCCTGCTCCTTACTTCATTACCAGCTGGTCACAAGTCATACATGGGTGACCAGTGGGCCATGCAGGGGCTCAGTTGCACTGTCAGTCGTACATTATTAATGTTTGTTAATGTTTATTAATGTTTTTGTCTGTCTCTGCAGTAGGCAGACAAGAATTTGTTTTTCCTGTTGACTGCTGTATTCTGGGCATGATAACACATACCTATAATCTCAGTACTCTGGAGGCTGAGGCAGGAAATTGCTGCTAGTTTGAAGCCAGCCTGGGTTACATAATGAGTTCAAGCTCAGACTGAACTGCAAGGGACCTTGTCTAAAAAAGACAAAAATAAAATAGTGCCAAGTAGCTACTCAACAAATACCAGTTTAATATTAAAAAATTTTCAGGAATCTTAAAAATGATATGTAAAATTGGTTGCCCTGTTAATAACTGATAAAGCATTAACTTGTAAATAAACTATTGTGGCTGTTAAAGAAAAATTGAGATCATAGAGAAAGATGTTAAGTGTAAGAGCATATTGTTCTGTCCTGTATCTTTTCCTCTCTTCCATTGTTACAGTTTTGTGTATCTTTTCTGAAAAATATATTTAAGCATATACATTTTTTTGAAATATAGTTTTGATATGTTCAAATGGACTGATACAGAGTATAACAACATATGGTATATAGTTATGTTTTTAAGATTTATTACAGCAAAAGACATATTTTCATTAATCCCCCTCAAAGACATTCCCCCTTGCTTTGAATACTTACTATTCTTGCCACTTTCTGAAGCAGTTTAAGTCCACTTTCTTGAATAAAAAGTTGTAAAAACATTATACTGTGTCTTCATCCACCTTATTTACCAAATCTAGTACTGGCAAATTCTAGCTCTTTCTCAAAGTCAAAATGACCATGAAAGGTGAGTGTTTTAAATTCATTGAGGACATAGAGGCAGCCATAGCATTGGAACTAAAGACGTGAAAGAGAACTTTCAGAGCTGCTTCAGAGTGGCAAGAACAATGGGGTCAAAGTAAGGGGGAATGTTTTGAAAGAGATTAATGGCAACCTGTGTTTAAAATTATTTTATTGGTATATTTCAGTTATACATAATGATCACATCCATCATAGGGAATTTGTACCTATACATAATGTATTTCAGTTCTCCTTTTTTCCACGGTCCCCTCCCTCCCTTAAACCTCTCTTCCCTCATTTACAATAGCTTTGTTTCCAATTTTTTGCTTCTAGTCCCCCCCAGTTAGGTTCAGCAACCTTCAGGTGACCACAGTCAGTAGACCAAGGTTGGCAGAAGAAGTGACATCTCTGTTCTGGGACTCCCTGTTCCCTGAGATCCCTCTAGCACTTTGGGCAGCTAAGGTGTGATCTTGAATTTTTTTTACACTTCAGTGCCCTGAACTTTCTCCAGGACATGGGTAGACTGTAGTTCAAAAGTAAAAGCAATGTCTGATTAGTAGAGGTTATATAAGAAGTTCGTTTTATTCTTTTGGTTTAAACGATCAAAAGTCTGTGTGCATTATGTATAGCTGAAATATTGTCATTTTTATGATTGATCCATTTTTATTTCATTTTGCTTTAATGTATTATTTTTGGCGTAGTACTAGAGATGAGATCCAGGGCCTTGCACACACCAGGTAAGTGCTGTATTACTGAGCTATACTCCTAGCTTTTTTAAAATTTTATTTTGAGACAGATTCTGGCTAACTTGCCCAGGCTGGACTTGAACTTGTGATCCACCTGCCTCATCTGGAATTCCAGGCCTGAACCACCACACCCAGCTCCCCTGAGTATCTTAATGCCCTTCTTTAGCCTATAGGACTTTATCTATCTATCTATCTATCTATCTATCTATCTATCTATGTGCTGGAATTGAACCCAGGCCTTCTTGCATGCTAAGCATGTGCTTTATCATTGAGCACTTTCACAGTGAGCATGGACCATCTCCGTACAGCAGAGTTTGAGCCTCAGCACTGGCGATGCTTCGGAACAGGTCATTCTTTGTGTGATGGGGAGCAGCCCTGTGTATTATAGGATGTATAGCAGCATCCCTAGCCTCTGTCCACTAAATGCCAAGAAGTCCCTATCCCTACTGTCTCTGGTTGTGACAATCAAAAATGCCTCTAGTCGTTGCCAAATATCCCTCTGGGGGCAAACCTCAAACTCCCAAGGAGCCAGAGTTGCCTGTTACAATCCCAGCCCCTCCTCTTCATGCTCCTTCACCTCACCCTTTCCCTACAGTGGATTGCCGTATGTGTTTGGAGTCTTATCTGTATCAGAGGGGACATGCAGTACAGGTAGTTGTATGTTTCTTTTGTTTGCTTTATTTGGATGCTAGTGATCACAGTTTATACAGGAATTCACGCTGTTTAGAATTGCTCTCTCTTACAAGCAGAAGCCTGCAGCCAGAAAGGGAGGTGATAAGGGTTCCTGTGTGCTGTTGCCCATTTAGGATAGGATGGGGCAGAGCAGGGTTTTCTCATAACCCTCTGCTCTGCATATGGGATCCTTTGACAGAACCTGTGGTTTCCATGTTGTCACCTGAACATGCTGGTCCTTTGTTTATCATTTTCTGCCCTAGTCCCCATTAGAAACTCCCACCGTGAAAGATGCTTAAGAGCCACATTGGCTTGTGACCCGAGTTTTCCCCTTGGTTTCCAGGTGGGTAGTGAAGGGTGAAGACACTGAGCTTCCATGAGCAGAGTTTATTGAGCTGTTTGGCAAAGATCAGATGTGCCTGGGTGTCAGCCAAAGACACTGAGGTCTCTGACTACATTAGGATAAAATATGTGGCCTGCAGTTTCCTTGGAAGGTTCTTGCATGTTCTTTCCGCTGGTGAATTGTGCTCCACGGATGAGGGGCTGTTTACTTGGAGGAATGTGTGATGGAAGACAGGCCTGGGGCAGGCAGAGAGGCCTGGGGATGCCATCCAGAGGGCCGCATGGGGCTGCCATTCTGGAACACAGAGTCTGGCATTTGTCTTGTCCACTTTATGCACTTCCCTAAAATAGCAGCCCCGAGCAGCCTGTCAGTTTTTAGCATTTTTTATCTTAGATATTTATGAGTTTCTTGTCTTCTACTTACCTTGTATGGCCCTTTACTGGAATAATTATTATCCCATAATTACCTGTTGTATAGTTCTCTATTGACCAGATAATAAGGTCTGTAGAAATATAGACCATGTCACTGAGTGCTGGCATCCCCAGAGCAGAGGGAGCTTGGAAATGGTACACATTTGGTGAATATATGTGGTTGAATGAATGAATGAATGAATGAAATGAAATGTACTAGTCAGAACTACCTTGCATATGACAGAAACCTAATTCAAATCAAGTAGAGTAAAAACAGACAAGAAGATTTTGAATCATAAAACTGAGTAGGAAAGTGCTTTAAGTATGGCTGGGGGTTCAGGTGTGCCTGGATCTAGACGTGTCTGAGATAAAGTTGGAAATAACACTCTCTACTCTGCTTTCTTCATGGCGGAATTTTTGACAGTTACTAGTTTTGGATTGTTCTGTTACCTCTGCAACCCCTATGAGCAGGGAATCCCTTTTTAAAATTTTTATATATTTTTTTTTGAGAATATTTTTTGACCACCCTGCTTTTCCCCCAGTAGTTTTTACAAAGCTGAGCAACATAGTGTCGTTGATTATAAAGAGAGTCATGTGCTTATTCCTGGACGAGTCACTGGGCCTGGGAGATGGGATGCTTGCACTGAGGCTCTCATGGGTTCAGACTGGAAGTTCCCAAAGGAGAACTGAGGTGGCTCCAGAGCCAGAGGCACCGATGCTGGATGACAGGAAGAGCATCTTTGTGCATAGGGAGGCATAGAGGATTTAGAGACTGAGCTCACCTATTAGGGGGCAAGCCCAGCCTTCCTCTGCCCATAGCCTCACCCTCAGACTGATGCATTCAACGCTTAGTTAATAATGGGTGGATGACAGCCAAGGCCATAGCCTGACAGGCTGTATGATGCTGTCCTCTCTACGTGGTCCCTGAGCCGCTGACCTGCAGCCTCTGGTTGTGGACGTTATGTTCTGACAGTGAACTGCCTGCAGCCTGGTTTCTCCACTGCTGAGGGATGCCTCTTGAGTGGATGTGCTCTTGTCTTCAGACAAATGCAGCACCCTACTCATCCAGCTGTCCTTTACATCCAACACATTTCCACAGTGGCCCACCACTTGTCCAGCCAGCCAGCCAGCCAGCCAGATATGTACTGAGGATCTGCAATGGTTCAGGCCTTGATGATAGAGAAGTGAATACTATAGACACCAATGCCTGCTCTCGTTCTAACTGGAAAGGACAGGCAGGAAACAATCAGTCCATCATGTTGCATTGCTACACTATCAGAGGTGCTATAGAATTTCTTAAAAAATTGTCTGAGTGGCAAGAAGCGTTTTCAGTTTTAAAGAGGGTGGTCAGCAGGTCACCAGGAAGGTGTCACTTGAGTACAGATCTGATAGAGGTGAAGAGGCCAGGCAGAGTGCTGAGGTGGGACTGTGCACCCATAGGCAGAATAACGGTGGAGCAAGGAGGGAGTGAGGAGAAGGTGGCTGGATGGATGGAGTTAAGGGTAAGAGTTGCATTCCTGGCTTGGGACATGCAGTTGACTGCATGAAGTTCCTTCCCAGTTCTAGGAAAACAATTACATTGCTTTTTGTGGCTGAATAGTACTCCATTGTGTGGATATATTTGAAGGGTTTTGAGGAAAGGATATCTTTGAAGGGGAGAGGGCTGGAGAAAGGTTTATCAGTGGGTACTAATTTACGTTTAGGAGTAAGAAACTGGTAAGCTGATGCACAGTGGAGTGGCAGAAATTGTTCTGTGCCTTTCAGAAAGCAAAAAGGAAAGGACTGAAATGTTTTCACTGTAAAGAAATGAGAACTGACTGAGGATATGACTATGTTTAACCTAATTTAAACATTACCCAATGAATATGCTATTGAAACTTTACATGGTATTTTAAAAATAGATGCTTTATCTGTCAGTTAAAAGCAGATGCAAAGAAGTGGTTTTTTTTTTTTTAAAGAGTACCTTTGGGTTCAAGTCTAGTGCGTCAAGGCCTTTGCAGGAGCCTCTGAGCTCCAGACCCTTGCACAAGGTGGCTTGGCTTGATAGTGTCAGCGCTGGAACAGGGGCCAGCTCTGTCTGCTGGCTGTGCCGGGTACTGTCCCTCGTCTCCTAGAAGGAAGTGAGGGCAGCTGCCGCAAGCTGGCTTTCCCTGTGCTGGACATGCTGCTGGGAGCCTTGTCCTTGCTGCCCGCAGTTGTCAGAGGGGTTCATGAGCTCCATTTCATAGACGGGAAAACAGAGGCTTGCCTTGGAGCAGTGAAGGGGCACAGGGCCACACAGTAGAGACATGCTCGAGTAAATAGTTTAGTCTTTAAGATCTGAGCCCTTCCAGGAGGTGGCAGTGAAATGATGCAGCCAAAACCCTGAAATTAAGACAGGATGCTCAGCTGTGTGTCTGTCCTGATCTCCACCATCGGCACTGAGCTCTAGGTTTATTCTCCTGGGGATACTTCAGTGACTCCAAAGTGGAGGGCTGAGATGAGACAGGACTTCTGTCCAGAATCTAGGGCTCAAGGTTTTCCAGATCACCCAGGATATTGCATTCTGGGTGACCCATGGGTCCCCTTGGTGACCCCACCTGGTGCCACCTGATGTATCTCCTCTCAGCAGTGGGCAAGTGTTGGGCCCACATCCACCCGTTGCTCTTTACTGCTCTCTTTAGCTAGGCTGCCTTTCTCCTGGCATAGGAAGCTGTTGATGGGTAAGATGCTGCTACTTCAGACCACCCAACCCAAGTTGAGGGGTCTCCAAGCCCTGGGGGTCAGGCCCTGGAAACCACCAAGGGCATGGGGTGAGTCCAGGAACAGGTGAGCTTCCCCAGAACCATAGCTAGACCCTGTGTTTTCTTTTTTAAAATGTTTCTTTCCTTGGAACATAAAATCACATGCTGCGTGAGCCTAAAGGAACTTTAGACAGAGACAATCCCCTTCCATCTGCATTTCCCATAAGGGATAGTTGAGGCCCTAGGAGAAGAAATAAACCCGCCTGAGGTTGTCTTTAGTGTCCCTAAGTGCCAGGGATCATCCTAGGCACAGAGGGCACAGTGCATATGAGACAAAGTCCCTGTGAGGAGTAGGCTTTTGGGTGCATAAAATGGACAGTAAACCCATATAATATTATTGTACAAGGTAGTGAGAGGTGCGGGGAAGGAAGGCCACAGGGCTGGGCTGGGCTGCCATGGAGCAGGTGCAGGGCCCTCTTAGGAGGGTGAAGGGACATAACCAGCGCTGAGGGGGTGGTGTGAACACAACTGTGGCAAAGGCTAGGCCTTGGGAACACACTTGGTGTTGCTGAGGAGCAAGTTAATGCCCCACAGTGTCCCTGAGGAAGTTGGTGGCAGCTGCTTGGACTTTTGACCTCAGTCATTCATTATCCAGGTCATTCTTCGACAGCGAGTACCTGTCTCGTGCAAATGCCACCCAAGACTTTTGCCATTCCCTGCAGCATGGTGTGGCCATGTGGGAAGGGGCTGGTCATGTGTCCCTAGGGGGCTGTGGCTGTGACCCTCATTCAGGCACAGCATTCAGTGCTGGTGTCCTGCTTTCAGGTGGCCCTGTCCACATTTGCCGTCTACGTGACCATCGACAAGAACAACGTCCTGGATGCCCAGAAAGCCTTCGTGTCCTTGGCCTTGTTCAACATCCTCCGCTTTCCCCTGAATATCCTCCCCATGGTCATCAGCAGCATCGTGCAGGTACTGAGCGGGTAGGGCCTGGACGCCAGCTGTCCGTTGATTTGGTCATGGCCCAAAGAAAGACATTTTATTTCTTGATGGGAACTCATGGGTGAGTGTGTGAATCAAAAGTTTATTGCCACAAAGCCTTCTCCATCTTCTGGAAGAACTTTTCTAGCATGTTCTCTCCTCTGCCACCCTGGCCTATTCTAAGCCTGGTTTTTCAAAAACACAGCTCTTGACCCTGGATTAATTTTACAACTTCCTTGAAACTCCCATCCCATGCCATAAAATCCCCACAGTTTTGCTGGCAGCCCAGGGAGCAGAGGAAACCCAACTTTATCGTATTTTGGCAGTGCTGAAGACTCTGCCACTTCTCTGCCAGTATTTTTCACATTTTTCTCCTTAGCTTTACACATATTCAACTCCATTTTTAGCTACATGGACAACTCGCCCTGAAGATTTGAGTGTACAGCTCTGGTTGTAGGCTTTAACAAAAGCAGAACACCCTTCCATTACAAAACTTTTCAAATGTACATGGAAGTAAGAGGGACAGCATAATATGAGCTTGTATCCGTGTCACCAAGGCCCAGCATCAGCATTTTGCCACACTAGCTTCATCTGGTCCTCCTTTCCTCTTTCTTTCATTCCTTTTTGTTTTGCTGAAGAATTTTAAAGCAAACTCCAGACCTCTTGACTCTTGGCCCATGAATACTTGAGTGTGCATTTCATCTTACATAATTATAGCACCATTATCATACCAAAGCCAGTTGCCAGTAATTTCTTAAAATAATAGTCTGTGCTGAAGTTTCCCAAAGTATCCCAGCATCATTTTCATGGCTGGCCTCCTCTTTTGCCATGGGTCAGTGGTTTGGGAAATCCCTTTTCACTGAGCACTCCTCTCCTACTTCACTGCCTTTTGTAGCCTTTTGAAGAAAAACAAGAAGCAAAACCCATTTTATTTTTTATTCTGAAGCAAATGCACTGTGCAGAGCCTTGAGAACTGAGGATGTGGCCTCTCCCGCCCAGGGGAAACCACTGAAAGTCAACTAGGGTGTGTTCTGCAAAATGCTTTTTAAAATTAACCATGCCCTGTCATTGCTTTCTGTGTAGGCGAGCGTCTCTCTCAAGCGCCTGAGGATCTTCCTTTCCCACGAGGAGCTGGAGCCTGGTAGTATCGAGCGGCAGCCTGTCAAAGACGGTGTGTGCCACTGTCCCCACCTCCCACCCCTGACCCTGACCCCAGCCCTGCTTCCCCTAGGCTGCCTTTGGGCTCCCATCTGCCCAGAAGCTTGACTGCACGACAGCAGGCAGCGAGGCCTCTGCAGAGCAGGGCAGACAGGACGAGGAGCCTAGTGTCGTTGAAGCCCTTCCGGGCCTCTTACCTCACACCTCCAAAGAGGATGAACTTGCCCTTTTGCCTGCTTGCTGAGAGAGAGCCCCTGGCTGAGGCCTTTCCAGGGTCAGGTTGCAGAACCCAAACCTTGATTCTGTTCTGAGAAGATGAACAGGCAGCCCCGTGGGAAACGGGTCAAGCTGCGTCATTTACAAACTATGTCTATGTAGGTGTGGGCCTCAGTTTCCTTGTTGGGATAATGGGATGGAAGTACCTTTCTCTGACAGGTATCTATGGATTTGGCAGGTTTACTTGGTTTATAGGGTATTATTTTACCCTTTCCCCACCCACTCCTTTGGGCAGGGAGGGGTCTTGTTTGCTGCCCTCTTGTTAGGCACTTAGTAAAAAATATTAACGACACAGTCAAAGCGACACGTTCACCTCTGTGACTTCCTGCCTGCATGTTAACTCCCAAGGGCACTAATGTATTAACTTATCCAGTGGTCGGCATGGCGCACTGGAAGAGACCTCCATTCTGCAAGTAGGGAAAGTGGCCTAAGTAATTGCCTGAAATCACTCAGCATATAAATCAGGCCAGGATTCATGTGCCCAGCCAGCTAGGGGAGTCCCTCTTCTTATCTGCTGTGTAGCACTGCCATGCAGAGATTCACTGAGCACCCACTGTGTGGCCACCGTTGCTGCAAGCACTCTGTGCATATTTCCTCCTTGACACTTACTGTGTATCCTCTGAGGTTCATTACTATTTTACAGAAAGAGAAGCACAGAGAAAGTCACTTGCCTGTGGCTGCCCAGCTGGAAAGTGGTAGCACAGGGATTTGAACCTACATGATCTGGCTCCAGAGCGCAATAAATAAAATCAGAGGGCTGAATATGTGTAGATGTTAATTATAATGTGTCAGGATTGCCTGGTTGCCTAGTGTCTTCACTGGCACCTGAAATACTTCATGGCATATCTGGTGCATAGATGATGATACACATTGAGTGTGACAGTTGTTATCTGTCTCGTGTGACAGCAGCTTCCTCAGCTCTGCCATCTGCAGCAAGTTCCTCATTCTGGACACTATGTACCTTCAAGGCCAGATTGTCCTTGGTTATTGAGTTACATCTTGTAAAATGTAGCTGTTGTCCAGCACACTTAGCCTTTGTTCATTGTGTTCCTACTTCAGTTTTGATAGTCGAAACTGTTTCTAGACATTGAGGGGACACAGTCACCCCTCTTTGAGAACTGCTGCCCAGGCGGATGCTGGAATCTTTCTCACTAGATTTCAGTTGCCCTGAGGACCAAGTCACCTCACAGGGTATGGGGACAATGCCAGCTATACCAAGGCTATACCAAGGCTATACCAAGGCTGCCTTGTTCTGCCAAACAGCACTTGAAACTTGAGAAAGCCACAGGCAACTTGCGTGAAGTTGCTCACAGCTCTCTACAAGCTTCAGAAACCCCTTCCTGGGCCTTCCTGTCCTGCTGCTTTCTGAGATGTTTACCCATGTTCCCTGCGTGCGTGTACCAGACAGAGCGCCTAGGCAGCTCCAGGCTGACTGCAGTGGTTTTTCCCAAATTCCTTAAATAGCACCTTCCAGTTTCCTGCTCAGGTCTGGGGATGTGGCTCAACGGTAGCATTCAGGATGCCCAGGATTTGATCCCCAGCACCACAAAAAAATCAAACAAGCGGTTTCCTCTTTTGAGAGAGCAGAGGGAGAAGGTTAATTTAGGCGAACTAGTCACTTCCTCTTGCCACCGTTTTTTTGTTTATTTGATTCATGGGGGATGTTATTTCTTCATTTGATAACTTTAAAAACTACCCCTATATTATCTCTGGGATGGTTTTAAGGTGGCTCATAATTAAGAGGCAATCTTTTTGTTTCCTCCTTAAATCAAGGTACAGGACATGAAAGGAAAACAAGGATGTGAAAGCAAATGGAGACAGAGGCCTGGAGCTTGGGACTCCCCTGGAATATATAAGGCGGGCTTTGTCTTAGACCTTGCCCCTCCCCAGCCTGCCTGCCACACTTCCTGTTCACAACCTGCTTGTGTCCGATTCGTTGTGACTGCTCTTTTAGAAAGACTGACATGCCAGGGAGATGTGCAGGGTGGTAGGACTGGAGAGAGGGAGGGGACACACTGAGGAGCATTGGGAGGCCAAGCATCCAGAAGGTGGCGCCCCCCTGGGGGACAGTGTTTTGTCCCCTCTCCTGGTTCACTTTGGCTGCCTAGATTTGCCCTGAGCACCCAGCAAGCCCTGTCCTAGCTGGGTGTCTGGCAGCACAGCCTCTGGTCCCACAGGGCCAACCTCTTGTGGTTTCCATTTGCTTTCTGTGTCTGAGGCCACCTTCAGCTGCAGATCAGTGTTCTCCTCTAGGAATTGTGACTGACGTCACCAAATAAGGCCTAGTGCCATAGTCTCCAGCATTAAACCACTTGCTAAGGAAAAACAGAAAAGAGCAACTTGCTCACACTGAGTCGCTCTGCTCCATCTGTGCCTGACATGTTGTCTCTGTGCTTTCCAGCTGGTGGGACAAACAGCATTACTGTGAAGAACGCCACGTTCACATGGGCCAGAGGGGAAGCCCCCACGTTGAATGGGTAAGCAAGGGTGCGGTCACACATGGCATGGAGAAAGCTGCAGGGCTCTAAGCAAACATTGATTCCAGTTCTGGCCATTCTCTACTTCTATGTCCTTGAGCAGATCTCTTTGTCTTTCTGAGCCCCAGTTTACCCATCTGGAAAATCGGTCTAGTCACATAGACTCTTATAAGGACAGATGAAAAGCACTTGGCTCAGAGGGGTTCCCTGAGTTTCAGTGACAGGAACTGTGCACACCTAGGCAACGAAGGGAATTTTTAAGTTGCATGACTAAGATGCTCCGCTTTCTGGTGCAGTGTGATCCAGGGTCTTAGCCCATGCGCTCAGAATTCTGTCCATCCATGGTTTACTTCGCTTCACTCTGGGCTTTGTTCTCTGCCTGCCTCTCCTGTGGGGTAGCAGAGTCTGCAGGTCCAGATATGCTGGACAGAAGACTACCTACCTCCTATTGCCCCTTCCAGGTCTCATGCTCCTCCCGGAACCAATCAGTGTATCTGTACATCTGTGGGAGGCTACCTGCCTCCTATTGGTCCAGACTGGGTCACGTGAGCCTTCCAGAACCTTTCAGTGTCCCCGGAGGGCCTGGGCACACTGGTGACCAGGTGGAGTCCACAGCTGCCGTGCTGGAAGGCGGTCTCTGCCGCCATGTTTCTGGTCAGGATGGGATTGTCTTCTTTTCTCTCCATGACGCCTTCACCTGACTAGCCTTCTTTCAACACTTCCCCACCTGGACCCTGCCATTGTGGTCCCTGTCTTCCCCCAGCTTACTGTACCCAGGGAGTTGGCCTTATTCCCTAGGTGACTGGTAGGTACCTATTCGCCTGCCCGCCCGCCTGCCTGCTTTGTTTTACTGTTCTCTGCTCTTCTCTTCTTTTTTTCCCCTCCTCCTTTCTTCTTCCACTTACTTGGAATTAAACTTAGCCTTTTTTATTTTTTATTTTGAAACAGGGTCTCACTAAGTCTCTTTAAGTTGCCCAGATTGGACTTAAACTTGTGATCCTCCTGCCTCAGCCTCACAGAGAGCTGAAATTACAGGTTGGGTTATCATATCCATCTCACTCTTGCTTCACGGTTCTCTTAGGCTTTCTTAGGGAATTCCTAGCAAATGGCCAATGACAGAGTTGCCAAATTACTGCTGTATTTTTTCAAGAAGGGGACAAACTCTTCAGAGAAAAGTCCATCTCTTTTTCAGTTCTGTTGAAAATTCGAGGTGGGATTGCATGTTTAGCAATTCTTGCCTATGTCTAATTTAAATCCTACATGTTTTATTTGTAGCTTTCCCCTTCGTCATGCTTCATAGCTAGCTTGTCTCTGGGGCCCTTCTCTCCTTCCTTCCAGTCTCCAAGGCCTTCCTATTGCAGTCACACTGACCCTCGGAGGCCCCAAATCCTTTCTCTGTTCAACCCTTCCTGCCCCCAGCCTAGGAGAGTATTCCAGTCTGACGTGGATGAGAGCAGGTATGAGTTCCCTGGGCCTCTGGTCCACCGTGGCCTAAAACCCTCTCCCCACCTAGCATCGGCATGAGAGAATAAGCCACATCACCCAGCCACTGGGTCATAAGACTTAAACAGCTGATGAGTACAGGGCCTCGTGCCGCTGGGGGTATAGCTCAGTGGTAGGGTGCGTGTTTAACATGCACAGAGCCCTGGGTTAATCTCCACCATGGAGGAGTGGGCAAGAGAGAGAGACCGACACAGAGAGAGTGTCTCCACTGACACCGTGAAGTTAGAAGAGCAGCAGTGAGATGCAGTCAGTGTGGGGAGCCTGGAGCCCTGTTAGGCCACTCCTCTCTGGCGAGTCCCGGCCGGACTGTGCTGCCTCAGTGGGAAAGGCCAAGGCTGTTCACCCTCACGTGCTCGTTGGTCTTCCGAGTAGAGCAGTGAGCTCATTGCCCCTTACTTTGTTGACATATTTATCAAAGGATAGTACCTCTAGAGGTGTCTTTCTGAAACTCTGCTCAGAGCAGTTCCTGTCACTCACCCCTTTAGCTGTTTGGCAGCTCCCAAGTGGCAAAGAACAGGTGTCTCAGTACCACGTTGCTTAAAGTCCTGCCAGCCCTGGCTGCTTCCCTCCACCAGTGAGCATCGTCTCCATCCCCAGCCAGCCCTCTCCCTGTGGGCTCGTCACCCAGTGCCAGCTGTCCACATCCAGGCCTCACCTACTGCTTCTTCGGGGCTCTTTTGGAGGCAACTTGTCTTACCAGCCTGATACCCCTCTGTTCAGCTCTGGGTGTGACACAGTTCCCTGGGGCTCTTGCTGTCCCTCCCCATGTGCATTTCATCCCGGCACCTGCCTCACTCCTGATGTACCACCCCAGGAGCCCAGAGCCAACTCACTAAGCTGGACACAGCTATAGAAACGATGAAAGAAATTTTGAGACCTTAAATGCTACTACCTCCTTTCATCTACCCCTTTTACTTCTGTGTCTCCTGGGGCTGAGGTAGATGCACTTTCTCTTTCCAGAATTACCTTCTCCATCCCAGAAGGCGCCTTGGTGGCTGTGGTGGGCCAGGTGGGCTGCGGAAAGTCATCCCTGCTCTCGGCCCTCTTGGCGGAGATGGACAAGCTGGAGGGGCATGTGGCTCTCAAGGTAGGACAAGGACTTGAGGGTGGCTGGATGGGGAAGGTCAAGGACTAAGCTGTTCTCTTTTAGAACTATCTCTAAGTACAAAGTGGGAGTAACAGATTTCAGTTCCTCTCTCTCCTCTCACTCTTTTCTCCCTGCTCTTCTCCATGCCAGAAGGCAGGATGTCAATCAGTCATTCCCTGACGTGCCCCAGCTCCTAGAACAGTGCCGACTCGGGGCAGACCCTTACTAATCACGGCGAACGTACAAGTACCCTCTGGTTCTGTCTTTCTATCCTGCCCAGTCTCTACTTTTCTTCTACATCTCATGACCTCTCTGCATGAGTCTTCTGGCTTGTTTTTTCTCTCTGTGTTTCTCTTCTTACAAATACAAATCTTCTGTACTGGAGATTGAACCCAGTGCCTCTGGTTTGAACTACATCCCCAGTCCTCTCTTACTTTTTTATTTTAAGACAGGGTTTGCTGAGTTGTCCAAGCTGGGCTCAAACTTATGATCCCAAGGTGGTGCTAGGATTACAAGTGTGTGCCACTGTGCCCTCCAAAACAAAATTGTGAGATGTTGACTTACATGGTTGGAATATTTTCTCAGAGCCTTGTTTATGAGGAAACAGCTTAAATTCTGAGTGTTTGTTGAAATCTTCATGTGGAGTTGATAGAACAGTATGGCTTTATTGCTTTTAAAACAGTACTTCGAACCAAGTGGAAATTCCTTGAGAGAGTTTAAGAGGCTTCTATACAAATAAGTTCTGCTGAAAATCAACAAGCCTTGGTTTACACATAAATCTCTCCCCCCAGTGGCCTTTCCTGGTATAGAAATGAATTCCTTAAAATTTGACACCAGCATTTTCTGGAGTGTGATGTGCTGTGAATTCATCTTGCTGGCTATTTCAGCAATAAAGGGCCCCAGGCTTCTACAAGCTTGGTGCATACTTCGTATCCTCCTTCCATCCCTGTTGGAAATTTATAACAAGCATTAACAAAGTAAAGGCTCTGAGAAGTTCTGCAAATCAAAGAAACTTAACTTTGTGTAACCAACATGCTGCATCTATGTTTGCTCGAATTCCTTGTTTTCTTTACAAGACCTTTTTACATGGTCAGAACGACTCTCACGCAGTGCACACTGGGGAGTGATAGCTTGTGCCATTGTTTTCATTTCAGGCAAAATTCCTTTCTCGGTCAATGATACAGTGCCTCTTCCAAGGCAAACATCATAGTATTTGGGTCCGAGTTAATGCTGTTTAGCCATTCTTTTAAGAAATGTTCTGTCATTAATTTCAAGCACATGTTATAAAACAAGATAATGGGCAGTGTGAGCTGGAGCAATGAAGGAAAATTCCATCCTGCAGTCAGATCCACTTCGCCGCCTTTCATTAACCTAGATCTCTACAATCCCAGAACCACTGACTCTGGGCTCAGATCATTATTCCTGACTGTTTTTTTTTTTTTTTTTTTTTTTTTTTTAGTAAAAACAATACTAGAAATGCATTTAAAATACTAACTTTTCAAAATGTTTGTGTTGGTATGGCTTGTGCCTACCATGACTAAATTGTGTATAAGTCTGAGGGTCTGATATGATCCCTTGTAAGTTAGGGAGCCAGCTGTTTACAGTCATGAGAATGGATTAGTCACCAGGACCCCTGGTTCCCCCACCCAGCCTCGTTGCCCTAGAATTCCCTTGTAAGAAGCTTTGGGGGCTCCCATACGATGCAGGTCAGTGTGCCGACTAGCCTGGTGTGAGCTGACCCTGCCCACCCCCGACTTTCCTGCCTGTCTGCCCCTCGAAGGGTCCAGTCATGTCCTGGCCACCCTGGCCTTTCTGTGTCTTCAGTGTACCAAGTGCCTTTTGTCTTCAGCCCTGCTTCCTTGACTTCATTGTTCTTTCTCTTCCTTGTGATACTGTGTGATCCTTCACCACTCTGCCCTGCTCAGAACAAGTTCTTTTAATAATCTCAGTGTTTTTGCTACTAAAACCCATAAAAGAAATAGGCTGGGATTGGGGATTTTAGCTTAGCGGCATAAGCGCCTGCCTTGCAAGCGTGTAGTCGTGAGTTCGATCCCTGGTACAGGTAAAAATACAAAAAAAAAAAAAAAAAAAAGAAAAAAAGAAAAAAAGAAAGAAGGAAATAGGCTTAGCCCTAGCCATTGTCTCATACTACTTTGACTCCTTTCATCCTGTGAAAATAGGAACAAAACATCCTTTGACAGGAGCCGCTTTGCTATAGAAATCTTCCTTAAATTTCATTGGGGAAATGTCCTCAAGGAGTCCTTCCCAAAGCCTCACATTAGGTCAGCACTTTTTAAAGACTCTCTCCTCTCCTTTTTTTTTTTGGCCCCAGTAGGGGTTCAACCCAGGGTCTTCACACTGAGCTACATTCCCAGCCCTCTTTTCTTTTTTCTTTGTCTTTTCTTCCCCTTACCCCTTTCCCATGTTGCTTCTTTTTCTTTCTTTTTTTTCAGATAAAGTCTCACTAATTGTTGAGGCTTGATTTGGACTTGGCATCCTCTTGGCTCAACTTTCCAGGGCAGTGATGGCAAACCTTTTACTGATAATAAGCAGCCGGCTATAGCGTGTGTGCCGTATGTTTGCCACCACTTCTAGAGTGTTGAGGTCATAGGCATATGCCACCACACCCAGATTTAAAGGAACTTTTTAAAAGACTTTGTATATTTTTGTCCCATAGCATTTCTCACTAATCAGATTATTCTTTCAGCCCCTAAGGAATGCCTAATCTCTGGAGACAGGCTTTTTTTCTTTTTTACTATCATAGGTATTCATTAAATAATTAAATACAGAATTGCAGTTTCAGTGCATAGGATTTCAGCTCTGTTTTGTTTCATTTTGATTTGTTTTTTGAGTCAGAGTCTCACTATAATTCAAAGTGGTCTTGGCCTTACGGTATCTTCCTGTCTCAGCCTCCTGAGTACTGGGAGGACAAGTGTGTGTTACCATGCCCAACAGGATTTCAGTACTTTAACTTCTGATATTAGAGTCAGTGATTGACCTCAGATGGGCTCTGTGTGACTCTTGTTAAAGCAGTAGATATAATGAAAATGTCATGCATAGTACGATTCTCTTGGCAGGTGATATATAGGTCTCCTTGATTGAATCTGTCTGTCTCACCCCTTTGCCACCTACCATATAGGGCTCGGTAGCCTACGTTCCCCAACAGGCCTGGATTCAAAATGACACTCTGCAAGAAAATATTCTCTTTGGCCGCCAGCTGCAGGAGCACTACTACAAGGCTGTCATCGAGGCTTGTGCCCTCCTCCCGGACTTGGAAATTCTGCCCAGTGGAGACCGGACTGAGATTGGTGAGAAGGTTGGTATGGTATCAGCACCTGGCTTCTAAATCAGTCAAGTCTTGCTGTGTAGCAGTCACACAGACTCAGTGGCGTACCCTGAGCCCTTACTGTCCTGTTTGTGGGTCTGTGATCAGCTGTGGTCAGTGCCCCAGGCTGGCTTCTCTGGGCAGGAGGCAGTGCTCCATGCTTGTACCCAGCACAACTCTGAGAGTTTGGCTCAGCCTACCTGACGTGGGTTCCTGCTGGAGCCTGGGGTGAGGGCCAGCAGTTTCACAGGGGAAGCTCTTCTCGTGTAACAGCAGAAGCTGAAGGGAACAACCAAACCAGCGTGCTGTGCCCCTGACTCACATGTAAAGCAAGTAGTAGGAGGTACACTCCACTGTCGCAATTGCATGGCTGCAAGGTTGACAGAAGGTAGATACAGGGAGGAGGGCTGTAGAGGTTTCACTTGTCCACAACTCCTGCAAAAGAGATAACTAATCAAGGTGGTAATATAATAGCTAACACTTACTGAACTAGGCCCTATGCTGGGATTTTTTTCTGTTTCATCCCTGCAGCCACCCTATCAGATGGGATTTGTTGTTATTCCTATTTAATGGTTGAGAAAAGGAAGGTGCCGGATCGCCTAAAGTTCTTGGCCTTAGGCCTCACAGCCAGAGAATGTTAGAGAGGAAGACTCCTGTGTTTTTGTTCTTAACTTGCTACTTTTGGTTACTTATCTATTTTGGTAGTAATAGGAGTCAAACCCAGGGATGTTCTGCCACTGAGCTACACTTTTATTTTGAGACAAGATCTTGCTAAATCACTAAATTGGTTGGCCTTGAATTTGGGATCCCCAAATTGGGACTGCGTTGGATTTTTTTGGTTAGTCTGAGAAATGGCTGTTTCTGTGCTCCCCATGTTCTGCCCCTCCGGCCCACCCTACGCTGCTGTGAGCAGCATTCCTGCTCCCTGGCCTTTGTCTGACCTGCTTGCTCCAGTGCCCGGGGTGCCCGTCCACTGCATACTCAGTGTGCATACTTGTAAGCAGCGGCCACTTCCTGGAAAACCAAGAGAGCAAAGGGTATTTCTGTCTCTTTATAGTTACAGGCTGGCACCTGCATCAGTTTTCTGATTTGGTGAATGATTTCTTTTAATTGATGCAAATCTGCAATTCCTTGAAAAGGCAAAACAGTTACCAGGAATCTTGCGTTCTGTCAGGTTAACCCAGTTGATATCCACTACATTGCCCCAGCCAGATGTGGCAGTGTTTTGAACCACCTGTCATGGGAAGGGTGAGACTGCCACTGTGCCCACCCTCTGATGCTTTTGTGCTGTCATGGGGCTGGGTCACAGTCTTGAAGTCTGGCTGGGCCCTCCATGTCCTCAGCAGCAGCTCTGTCAGCAGCCTTCTGCATTTCTCAGGACACCCATCTTCTGTGCTGTTTTTCCTCCCAGGGTGTGAACCTCTCTGGGGGCCAGAAGCAGCGTGTAAGCCTGGCCCGGGCTGTGTATTGTGATTCAGACGTCTACCTCTTCGATGACCCGCTCTCAGCTGTGGACGCCCACGTGGGAAAGCACATTTTTGAAAATGTGATTGGCCCCAAGGGGATGCTGAAGAATAAGGTGCTGTCACCTCCCTTGCTTTCGGGTTAAGTCAGGGTGTGTCCCCTTTTAGGAATCCTCCACTTCCCTGGCTTTTTGTTTTTTTGCTTTGTTGAACTTGAACACATTTCTCTTGCTTCCCTTGGAAGCCTTCCCAAGGCAGCCGACTTGCAATTGTGTTTATAGGGAAGGTCCTTGGCACAACTTGAATTCACTGACTCCACTGCCCAAAGATGGTCTGGCTTCCGATTAAATCATGGGACTGGCTCCTCAGGAAAAGCCCACCCTGTGACCTCCTAGGACTTAGATGGCTCTACTTCCAAGGGAAAGTGACTGAGGGTTGCGAGTTGGGAGTGTGAAATTCACCAGGACATCTTAGTGTGACAAGGAAACAGATCCTGTGCTTGGGCCGGGAGGCAGCAAGGGAAGGAGAGGTGCACTGGTCCGTCTCCCAATCTAAAAACATGGCCACAAGGAACAGTGAAGTTTATGCAAAACCACGGTAGTTATGCATACTCCTACCATTTAGATTTGTTTCTTTTGAATCATTTTGCTCTGTGTATAAACTTTTAAAATAAGATTATCATGCTCTATTTAGACAGCATCATAGCACTTAACCTGTTATAAGCAGTCCTGTGGATACCACTAACATTTAGTGCATTTAGAAATTTTGTTCTTAAATATTTTTTAGTTTCAAAGGAATACAAGCTCATGGTACCAAATTAATAAGAGTACAAGGAGATATGTATATATACAAATGTGTACACACATTTGCAGATCTGTGCACCCCATTCCCCTAATTTCTTTGTTGTGCATGGAGGTCAGCAAGCTAAGATTTTTTGTTTTGTTTTTTTAAAGTTGATGGAAAAAATCCAAAAAATAATTTGTGACATGCCCAAATCATATTAAATCTAAATACCATTGCCTGTAAATATAGCTTTATTGGGGCACAGCACAGCCAGCCTGTGCTTCCGTGTGTCACCTGCACAGCTTCATTCTGTAGCATCAGAGCTGAGCTCTTGTTGATACTCTAAGAGCTGTGAAGCCCCAAAACATTGACCATCTGGCTCTGTAAGAAGAAATCTGCCTGACTTCTACTTCTATAGTTGGATGAATCTCTTCGCAGGCTTCCACATTCACAGAGAAAACATATACCTTTGACCCTCAGCACTGCAAAATAAATAAATGAAATTTTAAAAAAGATGTATATCCATAATAAACATACGTACTTTGTAGTGAATTTGGGGGAAGGGAGATACAGAGATGCTTTTAAGAAAATGTAAAGCCATTGCATGCAGATTGTTTTGCAAGGGTACCGTTCTTCTGTTCATTCACACCCTTGTGTGGGTACCACCTGGCCTCCTCATCCCCGCTGCTAAATACTCACCCCCATCAAGTCCTCATACACCAGTTTGCTTTTTTGGTTGTGCTTCACCATCCAGCACATAGGTTTTTTGTTTGTTTGTTTGTTTCTCCTCCATCCTGGAGTTTGGGTCAAGGTCTCAGTTTGTCTTGTTCCCTGCTGCACCCCCTGCTCTGCAGTTCTGTGCCTATCTCCTAGTGCAGGGCAGACCATGGCACATAGTCTCAGGCTTTAGCCTGCTTCTGTCCCAGATATGTGTCCTGCCTTCAGATTTGAGTGCTGCTGTGCAAAGCCTGGCGATACTTCCCTTAGCCATCATTGTGCCAAGTCAGGCTGTCTCACACATGAGCTCCCATAACTGGGGTTCTGCTTTTCCCTATAGACTCGGATCCTGGTCACGCATGGCATCAGCTACTTGCCACAGGTAGATGTCATTGTCGTCATGACTGGTGGCAAGATCTCAGAGATGGGCTCTTACCAGGAGCTGCTGGCCCGGGACGGGGCCTTCGCTGAATTCTTGCGCACATATGCCAGTGCAGAGCAGGAGCAGGCCTCAGAGGATGATGGTAAGGCAGTGGGGTATTGACTCGGGATCACACTTGCCTCTTGGAGGTTCCCACCAGCTGCCCTGGGAAAGGGAGTCATGCAGGCATCAGGGTGGGTGGCAAATCACGCTCCCCAGGGACCAGCTGGAGAACCAGCTGGATAGAGAGGGAACTGCATACCTTAAGGCCAGGATCCAGGTCCCAAAAGCATTAGTCTTCAATTTAACTTATCTAAAGGTGGGAACCAGTCTTCCTATAAAGTAGCCAAGGGTCCATGAGCTTTGGAATCTTAATGGCAAAAACAAGGACAATAGTAATTATAGTCTGTCTATGGCCATATCACCCTGAATACATCCAATCTTGTCTGACAGTTGTAGTCTCTCTGTTTGTGCAGAGACTGAGACAGGGTGAAAACAGTGAAACTCGGGACAGATGAAGCATGAGAGTTGAACCTATGTGTTTGGGTTACTGGCCCTGCACTCAAATTCCAATTGCTACTCTAAACATTTTGGTGACCCACATCTTGTTGACAACTTAAGACCCCTCAGCCTGTGTCCTCACTGATACAGTAGTGTGACAGGAGGAACATCCTCCTGACATGGGGTGGTAGTTTAACATCTGATGGACATGGAGCATCCACTGAGCGTCGGCAGGTGCTCAGTGTTTCCTGAATGTTCTGTAAGTGGTAGTTGTAAATGTTAGCACCTTGCAGGGGAGAACTGTCCCTGGCCTGTGCTGGTCACAGCAGACCTGCCCTTTCTCAGCTACCTGGCCTCAGATGCCCCTGCAGGCTGGAATTGGAAAGCAGGTTGGTCCCAGGCATCTTTTCAGACTTTTGGGCAAGGGTGGACATTAAGAGTCCTGCTGTGTCACACGTGGCATAGGCTTCGTTATGTACTATTGGTCACACTGGTGTCTCAAAGATTCTTCCACTCACCTTCTGTATGAGAGGTGTGGCCCATATTGACATGGACAGGGCAAATGTCATCTGATGCTTTCTCTGTGCCCCACACAGCCAGGCTTTTATGTAGGGGACACTGCCTTGGTTTCATCTGTTGCTCCAAAGAGTGGTCACCTATCCACCCCCAGTCTGCCTCTTCTAGAAGCCACTCACAGACTCCCTGGGCTTCAAGTGTGTTACACACTTTGTCTCCTGTCAGGCCACAGATATGGCTGCAGGGCCCCACTATACTGCTTCCTGTAGACAAGGCGCACTCTGAGCTCTGTGTGAAGGACCTGGAGTTGTATAGTCTGGCACCCCATGGCGCTCTGTGGTTGCCCAAAAGAAGCTATTCACTGTTTGTTTATTTGGTCACTCAGGGATTTATTGAGTACCGACTCTATGTGTTAAGTGGTTTTCTTATTTTCCTAGGGCTGCTATCACAGCACCACAGACTGAACAACTTAAATAGCAATCATTTATTATCTCATGCTCCAGGATCAAGAGGTTAGCTCCTTTTGAGGATCTTATTGGAGAGTCTCCCAGGACCAATCTGGTTTGGGGCAGAGGCCAGGGTTCTGGCATTTCCCAGCTCCTTTTCCACCTCAGTGTGCTCCCCAGTCCGAGTCCCCCCCTCCCTGAATAAGGAAATCAGTTTATACTGTGGAATGCCCACTCTACTACAGTATGACCTCCGCTTAACAAGCACAAGGTGTGATCAAAAAATAGGAGGGATATTAAAAATTTTAAAAATGTATTATGATAAAGACACATTGCCATTAATACCTATCAAAATACTCCCCCTCACTTTGAACACACCTATCCCATCATTCTTGTCACTGTCTGAACTCTTTTGTGAGTGTCTTTACCTCTTTTGTGGTGCCTGGTTTGGTGTAGTGAATCAATTCAAAATGCTTCCCTTTCATGGTCATTTTGACTTTGGAGAAAAGCCAAATATTGCAAGTGCCAGATGCAGTGAAAAAAGTGGATGGGGACAAACTGTGATGTTTTTACGATCCTGCCTTTACATTGGCTGGCAGCAGCACTCATTTGTTTTTAATCATGTTTCTTAAAGACACAAATTAGGACTTCAGTACTTCTTCAGAAAGTAACAAGAGTGGTGAGATAAGTTTTTTGAGACAAATTTTGAGGGAAGTTAATGGCGATATGTCGTTTACTATAATCAGTTTTTAAATGTAAGCACTCACCCTATATTTTGATCACCCTGCTATACCTATAATGACCCTATCTATAGACAGTCACATTCTCAGGTGCTCAGGGTGAGGGCTTCAGTGTACATGTTTTAGGTCCCTGAGTCAACCTGAAACAGTGTTGTTCCAGGTTTTGGAGAGGCAGTAGTGATCAAGATACAGGCGAAGCTTAGTGAACCTTAGTGTCGAGAGGGAAAGGCAAAAAGCAAATTGCATGAAGATGGTTTCAGGTATTAAGCACTGTGAGGAAGAAAAGCCCCAGATAACTGACCAAGCAGGCATGCGGTGGCAGGCTGGCAACTCAGGATGATCAGGGAAGCCGCTGTGGGGAGGGGAGGGCATGGGAAGGAGCCAGCCAGGAGCAGCTCTGGGGAAGTGTTTTGGATATGGAGGAAGCTTTGCGACATAGAGGCTTTGCAAGCAGTATCATCTCTATTGGTGTAAGAAACTTATAGGAGCCTGGTGTGGCCAGAGCAGGGTGGACAGGGGCTGGAGGGGTGAAGAGGACAGCCCTGTGGGAGGACTTTGATCTAAACCTGTGAGGAGCCACTCAGTGAAAGAGAGGAGAGTTCCCTGAGGACACCTAGCGGCTGCTGGCAGGTTGGAGCTCAGGTTTGGTCTTACTCTTCTGCCTGTGTTAGTCTTGCTGTGAGGCTCTTAGTGGTTTTTTGTAGTTTCTGTTTTTGTTTTGTTTTACTGGGTACTGTACTGGGGATTGAATCCAGGGCCTTTGCCCTGAGCTACATCCCCAACTCTTTTGTAGTTTTTGAGCCGCTGCCTCACAAAGTTACCCAGGCTGGGCTTGAACATGCTGTTGTCCTGTGTCAACCTTTCAGAGTGCTGGGATTACAGGCAGGGCCACTATGCCCAGCTCTTTTAGTAGTTTTTACAGGTGTCTTTTGAGATAGGATTCATGTACCTTATAATTTGTCAGGTTAAAGTCACTTAATCCAGTGGCCATTAGTGTACTCAGAGTTGTGTAGCCTTATCACATTCATTCTTAGAATATTTTCATCTCATTTGCAAAGGAAACCCCATACCTATGAGCAGTCACTCCCCGTTTTTTTGGTTTTGTTTTATTCTTTTTTTTTGCCAGTCCCCAAGTCCTAAGCAACCACTAATCTACTCTCTGACTCTCTAAATTGGCGTAGCCAAGACTTTTTGTATAAATAGACTTGATGATACATGCTGGTTTGTGACTGATTTCTTTCACTGAGTGTTGTGTGTTAAGAGAAAAGTCGTACTTCTGGGTTTGTTTTGTTTATTGTTTCTTGCTGTGTGTGGTAACTGACATTCCCTTCAGCTTTTGATTTTTGTGATTGGAATGAGTTTCTACACAGTTCCCTCGTGGCCAAGGAGTTCTGCCTTAAATCTAGCCTGTTAAATCTTGCTATAGTTCTATTGTCTGTGTCTCTTAGCCCGAGTGATGGATTATGACAGCTTCTCTTCATTGGTCTGCCTGGTGGGCTACATTTAGGCAAAAACAATGCTTTGGTTTCTCAATCAAGGGATATGGGTTCCACTGAATCTTTTTTCCAGAATGATCTGTCTGTCTGGTCTGGTTTGGTCTTTCTCTCTCAGCTGACATCTCTGTCCCCAGCCCCCTTTCCACCCAGATAACCAAGGGACATCCTTAAACTCTATTGGCTCAGATGAATTTTGCCCTGTCCCCTCTCCAGCTGCCAGCATATCCAAAGCAGTGTATACAGAATGTTAAAAGTGGCCAATTTATTTTCTGTGCATGGTGGCACCTACTTTGGTGATAAGAACACCACCCTCTACCTTAGTGTCTCTGTGGGTTCACTTCCCAGGTCAGCCACCTCATCTCTGACCAGAGGAGACATGCAGCATCCTTAGCCTAAGGGTCTTGAACCAGGTGGCCCCTTTCTCCTCCCCATCCGGAAGTCCTGGCATCCTGGCCTTGTCTTGCTAACCCTCAGCCAGCTCCAACCACTGAGCTTGGGTCTCTAGGGCCATACTTTTGGCTCCTCCTAAAAGGGAAACTTTTCTTGTTGGATTCATGAGGTCCAACCCCCAGGCCAAAGGTGGGTTGGTTAGGAGTGATTCTTTGTCAGTGTTATGGAAGAGGGGAGATGTAATGGATACTTTACTGATTCTGGGAAATCTATTTAGTACTTACTTGGGATGCCAAACAGAAACACACAAATTTTTTATTAACCTGCATGCACGAGAAGCAAAAAACATTTTATAACTTTGTTTTATTTGTGTGTGTGTGTGTTTTGTGGTACTGGGGAGTAAACCCATGGCCTTCACGTTCCCAATCCTTTTGATTTTTATTTAGAAACAGAGTCTTACAAAGTTGCTAAGTTGCTCAGGTCTGGCTCAAACTTGTAGTTCTGTTGCTGAGGCCTTGCTGAGGCGGGGATTACAGGTCTGTGCTACCACACCTGGCTGGTTTCTTCTTTTTCTCTTTCCCAGTGCTGGAGATGAAACCTCATGCATGCTCAGCAGGTGCTCTTGCACCGAGCTATGTTTCTTCAGGAACATAAAACCCAGATCATGGGTTTCCCACAATGAGCAGTGGTGATATTTGGCTTTTGGCCATTCAGATGTTTGTTGCCATTACTGCTGGACTGGGGCCTTCTGCAGATACCTATTGGGTAAAGCCCGGCAGGGCTACTAAGCATCATTCAGTACCAGGACTTAGTCCCAAATTTACCACCAGATGGTGGGTGTTAGACAGACAACAAAAATCAGATTAACATGTGGTACGTGGTCTCTGGTGCTGACAAGCCACATCTGTCCCTATCCTGAGTCCCAGAAGCGTAGCCTGGCCCTGCCGAGCCAAGGCACCAGCACTCACAGCAGCCTGTCAGAGGCTGGTTATGCCAGCGCCACCTACAGAAGGGTCTGGACCTCAGCCCGGCCAGGACCAGCGGGCCAGCCTCCATTGGGAGAAGAATTCAGCTCACTGTTGTGTAGATGGCACTTCATTTTTGACCAAAAATGGAACTGACTGGCTGTACCACCCAAGCTCGCACTCAAGCTGCAGCTGTGAAAGCTCTCTTTCCTCAAAAGTGGATGAAATGTAGGCCCTGCAGAGAGGACATTATAGCTTGTGTGCTGGAAGGGCGATTGCTTGATGATGTCCACAGCATTTCAGTGAAGTGAGAGGCACTGATAAGCTAAGGCAAGAAAGAAAGCAAGCAGGCAGAGTGTGGGGAGCTGCTGTTAGCATTTACTGCCTCTCACGAGGCCGACTTCTCCAGGCTTTCTTCCTGCCAAGGACCAAGCTCTTCTGTGCAGCCCCCAGCCCGAGTTCTCTCCACTGTGTGACAGGAATGGAGTTAAGTCCTGGCACTGAGTGATGCTTAGCAGCACTGCTGGGCTGTACCCAATAGATATGTGTAGAGAGCCCCAATCTGTCTTTTCTAGGGATTTTTTTTATAGGAATAAAGTCATGGGGTGAGACAGGTTCAAGGGGGAAAACTGGGAACTCACAAGGCAGAAGGGTGTAAGGTGGAACAGAGCTATGGTTAACTAATAAGATTAACTGTCAGGTAAACTTGATTAAATAGGGCACCAGAAGAAGTGAGTCAATAGAAAGTGGGCATTCTTACAGGGTAGTGACTCTTCCCTAGGGGGTTGGGATGGTGACTCCTGACTTCTCAGGGTGACAGAGAACTATTTAGAATAGCAGTCCTTAGGAAATGGGTGCATTTGTTAGATCTTTTGTCTTAAGGCCTGGCCCACAGCAGGAGGTGTTTGTGTCCCCCACAGTTGCAAGGTGTCTGGGCTTTTGCGCTGGCTCCTTCGAGGACCCAGCCCTGTCTCACTGCCTATAATATTTCTAACTAACTCAGCTACTTGTAACAGTTGCATGGAAAGTCCTCTTTGTTATCATTCTTCCTTCCTGAATGATGGGCTGTTTTTGTGGCTTATTTATGTAAGAAGAACAGATGGTAACATGCAAAGAATGTGCAAGGCAGTGCTCCCCAGTTCCTGCCATGCCCAGAATTCTCTGTGGATCACAGTGACAAATGCACATAATATAAACACCACAGTCTTTCTCTCATAGAGCACTGGCTATGCTAGGTGCCACACAGGATCCCATTTCAGCTCCCTGCCTAGGAGGGTGGTCTCTTTTGCTGTTCTCTTTTGCAGATATGCAAGTTGAGGCTTACAGAAGTTTCCCATTTCCTGCAGGTACACAGCTGAGAAGTGAGAGACCAACCCCCAGAGTGCTGGCTACCCGAATCTGCCCCTCTTTGTCTGAAATTGCTGTAGCTCTGTCACTGTGGGGACCAGCCCTGGGCTCAGGCCTGCTTCTCATTTATAAAGCACTCTTGCTCTCAGCAAATCATTCCCAGCCATTATTGAGAATCCCTGGTGTAGGGCACCTGCCCCATTTCAGGAAACATCCCTAGCTCCCTGTTCGCTTCCAGTGTTGCCCCAGGCTCCCTGTGGCTGTTACATTAGAGAGGCTGGCTTCCTGCATTCTGCATGTACTGCATAGTCCCTAGGTCGCTCTGACTGGGCTGCTGGCAGCATATTTATGTCATATGTAACTTCTTTCCTGATCTCCTCCCAGGGCAGCCCTCTGCTGCATTATATTGTACTTATCCTTCGTTCCTGGCATCAAAGAAGATTAGTGCAGAGTGGGTGTAGTAATTGTAATCACGGCCCTCACTGAATCCTGAAGATGGAAAGAGCTGATGAATTGCTCTCAGCACAATGCTCATCCTCCTGTAAAGGCCATCATCCTGGCTACTGTTCTGGGGATCCTTCTGGGACTGGGGCCTGTCCATAGAGTCCTTGTCAGTTTATATATTGAAATATCTCCTTGTTGGGGACTCAGCCTTACCCAGGGCCCTAAGCATCTGTCCACCAGAAGTTAACCCCTCTCCCTACATTACAGTGGCTTCTCCTCATTGGCTGCTGCCCTTGTCAGGCTGGTTGGTTTTTGAGTGTTCCTCTGATCAGAGGCCATTGACAACCAGAGGGCTTTGTGTGGTCCTTTGCATCTCTGTCACTCCAGCTAAATTTGCCTGTCAGTTAGGCTGGATTTTACTCCTCACTGCCAGTACAGGGAACCTGCCCAAGCCCAGGACTTTCTGTGCATAAGGCCTTGCCTGGGACCATTAAGTCCCAAGGGTCCCCACTCTAGCTGCAGCATGAGAGACTGTCTGTGGCCTCACAAAGCGGGGAGTTTCTGGTGGCCTGCTTATCTGCTCACTCTGCCCTTTGGTTTTGGCCTTAGCCTTTACAACACCAAATGTGTACTTTCTCTCTTCTGCCAGGGGTGACAAGCATCAATGGTCCAGGGAAGGAAGCAAAGCAAATAGAAAATGGCATGCTGGTGATGGACAGCACTGGGAAGCAGCTACAGAGGTGAGCACAGTGAGGGCAGTTGTGGCTGAGGGTTCTCTAAGACCGGTGCCTTTACCCTGCTTACCTGGGTGGAAAGGGAGGTGGAGGGTGCCAGCACCTTACTCGACCTACTCCAAAAGACCCTCTGTGCTCCCCACACAAGTCCTCTGGAGCCTCACTTTCCTGAGGCCCACAGGGAAAGTTGATGCTCTTTGTGTTGGGTGGCACAACTCTTGCAGACCTCACAATTGAACCCTCTGTCCCCACTCCTGACTCTGAAGTTCCCCATGCTGGTGTGGATCTCTGCTCAAGGCCCTCACTCACAGGTGCTTGCAGTGATCAGGCTTTGCAAAGCAGTGTCTGATTAAAAGTAGTCAAAATAAGCTGGGTGGATTGTAGCCAGGAAGAAGGCAGAACAGTAAGCAGCAGAGTTAACGGCCTTTCTGAGAGAAACAGTCCAGATGCTGGAATATAGCATTGTGGGGAAGACAAGAAAGAAGGAAGTGGATCTGCTCAACTCAGAAAGAACCTAAAATGAGACTTGAAGCCCACAGAGAGAGTGAAAAAAGGAAAACTTAAAGAAGAAGGAGGCAGTTGGTGGTGCTTTCATACACAGCCAGACCCACTGTGCGAGAAGAGCTGTTGAACCCTGGGGACGCACGGTTACAGTGAAGGTGGTGGCGGCTGGCAAGCCCAGAGGCCTCTGCAAAGAGACACGGTGGCAGAGGGGAGCAGCGGACTGGAGAACGCACTGGCTGGCAGGGACCATAGAGGAAGGATTCAGTCCTTCCATGGGAGACAGCGATTGGTTGGGAGCCGTTTTGGAGTTGGGCAGGATAAGCCCAGAACCAGGATTGCAACCAGCTTCCTTCCGCCATTCCTAGCTTGGAACAGACTGGTGGAAATTGCTGGACTGAGTCCTGCCCCTGTGCGCATTCCAGCAACCATCGCGGAGGTTTCCCTATAGCTATCGTTAACCTGCCCCGCCCCTGCTTGCACCCTAGCAGCCACTGATAGCCCTACACCAGCGCACCAAAGGTCACCATTGGATATCCCTAGCCAGCACTGGCTAGAAAAATCAAACAGCCTTGATTCAGAGAAATTGTAGCCAGCACAGGAAGTGCTGAGGGCCCCACTACCCACTTCTCTGGAAGAAACCAGGACTATGACATAAGAGGAAGAAGCAAAAGGCAGTCTCTGGCCTCCAACCCAAGCAGCTCTGGTCCAGGAGATGTAAACACGGAAGAGATCAGGTGTCGCACACCTGAAGTTTCTTAAGAAATGGCAGCTGAAGTAAAGAAACAACTTCATGAGGCTATAAAAGAAGTTAGAACAGAAATACTATCTCAGGTAAAAGAAGAAATGAGAAACATAATGAAAGAATTACTAAGTACCTCTAAAGAAGACATAGAGGGAAGAATAGAGGAGCTTAGGAAAATGTGGGAAACCTTGAATGAAGAATATAAAAAAAGATTTAATATACATGAAACAGATTCAAAGAGATTACCAGGAAATTAAAAACTCCATTGAAAGCTGGCAAAACTGCTTGAAAGAATCTAAAGATAGACTTTCAAACCTTGAAGACAGGTTTGCAGCTTGCAATCACGAAAGAAAAGATCTCTTAAAAATAACTTGTGTGACCCTCTCCCTAGGCCAGCAGGCATGTGGGGTTACTGTGCCTGTGTTGAGGGGGTCTGAGAGAGTCTTCACAAAAGGGGATTCTCAAAAACTGTAGAGTTTGGAAATTGGAGAGAACCAGGGGAGTTGCTATGGCAACCATAGGGGCTTGAGGTGACAAGCCCTCATCCTCTGCTCCCCCAGAAGATCTCTGATGTGCCTACTCTGAATGAGGTTTCTTAACTGAAAGAAAAAATGTAAAGTTCTTGGCTTGCGTATTAAATACATAAATCCTTATGGATGTGACGTTGGTGATAAAGTACAAAAAAGGTAAGAGATCCCACAAGTTTAAAGAATGAATTTTAAGGTGAAGGGGAGAGAAAAGGTGAGATATTTTCTCATGTTTAATTTTTTTTTTCCAAATCCGTTTTATTTCAAGGAGCAAAAAGAAAACTAAAACAAGATGTCAAAACATATCAGTTGGGACAATGATACACTGTGCATTATCATCTCCATATCGTTCACCCAGAGGACCATTGTGTGAACAGTGCCAGCACAAATCACTCTCTTCAGTGACTCAGAGAAATCAGTAGTGTAACTGTTTTAACATGTGTGTGTGTGTGTGTGTGTGTGCGTAATGCATATGTTTCAGCGTCTCATACTAGTGAGGCAATATGATATTTACACATGTGTTTTATTTCACTTATGAATATGGCCTCAAGTTACATTCATTTACCTACAATTTCTAGGTTTCCTTCTTGATGGCTGAGCAATACTCCATTTCATAAAAAAAAAATACCACATCTTTTTAATCCATTCCTCAGTGAATGGACATTTAGGTTGTTTCCAAGATCAAGCTATTACAAATTGTGCTGCTATAAATGTGGGTGCACATATCACTGTGGTATGATGTTTTAAATTCTTTTGGGAAGTTACCCAGAAAGAGAAGAGCTGGGTTGAATGGGACCTGTGGTCCTAGTTTTTTCAGGAATCTCCATACTGATTTCCACAGTGGTTGCACCAGTCTGCATTCCCACCAACAGTGGAGAAGCATTACTTTTTCCCCACAGACCCTCCAGCACTTGTTATTGCTTGATTTCTTGATACAAGCCATTCTTTCTGGAGTGTGGTGGAATCTCAGTGTTGTTTTTATTTGCAATTCTTGAGTGCCCAGTGATATTGAACATTTTTTCATGTATTTATTTGCTGTTTGTATTTCTTCATCTGAAAAGTGTGTATTCATCTCAGATGCCCATTTTTGGATTGGGTCTTTAAATCTTAGAGGACTGATTTTTTTTTTTTTGAGTTCTTTATATATTCTTGATAGTAATCCTTTGTCTGAGGTACAGCTGGCAAACATTTTCTCTGATGTTGTGGGTTGTATCTTCACTCTGTTGGTGGTTTCTCTTGCTGTGCAAAAACTTTTCAATAGAGTGAGATTCCACTTGTTGTCTCATTGTGATAGTTTCTGTGCAGTTGGGGTTTTGTTCATAAAATCTTTGCCTATACCAGTGTCTTCAAGAATTTTACCTACTTTGTCTTCCAGCAGGTTTAATGGTAAGATCTTTGATTCTGATTTTATCTTAGCATGTGGTAAAAGATACGAGTCCAGTTTTAATCTTTGGCATGTTTAGAGCCAGTTTTTCCAGCACCACTTATTCAAGAGGCTGTCTTTCTTGCAGGGAATGTGTTGTCAAAGATAAGGTGGCTGAGTGTGTCTGGAGTTGTTTCTGCATCTTCTAATCTGTTCCACTGACCTTCAGGTCTGTTTTGCCAGTACCACACTGTTTTTATCACAGTGGCATTATAGTATAATTTCAAGTCAGAGATTGTGATGCCTCATGTCTTGTCTTTGTTGCCCAGGATTGCTTTGCTTTTCTCAGCGTCTTCTGCTTTCAGATGAATTTTAGGGTTGTTTTCTCTAATTCTGTGAAATATGCAATTGGAATTTTGACGGGGATTGCACTGAATCTGTGACCATTTTCACTACATTGATTCTTCCTACCCTAGAACATAGGGTATCTCTCCATTTTCTAATGTCTTCTTCAATCTCCTTTTTCAGCGTACTGTAGGTTTCAATGTAGAGGTCTTTTACATCCTTTTTAGGTTGATTCCTACATACTTCATTTTTTTTGGATGTTATTGTAAATGGTGTTGTTTCTCTGATTTTTCTCTGTTTGTTTTTCATGTGCAAGAAGGCTATTGATTTCTAAGTGTTGACTTTGTATCCAGCTATGTTACTGAATTTGCTTATTAAATCTACTGGTCTTTTGATGGAGTTTTTGGGATCTTCTATGTAGAGTGTCATGTCATCTGCAAATAACAATAGTTTAACCTCTTCCTTTCCTATTTTTATTCCTTTTATTTCTTTCTCTTGTCTAATTGCTCCAGCTAAAGTTTCCAGGACTACATTGAATAAGAGTGGAGACACTGGACATCCTTTCTTTTTCCTAATTTTAGAGTAAAAGCTTTCAGGTTTTATCCATTTAGTATGATGTTAGTGGTTGGTTTGTCATAGATAACTTTTATCAGATTGAGATAAAGGCCATCTATTCCAATTTCTGGAGGGTTTTTATCATGAATGGGTGCTGGACATTATCAAAAGCTTTTTCTGTGTCTATTGAGTTGGTCATATGGTTTTTGTCCTTGGATCTGAAATATGGAATATTACATTTATGTATTTACATATGTTGAACCATCCCTGCATTCTTGGAATGAATTCCACTTGATCATGATGTGTAATCTTGGTGATTTGCTGCACTCTGTTTGCCAGTAATCCTCAATAATGAGGATTTTTGCATCAATGTTCATTAAGGAGATTGGGCTATAATTCTCTTTCTTAGTGCTTCTCTGGTTTTGGTGTCAGGGTAATGCTTGCTTCCAGGAATGAATCTGGGAGTATTGCTTCCCTTTCAATTATATTAAAGAGTTTGGGAAGTAGTAGTGGTGTTAAGTGTTCTCTAAATTTCTTGTAGAATTCAGCAGTGAATCCGTCAGGGGTTTTGTTTGTTGATAGGTTTTTAATTACATCTTTGATTTCATTGATTGATATTGGTTTATTTAGGATTTTTATATTTTCTTGATTCAGCTTTGGTAATTCAAATATATCTAGGAATCTGTCCATTTCTTCTGTATTTTCCATCTTATTAGAATACAAGTTTTCAAAGTAGGTATAGATGATCTTCTAGATTTCTGCAGGGTCTGTTGTGATTTTGCCCTTTTCATTCCTAACTGCATGGATTTGCGTCTTGTCTTTCCTTTTTTTATAAGTCTGGCTAAGAGTTCATCAATTTTATTTAATCTTTCAAAGAACCAGCTCTTCCATTCATTGATCCTTTATATCATTTTTATAGTCTCCAGTGTGTTAATTTCTGCTGTGATCCTTATAATTTCCTCCTCTGTGTGAGCTTTTGGCTTGCCTGTTCCTCTTGTTCTAGAAGTATGAGGTCCAACATTAAGTTGTTTGTATGCATTTGTTCTGTTTTTCTGCTATAAATTTCCTGCTATAAGACTCTTAAGACTGCTTTTACAAGTTCCAATATGTTGTGTTGTCATTATCACTGAACTGTAAAAACTATCTAATTTCTTCTTTAATTTCATCTGTGCCCCCCTGGTTGTTCAGTAAGATGCTATTTAATTTCCATGTGTTTATGAAGTTTTTGTGGTTTCCTTTGGCACAGATTTCCAACTTCATTTCACTGTAATCTGACAGTTTGTATGGGATAATTTCAATTCCTTTGCATTTACTTATGCATGTTCTGTGAACCAGTACACGGTGTATTTTGGAGAATGTCCCATGTACAACTGAGGAAAATGTGTATTCTGATATTGTGGGATGGAACACTTGTAGACATCTACTAAGTCCATTTGCTCAAAAGTTCGATTTAGTTCTAATATTTCATTATTGATTTTTTTTGTTAGTTGATCTGTCTTCTGTGTGATAGAGGGGTATTGAAACCACCCAGTACAGTTTTATTAGGGTACATTTGATTTTTTATGTCCATTAGTAATTGTTTTACTAGGGATTGAACCCTGGGTCTTCACACTGAACCACGTCCCCACCCCTTTAAAAAACAATGGGTGTTTGTTTATTTATTTATTTTTGTTGTTGTTGTTTGAGACAGAGTCCTGCTAAGTCACTGAGTTGACCATACTGGGCTCTTAACTTTGAATCCTCCTGCCTCAGACTCCCAGAATGTACCACTGTGTCAGTGATAATCTTTTTACTGGCAGTGTCCCTGGACAGTGTAAAGCATCTTGTAGGAGAGACCAGGAATGCTGGAGACATAGCCAGACTGGCTTTCATAATAAATGCACTCTTGAAATTCCCCATGAATGGTTGAACACATTCCTGAGGGCAAATTCTAATCACTTCCTGGTGGTCTTACACGGCCCACCTCTGTACCATATAATGACTAAATTTTAATGAGTAGATGGGTCAAGCTATGTTTAAACCATAGCAGTTACTGTTTATCACTTGAGGGTGGTGAGTAAATCTGGGGGCTTTAATGTTAAACTATTTTAGCATGGAAAATGACACACAATTCAAAAATTGATGTGTTCGTATATAGAGGGTATGTGTGATACATGTGATTAAGTGATGAAGCAAATGAGAATAAAGTATGAGGAATGGGTGAGTCTGGGTAGAGGATGTATAGTCTCTTACAGTATTTTTGGAACTTTCCTACAAATTTGAATTACATGCAAATAATTACCAAAAACATTAGAATTGGCCTCCAGAAAACAAAGATAAAAACAGATTTCAAGGGCTGGTCTTAGATCCTCTTTCAAACATAACAAAGAATCTAAAAATTAAAATCAAATGATAAAACTTAGATAAAGCATCAAACTAGTTCCATGCTACGGAAAGTTATGGATGTGGCCTGGGGAGGGGTAGACGTTGGCCCAGAGTCCCTTGGGAGAATCCAGAATCATCTCTTCATGCAGGCATTGTTCATAAAATACTTTGCTCCTGCCTGTGATCATTGGCTTTGTGCAGACCCTCTTTTCCCTGAGGACTCGCAGCCCTGGAAGATGATGTGAAGGGCATACATGTGCATCTTCATGTATGTGCTTGTTGTGTTCATGCTTTGACATCCCTGTCACTCACAGCCCCAGCATGGGGCACGCCGAGCCTGTCCCTGGCATCCTTGGTTTGACACTACTGTGCTTCACTTCCCAGGCAGCTAAGCAGCTCCTCCTCCTACAGTGGTGACATCAGCAAGCACCACACCAGCACCGCTGAGCTACAGAAACCCAGGGCCCAGGAGGAGACCTGGAAGCTGATGGAGGCGGATAAGGCGCAGACGGGGCAGGTGAGGGCTGGCTCCTTAGTAAGGAGGATGCTGGGTCTGCAGAGCTCTGCTGTATGTATGTAGGTGCTATGTTACATGAACACCTGCATCCCTGATGATGAACCTATGCAGGTGCCAGCTACAGTCCCCGAAACTAAGTCCAGAGAATGAAGTGGTTACTTACCCAACATCACAGCTGGCAAGCAGCAGAGCCAGGGTCTGAATCCAGGCTCCAGGCTTGGCACTTGTCAATAGAGTCCTGACTTCCCCTCTGTTCCTCCCTCATGGAACAACTCAGGGCTTCCCTTAGCTTAGGCAACTGGATCCTTTGAATCCAGGCCTTTTGCGAAGTGGACTTTCGATGTGTGTGAGATGGTTTCAAGCTGTGCACAGATCTAACAAGCACTAAAGGTCATGAACTGACATGGTCAGAGCTATTTCATTTCTCTTTTAGTCTTTATGATTACATCAGTGTGAAAACTTCCTTTGGGTGCTTTCTATCTTAATACCTAACATGGAGAGTAGGTCCCAATCTCTTATTTTATTGTATTTTTTAAAAGATCATCTGTTGCGGGCAAGCATCAATCATTTTCCTTTTACAGTTGAAATTTAGAGTTTATTTTTAAAAGTAAACGTGGTTATATAAAAATAAAAGCAGGGCTAGGATTGTAGTTGGGTGATGGAGCACATACAAGGCCCTGGGTTCCAAGTTTCCCAAAGTAGGGAATTATATTTTTAAGATAAATAAAAATTAAGTACACAAGAAAGTCAAAACACCTCCAAAAGGTAGGAGAGACTGAGCAGGTTTGAGGGGTCACTAGGTGAGGTGCAGGGAATACCCCCTGCCCCCTCCAAAAGATATGGTGACCTCAGCTTGCCTCCCACTCCAGAGTAGGTTTGTCCACTTTCATCACAGAAAAGCATTCAGCATACATTGAGAGAGGCATAGGCAGGTTTATTAAGCAGAATCAAAGAAGAAGCATGCTCAGAAAGGGGTGCAGGTGCTTATAGTCTGGGGAGTTCATGTGGTTTGGAGCAGGAAATCTGTGGGATTGGTCAGTTTACAGGAGAAAGGCAAAGGCCCAATTTAGAGGCATATTGTATCTGTTAATACTGATAGGAATTTTGGAGTAATTTGCCTAGAAGATTGGGGGTGATGTGGGGTGGGGAAGCATTGTAATCTTGGGTAACTTTGATTATGTCCAGAAGCCGTAGTTCCCTTAAAATTATAATTTTAAAATTACAATTTCCCTTGTCTTTTTCTTATTTTTATTTTGTTCAATCTTGCCTTAGCCACCCTCTCTTAGATTTACTCAGTATCCAGAGCCTCTTGGGACCCTCTGGCTATTATCTAGCTTGTGCTCACTCCAAGGGCTGCCAGAGAAATTAGCTAAGACCCAACACATAGGAAGGACGGGCCAGAGCCCCAGACCTGTATGACCCTCATCAGATCTCTGTGTCAGCCAGAGGAGACAGATCCCAGGGCCATTCCCGTTTTATATACAAGGAACAGTGCAGCCAGAGTCTCAAACTTGTCAAAATTAGACAGATACGGAGCCAAACTAAATACTCTGATGTCACTACGTTCCACTTCCCCCAAGAAAGGGGGCCTCCAAGCCCTGCTGAGCAGTTTGAGCAGGCAGCTTAGCTGCATGGTGAAGCCAAATGGTAAAATAAGTTCTTCATTCTGAAACCACTGCCAGTGCTGTCACCCCGAATGTTTCACTGTCAGGAATAGACTTGGAAAGGAGACATGAAAAGGAAACAATTAGTTGTGTGTCCAGCCTGCTGTGCCTCTGCCAGACTGTAGTCAGATGGTTTTTGTGAACCAGAATGAAGCATTCAAAGCTTGAAGTGGTGGCAAGCACACACACAAGGAGAGACCTGGAACAGCTGAAACCTTGCCTGATAGTTTGGGTGAATGATTAGCTTAAATTAGCAAGCTAATTGCCCTGCCTCTGGCATCAGGCCACTAGGCATCTTTTAGCACGAGTGTTTGCCTGGGAGGCTCAGTAAGTGTCAAGCAGTGGATATCTGGCTAAGGTATTTAGTCTATAATGGTCAACAGATCCAGTTGTGGAGTGGAGGTGGCACCTGGCTTTGACTGCTAGGCAGCATGTCCCACCTTCCCATTTGCTTGAAACTCTGATGGCTTCCTGTGGGTCCTGGAGTAAAGATCAGAATCCTGAACAGAATCTCCAGACCATGGATGAGACCTCCTTCTCCAGCGCCATCTTCTTTCTCTCCACCTCACGTTCTGGCTCCAGGCCACCGTTGCCTCTTTCCAGTTGCATAAATGTGCTGTTCTTTCTCCTGCCTCTGCCTTTGCATTTGCTTTCTCAACTTCAGCATTCCATTTTCAGTACTCTTACTTATTTAAATAAAACTTTCCCTGATATCCCCTCCCTGGGTTAGGCCAGGATGCCTGGTTTGATTCTTGATAGGATCATGTGTCCGTTAGCGCCTTTAATACCCATTTATCTGGATGGATGATTAAATGGCAGCCACTTTCCTGGGAGCTCTGCAAAGGTCTCTCCCTTGGCTTTTGTCCACTGATGGCTTTCCTTTGTCAGATAACTAAGGGAGGAGGGTGTTGTACATCTAGGAAGAGATGGGCAGTTGGTCTGCCCAGAGGTATGGGCGTTGCAGACCTCATCCGTACTGTTGTCTTTGTGGCCCCCAGGTGCAGCTCTCGGTGTACTGGGACTACATGAAGGCCATCGGACTCTTCCTCTCCTTTCTGAGCATCTTCCTCTTCCTGTGTAACCACGTTTCCTCCCTGGCTTCCAACTACTGGCTCAGTCTCTGGACAGATGACCCTGTCGTCAATGGGACCCAGAAGAACACGAATTTCCGGCTCGGTATCTATGGAGCTCTGGGCATCTCACAAGGTGGGCATCATCATCCCATCCTTTCTGACTTTGACAGCTGTAATCATTTCATGTCTGATTATAGAACTGGCCCACCCTAAGACTTCAAGGTTTCATAGATAGATTCCTCCACAAAACCAAGCCAAAGCCGGGTGAGCAGCACCTATTACATAGCAGGGCCTCAAGCGTTTGTAGAGTTAATGTTTCTCAAATGCATTGATTCACACAGCCTGAAGAGGCAGGAGGGAGGTAAGGTCCAGTGCCCATTTTACAGATGGGGAAAGTTGGGAGCAGAGGCTGCTTAGAGGCCTCCTGGCCCCATCACTCTGCCTTGTGATGGGGCTTCTGCAAAATCTTAGGTAGGTTCTTTGGCCTTCGGTGCAAAGGTTCATTCCAGTGGTTGTTAGCATAGGCAGTACTGTCCTCCAGGGGATGTTGGTCAACACTTGGAGACTTTCTAGTTGTCTCAGTGAGAGGGTGAGGTGGATAAGAGCTTCTGGTGCCTGAGGGCTGAATATTACCTGGGTGAAGAGAACAGCCCCACTGCAGAGAAGGACCGGCTCACAAGTCAGCAGTGATGAGACAGAAGCTCTGATGTCTGCCGCCTTTGTGATTCATGGGGTTCTACAGTCTCAGCAGCAGGGCTCACACAACTGACAGAGCATTTACTCAGTGCCTAGCTCCATTCTCAGTTCTGTTACATGTGTTAAAGTATTTTATCCTCATGGCAATCCCACGAGGTGGGAGCTACTTTCCCCTTTTAGAAAATAGAGAAAGTGAGGCCCAGAGAGGCAAAGTCAGTTGTCCAGAGTCACACAGTAAATACATGGCAGAGCAGGCCTTGAATGAGCTGCTGTGCTGTGCATTGGATATTGCCTAGGTGCTCATAGAAACTGCAGTTGCAGCTGCACCTGTCCAGAGTCTGTGACGTGCACAAACAATAAATGCACATGCTTGACACATGTAAGCACTTCCTCTATACTAGGCATGTTGCCGCTTGGCGTCGAACAGTGCTGTAATGTAAATATCATTGTCCTCATTTTACAGATGAGGGAACTGAAGTTCAGAGGTTAAGTGACTTGAGGAAGGTCCCACAAACTAGTAATTGACAGAGATAGTATTTGGCAGTTTTGGCTAGAGATGAGCTCCCCCCATTTTCACCCCAACCTCTTGGGTTTCTTGCTGCTCAAAGAAGCCACAGTAGAAGCCTCTCCATGCCTACAGCATTGCGCCTTGGAAAGAACAGTGCCCTGCTGGATGTGGTTTGGAGGAGCCACGAATGAGTCATGATCTCCCGGAGATGCTGTTGGAAAAAGCTCTTAAGAGAGTAGATATGGATTTGTTGAGTTTCTCAGTTAGTAATCTTGTCTTCCTTTACTAGTAGGGCAAAGAGCTGTGGCCTCCAATTTATATTTAAGGGAAAGTAGAGAGCAGAGTGGCTGTGGTGCTTACCTGGGCCCGCACAGTCCAGGGTCTGTTCTTCAGCCATCTGAAGTCCGGGTCATCCAATTGAGCATTCAGTTCTTGGGTTGAATGAACCACATTGTCAGTGCTCAGTAGCCACCTGCAGCTGGTGCCTCCCGATTGGGCAGCTCAGGTGCACAGCGTGTGATCACTGCAGAAGGTCCGTGGGTGAAGGCTGGGACCCTGGGGCAGGCTGCCTGGATCCCAGTCCCAGCTCTGCTTTCATCTGATAAATATATTTCACACACAGCTCACCTGTCTGGTTTTCATTTTCTTACCAAAACAGGTAGCAGTGTGATCCTAAATTTAGACAAGCGTTAAAACCTAGCACATGCTCTTTGGGTACTAAGTGTGCTATCACAATAGCTGCCATCACTTTAAGACACTGAGACTCTGGCCTACCCAGTCTATGAGCCTTTCTCTAGTGCCAACCCCTGCCTGACCTCCCTCCCCACTGCAGAGCCTCACATCCAAGTGTTTACAGGTGTCGCCGTGTTCGGCTACTCCATGACGGTGTCCATCGGGGGAATCTTTGCCTCCCGCCGCCTGCACCTAGACCTGCTGCACAATGTTCTCCGGTCACCTATGAGCTTCTTTGAGCGCACCCCCAGCGGGAACCTGGTGAACCGCTTCTCCAAGGAGCTGGACACGGTAGACTCCATGATCCCGCAGGTCATCAAGATGTTCATGGGCTCGCTGTTCACTGTCCTGGGCTCCTGCATCCTCATCCTGCTGGCCACCCCCATTGCTGCTGTCGTCATCCCACCACTGGGCTTCATCTACTTCTTCGTGCAGGTGAGGGAGCTGTGGTGTCCAGGCTGAGCCCTGTCACCTGATGTCTGTTTCCCCAGCACAGGGCTATGAGGACTTGCTGGCAGGAGCTTAAGTTTGCTTTTGTCTATTTTGAATACCTAAATTGATTTTTAGCTGTGATAACCAAAATACATATACTTTCTTTCTAGTAAGTTTGACTTTGTTAGCTTTGAGTTTGAAAACAGTCTATACATGGACAGTTGCATCTTTTAAGTAGATATAACCACAAAATTCTTTATTTCTTAAGCCTCCTATAGATAACAGAGATGTGAAAAGTAGCATTTTAAGCAAGATAAATGTTTATTTTTCTCTCTTGCAATAGATACTTTGAGACAGGTCAAGGCTGGGGTGGCAGCTCAGTGACCTTGTTAATATGCTAGATTGTCTTGTCTTCTCTTCCTTCTTGCATGAACATTCTGTTCTAAATAGGTTTCATGATCCAAGAGGGTTGCTGGAGTTTCAGCCATTGTATCTATATTTTTACACAGTGAGAGTGAGATAGGGAACAGGCCAAGAAAGCTTATGATGGCTGAATCAATTCTACCTATTTAAATAGAGCTAATTGTTCAAACTTAGTCATGTAGCCACTGCTCTTTGCAAAGCAGACTAGTGGTACAGTTTTTAGCTGAGTCTTGTCACTTGTCTCCCTGTTTCCCCAGCACATTGTTGTTGGAAACATTGTAGTTTCCAATGGTAAATTTCTGCTGGGAAAGAAGAAGGGGATATTATGCAGGCAATTCGTAGTCTCTGTCCTAGTCTTTTTTAGAACCTGTTACAATCTTTGAACACATGGTTTTTTAGATTATTATTGTATAGATGGTGTTCCTGTTGACAGATGAGCATGGTGTGAGGCTCAGGGAAGAGGTGTCTTACCCAAGTACCAGAGCTTAGTGTGGGGAGCCCAAAACTGTCCTCCTCTTACCTGCACCAAACACTAACTATATATGGCACAATTGCTAGTTGGGGTTGTTTGCTTAGATGGGAGCGTTCCCATGACAACTCAGGTGCATGGTACTCCATCCCACTCTGTTTAGGTGGGGTGCAGCCAGCCAGTCAGCCTCTGGACCCCATTATACTGCAGTCCAGAAATTAGTGAGCAGTAATAAGGGTAGGTCCAGTCCCAGACATTCCTCATAACCTCCTTAAATTGGTAGCTACATTTTCTTGGGAAATCTTGTAGCTGCATTTATCAAAAATATCGTATCATAGTCACTTTCCCATCACTGGGACAAAATATCCAATTTCCACAACTTAGACCAGAGGTCTGTTTTGGCTCATGATTTCAGGCCACAGTCACATGCTCCAAGGTAGAAACAGCATAGCAGAACAAAAGGAGCTCAACCTGTGACAGCCAGAAAGCAGAGAAAGGGCAGGGGTAGGGACAAGAATACACCCTTCTAGGTCCACCCCTCCCTCCGTGACACACCTCCAGCCAGCCCTACATCTAATTGCCTCTGTATGCTGTTTCCTCACCTTGAAGCAAGAGGCACCTGGTGCATTTGCTATGGGGGTCATACAAACAGATTCCGGGACACTGGGCTCTTTCAAGGTACTGGTTACTGTCACTGTTGTCCACACTGTGCCTGTAGTCCACCAGGTGAGCAAGATGCTGGTTAAGTGCCCAGTATTTTGCCTCCTGGAAGTATCAGTCATAGCAAGACTTCTCCACCATACTCCCAGGAGGATAGATGAGGAGACCATCACTGAAAACACCATCTCCCCGACCCTTTCCTTTGCAGAGATTCTACGTGGCTTCCTCTCGGCAGCTAAAGCGCCTTGAGTCAGTCAGCCGCTCTCCAGTTTACTCCCACTTCAATGAGACCTTGCTGGGGGTCTCCGTCATCCGTGCCTTCGAGGAGCAGGAGCGCTTTATCCGCCAGAGTGACCTGAAGGTGGATGAGAACCAGAAGGCCTACTACCCCAGCATTGTGGCCAACAGGTGGGCAGTGGGACCAGGAGGGCCAGAGGGAAACTTCTGAGTGCCTCGACTTCCACCTGGGCCCCTTAATCCTGAGGCAGGGCACAGAGCAGCCAAGCAGACAGGGCAGCCCTGGGGAGAGGAAGGAGCATTGTAGGGTCAGGGTTCTACTGGAGCCATAGAGCCCCATGAGCACTGTCCTGCTGCTATCTAGGTGATTGATTGCTATATCCCTGAATAGCTACCTCCTCCTTACCCTTCTGCATCCTGGCACACTTCGTTGAAAGGCGGTAAAAACTGAGCTTTAGCCCAATTGGTGCATTATAATCCCATTGCATCAGACTGGCTGGAGGGACCTTGAATTGCTGGAGTCTGCCACTTCCTGGCAGGAGTGTTAGGGAGTTTGTCAAAATCTGGCTCTGCCTGTGGGAGAATTTCACACAGATGAGGGTCAGTCACATAGATCATAAGGGCTGTGGTAGAAGAAAGATCCAGCAACACCACTTCCCTAAACAAAAGCAAACTGCTTTACACTTTAAAATGTGAAAATAGTTTCTCTTGTGCTACATAATAGCTGTTGAAAGTTAACTTAAAACAAATGAAACATCTGTCTATATTTCAAAAGGTAAAAATTTTTTCCAATTAGATTTTATTGTTATATTTTAGACGTACATAATGATCACATTCATCATAGAGAATTTGTACTTGTTCATGATATAACTTGGGGTTTTTTCCTCATTCCCCTACTCTCCCTTTAACCCCTGCTTCTCTCAGTAATTTTAATGTTTTTGAAATTAGGATGAATCTGAGACATGTCAGGCACATTGAACATGGTAATGTGCATGTCTCCTTCTAGATCCATCTCTTGCTAAGCTTATTTATTTGCAGTGCTAAGGATTACCCTCAGGGCCTCACACATGCTAAGCAAGCTTTCTGACACTCAGTCCAGTAGATTTATTTTTAAATCAGTGATGCCTCTTACAGTTCTTTGTGTTTAAGGAGTTCTAGGGTATCTTTATGAAATACACATGTGTGTAACATTTTTAAAGACTTCTTGAGAAAAAGTTGGTTCTTAAGAAGGCAATCTTTAGATTCTGGGTTGGCGAGGGCAGCTTCTGGAGAACCCTGTGTTTGTCCTGGGGCTGGCCAGGCTGCTAAGAGCAGTGAACTTCGAGTCCCATGATCCCTTCCCCTGTGGCCAGGCTGCATGGTTTGGACGGGTAGCACTGAGGAGACTTTTTTTCCAGAACATGCAGGGAGTCATAACACTTAGCAGCGCATTGGCATCCTCTCCCCTGTGACCTGGAGCCAGGTCTCTCAAAAGCTGACTGTGTGTGTGTGCATGTACGTGTCTGTATGTGCACCTGTCTGCTTTGTGTCTCCCTGCAGGTGGCTCGCTGTGCGATTGGAGTGTGTTGGAAACTGCATTGTCCTGTTTGCCGCCCTGTTTGCAGTCATTTCTCGGCACAGCCTTAGTGCTGGCCTGGTGGGCCTCTCGGTGTCTTACTCCTTGCAGGTAGGTGGAGGTGCTCTTATTAAAGTCTCTCAAGGCAAGTTGCCAGGTTCCCGGGCCTTTGCTTGAGATTCTCCTGGGAATGGAAGAAGGAGAGACTTGCATACAGAGCTCAGGGACCAACTAAAACAAAGGAGGAATTTGACACAGGGCCAGGATTCTCCTTCAGTCAAGAAAATTCCTTGATGCCTCAAGGGGATGCTTCCAGCTACAAGGGAAATGCTTTTAAAACTATGAGTTTCAAGCTCGGCATGGTAACATGTGTGTGTATTCCCAGTACCCAGGTTGACTGAGGCAGGAGAATCGAAAGTTTAAGGCCAGCATTAGGAACTTAGCAAGGCCTGACTCAAAATTTAAAAAACCAGGAAAACCATAACCAAACCCAAACTGTGATATCTTTCCTCCTGTAGCTATGTTCTCATGAGTTTTGATACATTATAGTTTCATATTATCAACTAATTCCGGATATTATCTGATTTACTTTCTAAAGACTGGTCTGGCCCGTGATCATTTTGAAAAACCTCAGTGCTTAAGAGATGAAGGGTGGCGGATCAGGATGATAGCTATATGTGCTAATTTCTTACTTGAATGCTCCATAATTAATGATTCCTTAAAGTAAAGTCACTGACGTTCACGCTGTGAATTCCATGTTGACTCTTCTACTTGTAGATCACCTCCTACCTGAACTGGCTGGTTCGGATGTCATCTGAGATGGAGACCAACATTGTAGCTGTGGAGAGACTCAAGGAGTATTCCGAAACTGAGAAAGAGGTAAAGTAGGAATCCTCTCCTTTATGCTCGGCCTTGTTCATCTCTGTAGCTTTACCCCAAAAGACGCGCAAGCTGCCATGCTTTGTGCATCCTGTTCTTGAGTGGGCAAATAAGTTAGATGTCTCACCAAGCAGAAGTGCATCTGGTACTGGTATCACCTCTTTCAACACCTACATACAACCACCTGGTTTTTCCCAGGATATCAGATGCCAGTATACGTGATTACAGGATACTTTCAGGGTATTCATATAGCTTTCATTGTGTAGTGAGGGCATTTTTCTTTTTTTTTTTTTTTTTTTTTTTTTTTTTTTTTTTTTGTGAGGGCATTTTTCTTCTTCTGATCCTCATATCTAGCTTTTGTTGGGCTCACAGAGACTGTCTTAGTTTGCTGCTCAATCTTTAATGCCTTACTAATTGAGATAAAATCTCCCATCATAGATGTAAACAGCAGCCTTCAGGGGACAGTATTTATCTAACCAAGATAATCTGCTGTTTGTTTTGTATTTTACAGGGAACTTCTATTACGAAAGATAGTGCTAGCTTTCCATTTGTGATTGTATATAAATTTGCCTCTTATATAAGTAGAAATGAGTTGATTTAAAGCAGGAAAAATAAGTAACAGCAGAACCAGTAGATAGCTATGGCAGAAATCTTGGTGTTGTGAGGAATTTCCTGATACTTGGGAAGGGAAGTCTCTACTCTATAGACGGGAAGGGTCACATGAGGCTCAGTGCTGCAGTAGGACTGAGACCCAGGTCTCCAGCATATGCCACTAGGGGTTATCTTCTCGTGTCCTGAGCAGCCCCACCCTGAGCAGTATTAGAGACAATCATGATAATAACAGGATTGCCTGGCAGTCACTGTGTCCACCACCACTGGCAGCCAAATGTGCTGTGGTGATGCCGGGCCCTGTCCTCACTGTGTTTGCATAGGATAACTGCTTCACCACTAGGCTGTATTATAGTAGATGCTGTCATTAGGTGTATTCCACAAATGGGAAAGTCCCGGTCAGGGCCTGTCCTGAGAAAGTCAAAGCAGTGCCTAGATCCAGCCCTTCAATATACCTGCACTGTGAACCAGCTCCGCGATGGAAATGGGTCCACTGTTTGCAGTTTTCCACCTTATGTTGAATTTTTTTTACAGTGGTTTTATTGAGATATAATTCACACACCATGTAGCCATTTTTTTAAGAAAACACTTTACGTACTTTTAGTAATTTTTAGAATAAGCCCATTTGAAAAATACAAGAGGAAAGGATTCCTAGTCCTACCTCCTATTCAAAACACTATAAATTTATGCACAATTAATTCCATATTATTCTCTCCAGTCTTCTGTTCTTATCTCATGTCCCCTTCATGCATATACATGAATTATAAAATAGAGGTTGGCTTATGGTTAAAAAGCCTTATGCAAGGAGTTTCCGGGGACCACAGATGACAGTCGTATTCCTGTTCCCTGCACCTGACTCCTTCCCTGGACAGAGTCCTTGTTCACAGGCTTGGCTGTCCCCTAGACTTCTCCTTGGGCATATTCACATGGATGGATACTCTCACATGCTATTGTTTGCCTCTTTTTCTTTTAACCCAAGTCAGATCTGTAGGTTTTTCTGTGCAGTTGGTTCCCTTTGACTTTGCCTGCTCCAAGGCCCAGGCATATCTGCATCTGCAAAAAGAAAAGAAATATATTGTAGTATTCCCTGTCTAGTAGGGTTGCTTCGAGGCTCCATTGAGCTCCTCAGTCAGCAAGACTAAGCGGAGTGCCTAGTGTATTGTAAGTGCTCCATAAAAACATGTATTTTTTAGTGCTTCCTTGCCAGAGTCACCCTTCCAGTCTTGTTCTGTACTGATCTTCTGCAGCAGGGTCATTCCTGCATGTGCTTAGTAGTCTCAGGAGGCATATGCGTCCCCTGGGCTGCAGCCCTCAAGCCTGGCCCAGAGCACACCTAGTGTGGATTTAGGAAATGCCGAACTGAACTTTTCAGAAGTAGGAGCTGTGTGACCCTGCGTGAGGCACTTAGCGTGTCTTCAACTAAGCTTTTTCCTGTGTGACTGGGGATGTTGCAGAACCCTCTATATGACGTTGGGAGGATGAACATGGTCATGTATCAGTCATGGGTGTGGAGCTTGGCACATGGTAATCTAGTATTGGCCATGGCATCACTGTTGTCCTCCAGGCCAGGAAGGCATCTGGGCAGCTCACTGCCACTCATTCCTCAGTTCATTCATAAGTATTTATCAAGCACCTACTATGTGCTCTGAGCTCTAAGAGACAGCAGAGAGCAGTGGCAAAGCCTGGTGGTCCAGGGTTGTGGAGGAGGTAGTCAGTGCTCTGAAGGAGGACAGAGCAGGGGAGAGCACAAGGACACAGGGCCAGGGGGATGGTCTCAGGCAACCCAGTCTGCAGAAGGTGAAGGAAGGACCCAGTGAGTAGCATGGTGAAGAGTGCTGCAGGACACACAAATAGCTAGTCCAAAGGCAGAAGCAGGCTGTGGGGTGCATTTGAGGACCAGCCGGGAGGCCAGCAGGATAGAGAGGGAGATAGGCAGGAAGGGTCGTGGAGGTCTGTTCCAGTGGAGCCTGTTCCAGTGGCACAGAGGATGAACTCAAAATTCCTCTTTTCTCTCCCTTCCTGACCCTTGTTGTGATCTAAGGCTGCCTGGCAAATCCAAGACACAGCTCCACCCAGCACCTGGCCTGAGGTGGGCCGAGTGGAGTTCCGGGATTACGGCTTGCGGTACCGAGAGGACCTGGACTTGGTTCTCAAGCACATAAACGTCATCATCGAAGGGGGAGAAAAGGTGGGTGTGCGTCATCCCCCACACCCGCTTACAGTTGGGCATGGGCTGTGGTCAGGTGGCTAAAACCAGCTGTGTCACCTGCCCGGACCACAGTCCTGCTCTGTGGGTGGGGCCAGGGGCGTTGTGGGGAGGGTGCGGCTGGTGGAGTGAAGGCTGCTCAGAGTGTCTAGAAGGCTACAAGCCCGGAGCCCAGAGACCAAGGTAAGCCCTGCAGATTTACTTTCTAGTTTCCTTCCCCTGCCTGTCTCTCTCCCTGCCTCTGGCTCTAGATTCCCTCTCCCCTTTCTTGTTTTAGTCTTGTTTGTGACACATAATGTTCACATGCATCGTGGTATCATTGGTCCATGTGCATGAGACATCCCAGATCCTTTTACATCCCCTTCCCATTTGTAAAAGATCAGTAGATTCCCTGTTCACCCCAGCTGCTGCCCACCCCCATTCTTGTGCCTACCGGGCCCTTTTAAGTCCCTTAAGTTTACCAGTTTCAGAATAAGATAATGTCAGAGTAGGAGTAGTTTGAGGCACATATGTATCAGTGGGATCTTAGAACTGTCCTTTGTTTAGAAGCTATTCCTGGAAGACATCCTTGAGATTCTTAGAATTTCCTGGGAAATCAGTTCAAGGATCTTCTTGGAAGTTTATATTTCTGAACATATGGATTTGTTAAACTCTCATTGCCACAAGGCTCAGCACATCCTGTTCCCACGAGATGATGTAACAAGGGACAAAGCAGGGCGGCTGATGTTCCCACGGAGTCTTTGACTTTTGTTACGCCTTAGGGACCTTCTCTGCATGCTACGCCATGGCATCTGTCAGAGGGTTGAGGGGAGCAGGGAGGTTTTATAGGTGGATGGCAGGAATGCCAGTTGGTGGCTGTGACGTGGGACCAAATGTCAAGACCAGGCCATATTGAAAGGAGTGTGGCGGCATCTGCTTGTATCACAGAAATTTCAGCAGCTCAGGTCAGAAAGGCCTCATTAGAGGAGCGAAACAGTGTGGAAAAGAATACCTAACTATTGCTTAATCCTCTCTTGAGTTAACGGTAATAGGCCTTATTAAACATTCCTTCTGCTTGATACCTGTCTCTTTGAAGGTCTCTGCTGACTTAAAGAAGAGTGGGTTCATTCCTTAGGGAGTTTGGCTACTCCCCCATCCATACTTATTTTCTGAGACAGAAAAGTGTTGCTAAGTTGCCTATGCTGGGCCCAAAATTGCAGTCCTCCTGCCTCAGCCTCCTAGAGTACTGGGATTACAGGCATGTGCCACTACAACTGGCAAGGGAGTCTCTCTTGACATTTGGCCAAAGCAAGCCCATAAAGGAGTGTCCTTGGGAGCTGGTGACAGAGAGTGCTGGTGGGAGTTGGGTCAAGCAGATGACAGAGCTGCTCTGGGCCAGCCACTTGCAGTGAGGACACTGTGAGGCCACAGCAACCTGGGCAGCCAGATTCCAGCATTCCCACCTCATCAGGGCTCTTCATGTCCCACAGGTTGGCATCGTAGGGCGGACAGGAGCTGGCAAGTCCTCTCTCACCCTGGGCTTGTTTCGGATAAACGAGTCCGCAGAAGGCGAGATCATCATCGATGATATTAACATTGCCAAGATCGGCCTGCACAACCTGCGCTTCAAAATCACCATCATCCCTCAGGTGGGACAGGCAAGGCCAGCGAGAAGCTGGGGCCACAGGTCCTGTGGTTCCAGTAAGAGTGACAACAGCCTTCTGTGTGTGTAGGCCCAACCAACCATCAATCACAGATGTTTTTTCTTTTGTTTAAAACATCTGTATGTGTTCAGAGCATGTAGGGACATCATTCCCTAAATGATAACAGTGTAACGTCTGTTCACACAGCAGTCCTACTGTCCTAGATGCTGTAAGTAGCCCAGAGGTGATTGAAAGTGTACAGGAAGGTGTGTGTTAGTTATATGCAAATACTATGCCATTACCAAAGGGTCCTGAGCGCCTGTGAATTTTGACATCTGATGAGGATCTTAGTGAAACACAGTCCCCTGCTGCCAGAGTCAGGAGAGGATTTTTATTGCTTCCTAGAGCTGACCAGTAAAGGAGCATTTCCCTCTGGACTGACCCGTGTAGGTGGCAAGTCTCATTAATAAGCTGTTAAACACTTGGCAGTATGTGTGATGAGGTTAGATCATTAGTTATCACTTTAACTTAGGACAGAAGCTTAAATTCTTACTTTAACCATTATGTGCAAGTCACACAACGGGACCCCCATAACAGCAAGGGGTCACACGTAGGTGGTAGCCACAGACGCTTGAGGTTCAGATCTGCACGAACACAGAAGAGCCACATAATGATTTAAAAAGATCAAAGTTTATTGTAAAAATAGGGGCCTGGAGATTTAGCTCAGGGGCTTAAGTGCTTGCCTGCTAAGTGCAAGGTCATGAGTTTGATCCATGGTACAAAAAAAATATAGCAGCTATGAACACAGTCAAATAATACATTACCACCCAAGGCAGGGGACAGCACAAAAGATGGAGGATCTTATATGAGAGAGACCCTTTAGCAGGTGAGAAAGAAAAGCTGTACCAGGCCAGTTTATTAGTTTAAGTGCCGTGTACAGACAAAAGGACTTGGTGGCAGTTCCCCATTATGTTAGTGTTATTCTCCCAAAGACAAAGGAACCCACAGTACTTTAGGATTGTACTTTAGCCAGTGCTGTCCTCTTTCTCTAAGGCTCTCAGCGTATTTGCGTGTTGAAAGCTCTCCGAAGTTATTCAAAAGAGAGAGCTGATTCCTGCTACCTAACCTGAGGATTCCTGATTGTTTTCCTTCTTCTTCTTTTTTTTTTAATCACAAACGTCTGTAGAATTAGTGATTCGGAGGGCCTCTGGAGTCTGTCGTTCCACAGTTCTATCAAGAGGGTTTTATGTCTGCCTGTGTGCTCTGCTCCTGCAGAACAGGGCATGAGCTTCACGTTCTATCTGCTCTCTCCTCTGAGCAGGACCCCGTCTTGTTCTCGGGTTCCCTTCGCATGAACCTGGACCCGTTCAGCCAGTACTCAGATGAAGAAGTCTGGACAGCCCTGGAGCTGGCTCACCTCAAAGGCTTCGTGTCCAGCCTCCCCGACAAGCTGAACCACGAGTGTGCGGAAGGCGGGGAGAACCTCAGGTGTGTAGGGTGGGCCAGTAGGGTGGGAAGCAAGTCCCCTGGGCACTGGCTCGGCCAGGGTGTGTGAAGATTCTGCCCTCTTGTGTGGTTTGAGCCTCAGTTCTGCCACAGACAAGCCACTTGCCCTCTCACCTCTTGGAGCCTTGGTCTCCATGTCTGCAAAACGGGTTTCACCCCAGGTTCTGTTTCCCTTCAAGTCCAAGGAGGATGACAAAGAAGACCAATGTATTTCCCATCATACCCTGGCCCCAGTCCACTGAGGATGACTGTCACTTGTTAAATTGGTAAAGGGCACTTTACCAGTCAGCAGATAGCACTGCTCTGAGCCCTCCTCATCCCTACCCACTGCCCTGCTGCCTTGGCTTTCTTCTCAAGGTCCCCAGGATCTGTCCAGAATCCAGCAGCTAATGCCTGTCACAGCAGGGAGCCACCGAGTACTGTCCCAGTAATGAGTCAGAATTTGTTTCAGCTGCCCATCGCCATGAGCGCCATCACCCAGTATGCTCACATGCTCAGGTGACCTGCCAGGTGGCTCTATTCATCCTGACCAATGTCACACATGTATCTGGGTCACATAGCTGTTGGCTAGTCTTTTGGGCCTTCTTGAGGGCAGTAAGGTATACTCCACATGCGTGTCATCCTCCAACAGACCAGATGGGCACATTGTCATGGTGATAGAAGCCCAGTGTGCCTCCCACATCAGGCTTCTGCTGGTCTTGTGTTTGTCACATCCCTTTGCCAAAGGCAAGGCATGGCCAAGTCCAGAGTCAGCTGTGAGGGCTCTATGGTTGGATAGAGTTCAGAGCCATCTTCCTTTTCACCACTCATGGTGAACTGGACCAGTATTTTGAATATCTCCTCTGAACCATGTGTTGAAATTTATTCTGCTGCACACACAACAGGAAACATGCAATTGATTGGTGATGTCTGCCACAGGGAATAGAAATGGAGGGTGGGCAGGCTTTCCTAGGTCAAGCTGGACAAAGTGTCTCCTCTCCTTCTCTCAGGTCAGGCCTGAGTAACACGGTCTCTGGTGTTTTTTTTTTTTGTTTTGTTTTTCAGCATCGGGCAGCGCCAGCTTGTGTGCCTGGCCCGAGCTTTGCTGAGGAAGACAAAGATCCTTGTGCTGGATGAGGCCACGGCAGCCGTGGACCTGGAAACAGATGACCTCATCCAGTCCACCATCAGGACACAGTTCGAGGACTGTACAGTCCTTACCATCGCCCACCGGCTCAATACCATCATGGACTACACAAGGTGAAGCCCTAGCTGAGAGAGCGAGCTTGCTCACTGTCCCATCCATCCATCCATCCATCCATCCATCCATCCATCCATCTATCCATCCACCAGTCCTTGTGCTAAGAAACAGCCCCACTTGGCCGTGCTTCTTTATTTTCGGTAGGGTCAGGTACTATGGAATCGTGTACTCATTTATTCTCAGCTTGTCTATGCGTGGTGCCTTTCTGTGTGCCTTGAAGTGGGGCCTAGTTCTGAGCCACGGGATCTGTGTTAGGATGCTGTTGGACAGGGGAGCCACTCTGGGAACTGGATAGCTTACTTTGAGAAGACAATAAACAAAACAACAAATAACATGATTTCAGAGGGTAGCATGTGTTGGGATGGTCATATAATAGGGAGAAGGGATGGCCAGTAGCAGGTAAGCCAATGTTTTCTTTTAAAAACTAGAAGCAGATATATTTGGTGGTGTAACACCAATAGTCAGGGAGGCTGAGGCAGAGGACTGCAAATTTAAACCCATTCTTGGCAGCTTAGTGAGACCCTGTCTCAAAATAAAAAGCAAGGGTTAGGGATATAGATCAGTACAAATGCTAGTACAGCCAGAAAAAAAAGCATAATCCATCTTGGATTATAGTCATCTTTTTACCTACATAGTTGTGAAACCAAGTTTTTAAACATTTATATAGAGCAAGCGGCCATCAAGCATCATTGCCCACAGAAGTCATCATGTGGCCCTGGTGTAGGGTGTTAGAGGTTTTGAATTTAGCACAGATGATCAAGCAAGGCCTCCCTGAAGAGGTGAGCTGAATAATGAGAATGTTGGCTACAGAAAATCTAGAACAAGAATCAGTAGTCTTTTTCTATTAAAGGCAAGAACATTTTTAGCTTTGCAGGCCAGGAGGTTGTGGTTTAAGTGGTCCATCTCCAGTATGGTCGCATGAAAGCAGGCATAGGCAATCCTTACAAAAAAGAGCGAGCACATTTGTGTGCTAATAAAAACTTTATTCATAAAAATGGGCAGAGGGAGGCTGCGGATTTAGCTCAGCGGCATAAGCACCTGCCTTGCAAGCAGGCGGTCGTGAGTTCAGTCCCCAGTACCAATAAAAATGAAAAAAAGACAAAAAAAAAAAAAAGTGGGCAGAGGGCCAGATTTGGCCTCCAGGCCATAGTTTGCCAAACTTTGAGCTAAGGAAAGAATATTCTAGGCAAAGGGCACAATCTAGTATAAAGGCTCTAACATGGGAATGTGTTTACTGAATTCAAAGGGTAGCTAGAGGCCTGTAGGCCTAGCGATTAGCCTGGAGTAGATCGTGAGAGGAGAGGGAGCCTGAAAGGTGGCTGGGGCTAGACCTTAGAGCACCAGGTAGTCACATAAGGAGGCTGAGAATTTATCCTGAGAGCACTGTGAAGCCCTGGAGGGTCACAAGTAGGAGAGTGACAGGACATACTTTCTTTTTTCACTACTAGGGATTGAATCCAGGGCCTTCATATGGAGCTACATCCCCAGTCCATTTTCTTTTTGAGACAGGATCTCGCTATAAGTCACTGAGTAGCCCAGGCTGAGCTTGAATTTATGATCTTAATCTCAGCTTTCCAGAGTACTGAGATCACAGGTCTGCACCACCACACCTAGTTGACGTGACATTTTTAAGAGATTGTTGAGCAGCTATGTAACAGGTACAATGGTGGCACATTTGAAACCCATTAGCTTGACCTGAGATCAGAAATGGACATGGTTAGATCTTAACCTTGTATACCAAAGAATCTTGTCAGTATATTATGGCCCACAGACCAAACTCAGCCTACTGTCCGTTTTTATGAATAAAGTTTTATTGGCACACAGCCACATTTTCTTGTCGTATCTGGCTGCTATTACAAATACAGTTGAGATAGGTAGTGTAACTGAGGCCATGCCAAAAATATTTACTGTCTGGCACTTTCCAGAAAAAGACTGCTGAAACCTGTTGTAGACTGTGCTAAGATCTTTTTATTTTATTCTGAGAATAGTGGACCAAGGACTCTGAACAGTTGACATCATTATCATCATTATTAACTGCCCTCAACAGTATTTGAGATAGAAATTTAGGGTGCAGAATTTGAAATTCACCAGAAATAGGGATTAAAGCTGGGTGACCAGTTGCTGGAAGGCTACTGCACAGTCCTGGCAGCAGATGTTGGGGTTCCAACCTAAAACACTGACCTTCCCAGATGGGTCCTCGGGGTCACAAATTTCCTTTCGCTCATGTCTGTGTCTGCTCTCCCCACAGGGTGATTGTGCTGGACAAAGGGGAAATCCGGGAGTACGGCACCCCCTCTGACCTCCTGCAGCAGAGGGGTCTCTTCTACAGCATGGCCAAAGATGCCGGTTTGGTGTGAGTGCCGGAGCTGGTGCACCTGGTCAGAACTGTGGGGCCGACACACCAGTGTCCAGGGATGAGCCAGCGTCCTTGGGAACCCAAACCTCTTAGTCAGAAACCAAAACAACAAGAAAAAGGAAAGAAAGAAAAGCAAACCCATCAACCAAAATACACACAAAGTAGCTGCCATCATCCAGTCCCTGGCCAGAATTGCCCTTGAAGTACCAGGAGACAACTGCATCCCAGAGAGCCCAGGCACCCACACCCTGGCCTCTGGCCTCCAGGAGACTCGCACACGTTTTCAGGCTTCCAAGAATGCAAGCCCACGGAGGGGTTTTAGCAGCCAGACTTTGGAGAAATTGGTTATGTAGAATATGCTAGTGACCAAATCCAGCCAACTGCCTCACATCTCTCCAGCCGAAGTCTGTGGATTCCCAGTCTTCAAGACACTTCCTGTCACCTCTGGAACTTTATCTGGTTCCAGCCAAATGCTTCATTTCCTTGGCTGCAGTCCTGAGGTTGAGGGGCCTGGTGAAAATCATTCTGATTCTCAGGCCATGCCCCAAGGGCCCTGACAGTCCTCTTGCCAACCATCTGGTCTTCCAGATGCTCCGATCCTGGGAGCCAGCACCCCAGCCCTGCCTGCCAGCCGGGCTTCAGTAGCCAGAGGCAGCTTTGCACACCCAAAGGACATGGCTGGACCTGCGGCTGATCTGGACCAGCAACCTCAGGGCCGGGCAGTGCCCTCTTACTGCTGATTTTCCAGCCTGCCCACCTCGACACCTTTCCCTTGCTTTCCTTCTGGTCCTCTCAGCACCCATGGCTAGGGCAGGTCTCCTCCTCTTGGTACTGGAAAGAGTGGAAGGTCTGCTACAGGCTACAGAGTGTCCAGAGCAAGGAGCCGGAGGGACCTCCTGAGTATTACCAGTTGGTACCAAAGAGAGTCCCCTGCAGTCGTCTCTTCATGTTTCAGTTTTCGCTTCTCACCCCTGGCATCTGGCTGGCTGCCAGGGGGCAGCAAATGGCAGAAAACTTGACACTTTAGACACTGAGTCTCTTCCGGGATAAGAAAAGACCCCATTCATGAATATCAGTGATTTTTTTTTTCGTTTTCTTTTTTTTTTTAAGTAGTATTCCAGTGAGAATGACTATCCTGAAGGTTTAATTTCTTGGGACAAAGTCCTGGGCCGGGAAGCAGGGATTTGTGGATCCTGGCTCTGTGTTTGACATTCAGTGCATGTTGTCCTTGGAAGAAGATGGAGAGGTAGAGTCCTTCGCAGCGGGTCCGTTAGCTGCCTCAGTGACAGACCAAAGTGAGACCCCGACAGCCGCAAGAGCTTACTGCTGCCCCAAGATTCACACCTGCTATGAATTACTGTGCATTGCTGACTTCAAACCCAGAGAAGCATCTTTTAGGTGGAAATACATATTTATTTTTTGTAAGTTATACCATCCTTTCATGTTAGAGAAACCAAGTTTTTCTTGGGGATCTTTTTGTAATGACTTACACTGGAAACGTGAACATTTGCAAATAATTTGCAGTAAAAAAAAATATTTTATTTCTTTCTAAACAATGTCCCCGTCCTCTTTCAGGCATCAGCAAAGGTGTCCGTCTTCTCTGGTAGACTCGGGACATGACAGATACAGGGTCTGTGGTGTGCCGTTGTTAGAAATGGGGCCAAGATCAAGAGTGGGGTGGGGTTTAGCAAGGAAGTAGCATGGTGAGGTGCAGGGATGAGGGATCGGACAGACCTAAGTCCTGCCCTCATCATTTGTTGTTGTAAAACCCTGGGCAAGTCAACTTAGGGCGGATGCCTCAGTTGCTTTCTTATTGTGAAATGGGGCTGACCGGAATGACTTCACAGGATTGTCACAGAGTTGAGTGGTGATGCTTTGGAACGTCTTTTGGTCCAGCTTGGATCCTAAGGCAGAAATCACAAGTGGCCAGAATCACCCTGGAATGTCCCTTTGTATTGGGTTAGAGAGAGCTGTGCTGCGGTAATAAGCTATAGAATCTTAGGGGAAAGATCACAAAGGTTTACTTCATGCTAATACAGGATCAGGCGCCTCTCCAGCGGTGCTGCTTCCCATCAGGCAGCTCAGAGATCCAGTCTGGTTTCATACCATCCCTGTTCAAGGGCTGGCTTCTGGGCCCACAGAACAGGGGAAGGGAGAATATAGATGATCACTAGCTATTCTGCAGTGTCTCAAACCAGAAGTGAAGTGATGTTTATGTCAACCTCACTCACAGTCCATCCGCCAAAATTGTTCACATGTGTTTGGCCCTCGCCAAAACGATGTTGGGAAATGTAGGTATACACGTGAAAGGAAGTATCTCGCCCTCTCCTTAATGACATGGTGTCCAAGTTTTGGATAGTGAAGTATTGTCTTTTCTCATTGCTGAGACAAAATACAAGACATCCAAAGTTAAAAGAGGAAAGGTTTATTTAGCTCATAGTTTGTAAAGGTTTCAGTTTATAGTTGGCTGGCTCCAAGGCAGGGAGGCACGGTAGAGGGGCATTGCAGAGAAAAAAGTTTATGACAGATAGAAAGCATCAAAGTAACAAAGGGACAAGTGACCACAGCAGCCCTCTTTGTCCCTCATATTCTATCCAGGATGACATGCACACCCAGGTGTGGGACACCCTGAATCCCAGCATAGTACTGTAGATTCAGCCACCTGAGGAGAGTCCCAGCTGTGTCTGCACAAGGTTTGGGGGGGCATTGAGACAAAAGTCAAAACAGGGAGTGAAACTGGGGTGGTGACGTGTGTTTAAATTGAAGCAGTCTGGACAGTGAGGAATGCCTGTGTTTATGTCACATACTAACAATGTGCACCAAGGACACGTGCACAGCTGCTGTCCTGGCGCATTGCAGTTCCCCAGCTGGTAAGCCTTGGCTTACATTAGGGACTGTGAGTTGTAGACTAAGCCGGTGAGATTGTGACCATTAGGGTTAGTAGTAGTTGGATCTGCTTGGTGGGGAGTCTGGCTTTGAGGTGTGAGGAATGCTTTGTCTCAGACCTCTGGTTCCTAGTGTTAAAATCCCAGGTCAGACCCCAGCCTGGATGTGCTGCGCTGCAGCACGGGGAAAAGCCAGGGCCTTGGTCCAGTGTAATCTGCTTTATGAAGAGGTGGAGTAATGGCACTCGTCTTTCTCAGGTGAGTGCCTCAGTGTCGTGAAAGGAGTAAGGGGGAGACATCTGCTGTGCACCTTACTCTCCCCTGCCCTGGCTCGGTACTGCCAAAGCGCTTTTTCCTGGCAGGGCAGGAAGATTGGGGTGAGTGCTCCCAATGAGGGCTGTCTCTAACTGGTCCTATGGCAGATTTTGTTCTTTCTCCAAAACATGCCAGAATCCAACTAGTAGTTTTCCCCATCACTGCCACCCTGGTCCCAGCCATTGTCCTCTTGCCCTTGTGTCCATGCGACACTGAGTCTCTCAGCCTCAAAGCTGTGTGTAAGTGGGCTTTCTATGACCCGTCACTCCTCCCTCCAGCTGCTTCCCTTCATCCTGCTGGCGCAGCCCTGCCTGGGTCCCCACTCACACTCAGGGCAGGCTGCCTTGCTCCTGCCATTTGTCTTGGGATGGAAGCTGCAGTCAAGCAGGGGACTCCCCATATTTACTCCTGGCCGAGTCCCTCCTCCGGGGCTCAGCATACAGCTTATACTAATGGTGGGATTTTGTGGGGGCAGCCTGGGCCTCTCAACCTTGTTCTTCAGGAGCTGCAGGTTCTTCATGCACCTGGGATCATCCCAGCTCCTGACCAGGTTGGATGAGGACAAAACAGATCAGGTAAAGTATCCAGTACCACGCCTGCCCTGCAGACACCTATACAGGTGCTAGGTTGCCCATCACTCATCCCTGCCTTCGCCACACAGCATTTACAGAACCTATGTCCTGTGCCAGTTCTGGGGACATATGATGGACAAACCTATGTAAGTCTTTCAGCTCAGGAAGGCCAAGGAGCACTTTTCCCCCTTGTCCTCTGGGTAGAACAGAAGTCAGTCTTGTCATGTGCTGAGATCCTGGAGTCCAAGAGGAGGCATGCAGCCTCATGGTTAAGATATGCACTCTGCAGCCTGTCTGCTGGGTAGAGTACCTGCTAACTAAAGGCTCTCAGTCGCAGTTTCTCATCTGTCAAAGAGGTACAGTCATGGTGACATCCTATAAGGATCTTGGTGGAGGCCCACACAGTGGTGCCCATCTTGTCTGCCAGGATCTGCTGAGTGGCACATGGCACCCAAGCAAGGGTAGGCATTGGTGAAGTTGTAAAGCTGTGAGAGCAGGCACTCAAAGACATCTGTGCATGGCCTTGCTGGCACTAACTTGGGTTCCTCCTGCCAACCAGGCCTTGTTGGCAGAGTCCATAGGGGTTTAATGGCCTTAACAGCCTGCTGGCTGGTGTCCAGGGCACCACAGTGCCAGCCCAACAGCAGCCTTGTTAGCAAGTGACAAGGGTATTGGCTCCCATGTGCTGGCCATCTGGGCCATACTCTGCTCACTGGCCAGTGACAGAGGCTCTGGCCATGGTCCCTCTACAGAAGACCTCCAGAGCTCTGCTACAGGCAGAGATGATGTGTTGCATCTGGTACCTTCCCTTTCTCAAAAGCCCAGCTCCACCCCATAGATAGTTGAGCTTTGCTATAGAGACTCAGGAGCAAAACCCTGCTGTGCCCTTTACCAGCGGGAGGCCCTGGCAACCCACATGCCCTCTTGCATGCCTGTGTGTTCTGTCTGCAAATGGAGCTGCCAGTGTTTAACAGGGACATTCTAGTGCTTTGTGAGCAGGATGGGGGAGCTGAGGGGTGCTTACTCCCTGCTCTTACTGGATGAAGGCAGCAAAAGGTGCTGCTGACCATACCTCAGCAGGAGTGCAGAGGCTCCACTGGATCTAGACTATCCTGGGCTGACAGGGAAACCCTAAACCCTGTGTCAGGATGGCGCACCAGAGAGGCACCATGGCCTGGACCAGGCAGAGTCAGCGCTGTCCTGGAGGCTTCCTCCAGAAGCCAACACAGCCACTGTGTGTATCGACGGGTTACTCTGGCAGTGGGGTTGCTTTGACTAGCTGAGGGATATATGCCAGTGTGGAACTATCCTGTTGCAGCTAGAGAGGGGCATTACATGTTCCTGCATCTGATGGGTAGAGCCCATGGATAGTGCTAAACATGCTACCGAATGCCCTCACCAGAATGACCCTGCCCTGAGTGTCCATGGAAACAGGCCTGAGGCAGCCTGACAGGTCACCGCTGCCTCCCACTTTCCTGTGTCAGCTTGTGTTAGCTGTGCAGCAGGGCCGTGCAGTCAGAGTCCCGGGCTGGCATTGTGAACAATGGGGCACCAGGCTGACTGCTCTTGCTGCCTGCCCTTCACCCCTGTGTGTATGACTTTGGGCTTGGCTATTTGGAACCTTTAGTTCCTCTTTCCTGATGCCTGAAGCTGATCTTATGGGTCCAGCGCTCGATTTCTGATCATTGTCACAGACAGGCACAGGCAACAGTGAGCCACGCACTAGTCACCCTTGGTTACAGCAAGTGCTCAGCTCTCAACAGTCTCCAGGGCGGCAGTGTGGATAGAATCATTCAGGGTGTGCTGATGGCTGCTGGAGCACCCACAGGGTGGAGATGGAATTTAACAACATGCCTGAAATGTGCAGAGTCCTGGGCAGATTTTCCTGATACCCGTCTCTCCTCTGTGGGGGAGATAGAATCCATGCACACTGCCTGCTTTGCCCAGGTAGAGCTCTTTCTCTGTGTGAGGAGGGGGCACCTGGCTTGTGTCCAGATCAGAAAAGACGCTCCTTGGAGCTTCTCTACAGGGCAGAGCAGCAGCAGCAGGCGCCGCGTGTGCCTCTCTCAGTCCTGGCTGCACTCTGGAGTCTTAAGGGAAGCTTTAAAGTGTATACCAAGATGGAGACCAGATCTGTAGTTGTGAGGGTACCAGACTGCACAAACCTGTGATCAGATTGCATAGAACTAAATACTTGTACACGCAAATAAGCACACAAACAAACCAGGAAAGCTGAACCAGATAGGTGGTTTTATCAATGTCTGTATCCTGCTGTGACTTTGCCCAACTTTTACAAGATGTTATCACTGGTAGAAACAGGGTGAAGGGCCCAAGCGATCTCTGGTTTTGTTTTGTGGTACTGGAGATGGAACCCCGGCCACATGAATGCTGGGTAAGTGCTCTTCCACTGGGCTAAACCCACAGCCCCTTTTAAATTTGAGGTAAAGTCTCACTACACTGCCCAAGTTAGTCCTCCTGTCTCAGCCTCCCAAGTAACTGGGATTACAGGCATGCCCCACCCTACCAGCTTCTTAAAACTGTGTGTGAATGTATGATTATCTCAAAATAAGATTAATTTGGAAAAAGTACATGTGCCATTGCCCCAGCCACATGAATTCTGATTTAATTCATCTGGGGCATAGAACTGGGTGCAGACATGCTTTTCTGCCCTCCATGTGAGACCTATAAGCAATGAGGATTGAGAGCCACTGTTGATGTTGGCCCCAGTGTGGACAAGCCAGGGTGGGCCTTGCTCTGTCAGTCTGGGGGTGGCTGTGTCCATCTGGTTCTCATACTGGTGATAGACACTTTCTTTGCCATTTTCCTCTTGGTGACCACGACACTTCCTGGGAGTACAGACAGCCTGGATCACTGGTTTCTCCAGGGCACAGCACATTCTGGGGCTGACCCAGCCAGGGACAGTGGGGAGGCCAGGCTTAGACAAGGCCTGACTCCTGGGCCAGCCTGTAAAACAGTCCCTCCTGGGCCAACAGCTGGGCTGGGCTGCCACTCTCCACCACCTGCCCATTGTCCATGACCAGGACCCTGTGGAGAAGAGAAAGACAGCACAGCTCTATCCACCAGCCCAGCTCAAGAGCTTTGAACATGCCTGTGCTTTTGAGCTTTGCTCCCCAGAAGCCTAACCCTCCAAACAGCTCCCTAAACCTGGAAGATTGTGTCCAGGCTCATTCCTTCCCCTGTGGGGTCTGTCTTGCCACCTGCACGGTGAGTACCTAATAATCCATTCCAAGGCCTTGTGAACAGGGACTGCACCCTCCCTGGCCCCTTGCTGCTGTGGGGAAGGGGCACACTTCACCTGGCACAGTCCATCACCGAGCGCAGGCGGTGGGCGATAAGCAGCACTGTGCACCGAGCAAACCAGTGCCCGAGGGCCTCCTGCATCTGGAGCTCTGTCCCCAGGTCCACTGCAGCCGTGGCTTCATCCAGAATGAGAATCTGGGTTTTCCGGAGAAGGGCACGTGCCAGGCACAAGAGCTGCTTTTGACCCACACTGTCAAGGAAGGAGAAATCAGGCCGGATGTGTGTTAGTGGGCATGTCATGCTTTACAGGGCATGCCTACAAGTGAGTCCCTGGGACAGCTGCAGAAGCATGTGCTACCACAGCCCAAGGTCTACAGAGCTGGGAGATCCCATGCCCCATCTTTGAGCAGGCTGACTTCAGGGAAGTATTCAAAACTTGCGTGCGTCAGGTTCCCAGCCTATAAAAGCTATTTCGGTTTCCTTCACTCTATGCTCACGCACCAGACACTCTTAGGACTTACGTAGATATCATCCACAGAGATGTGTACTGCTCTCTCCTGACAGAGGAGGAGAAATGCAAAGGGAGTGCTTAGGTGGCTTAAGTGGCTTGTCCGAGGGCCTCAGTGAGGGAGCCAGAATTTGAACCCGAGACCTCTGTCTCTGAAATCTAATGGGTTCTTCTGCACTGAGGTATGAAGGTGAGCTAAGTGAAGACAAAGTCTTCTGATGCAATAGCTTCTTAAAGGTGGGGAGGAGAGACCTCTGACCCTGGTGAGCACTGGCCTCTGGAGACCCGGGGTGCCTGGAACTGTCTCCCGTCATGCCTGACTTCCTCTCGCGGCAAACCATTCTTCCATGGAGCAAGGCCTGGAGAGAACCAGAACCTGCTCTGGCCATGCGGGGTCAGGGCTGTGCCCTTGCTCCCACCTCCGTGCTCACAAGCTGGGTGGCCCTGCAGAAACCCCAGGCCTCAGCACCCAACTCAGTGAAAACAGGGGAAGTGAGAATGTGGCTTGGAGGAATGGAAGGAATACCTATCACTCCTGTGAGCCAGGCACTGTTTTAGTGGCTTACAGCTGTTAACTCACTTCCTCCTCATCTGGATAGGTACAGCTGACCCTGTTTTATGGATAGAAGACCAAGGCCTGGCGATTAGGTAACTTGCTTATGGATCTGCAGCACTAAGGGGATGACTGGATTTGAGCCAGTCTGACCCCCACCCTGAAACCACATGGCCTCTCTGGTGCTGAAACCATTGCATTCATGGTTCCTTCCCTGACATCCTAGGCTCAGAACATTTAGGTTTCTAAAAGCTATACACCTGTCCACCTGTGTTCATGGCAGCCTTATTCATAGTGCCAAAGGGAGAAACAGCCCACAGGTGTATTGACAGATGGCTAAACAAATGGTGGCCTCTTCCTACGAAGCAGTATGTAGCCTTAAAAAGGAAGGAAACCTTGACACACACTGCAACATGGATAAACCTCAGATATTATGCTAAGTTAAATAAACCAGGCACAAGATGATACACCCTCTTGGCTGAGACAGCAGGGTCACCATGAGTTCTAGTCCAACCTGAACTATATAGCAAGCTCTATCTCCAAAAAAAAACCCCACCCTCTTATTTCACTGATACAAAGTACTTGGAATCCCTAAAGACAGGAAGTAGAATGGTAGTGAGTTGGGATGGGGGTACGGGCAGGTGGTGTTCAGTGGGCAGGACAGGGTATGTGGCATAGCTGCAGAACACTTGCCTAGCATGTGCTTAGTGGGTACAAAGTTTCCATTTTGCAAGACAAAGATTCCTGGGGATCTGTCCCACACAGGTAAATAGAGTCGTGTATCTTAATAACAAATGTGCTCTAACAAACGCAGTGTTGGGCAAGGTCGTCTCCATGGGAACATCACACAGTGTATTTATGCAAGCTAGGACGGCTGGTACCATGCCAGGCAGAATACTTTTCTGGATCCATCACCAGATATGTGAACTGCTTGGGGAAGAAATGTCATTTCACGGTGCTTGACTAAACATAACACTACTATATATTTAAAGTTCAAGATGACAAATGTGATGCTACATGTATTTTAACACACTATTTTCTTTTACACACCTATGATACTTCCCCCCCAGTGAGGGTAAGGTCAGTATCCAACATCAAGCACCATATTTGTGTAACGAAATGCTGAACAAGATAAATACAGACGGTCAGTAGACTTACGTCAGGGAAGGCCGAGTTCTGACATCAAATTTTGGAAGCTAATTTAGGAAAAAGAATCTAGGTATCCAGGGATGGTGCTGGAGCTGGGGACTGCAGATAAAGCGGGAGCCTGGAGGGGTGGTTAACAGAAGGGGCTGCCAATCCTCTGGGTAGCAGAGATCAGTCCTGAGGTCCCCTAGGGTGCCCCGAGGGAGCACTGGCTTTCCTAACCTCCACCCGTCCGTCTCCCTAGGATGGCACCATACCTCAGGTCGTCCCCACTCTCTGCACACTCGTACAGCAGCTGGCCGGGCAGGCTGGCCACGAAGGCTTTGAGCTGCACAGTCTCCAAGGCCGCCCAGAGGGCCTCATCGCTGTGCTCCTGTCGCAGGTCTAGGTTCATCCGCAGAGAGCCAGGCACCAGGATGGGGTCCTGGGTCAGAGGCGTGGTGCATCAGAGCAGGCCACTCCCTCAGCTCCACCCTCCCACGCTCCAGACCTCACCTGCGGGATGATGGTGATCCGGGACCGCAGTGTGTGCAGCCCCACCTGGGCAATGGGGACCCCGTCGATCCAGATGCCACCCTCCGCTGCCTCCTGCAGCCTCAGCAGGCCCCCTGCCAGGGAAGACTTCCCAGCTCCCGTCCTGCCCACAATGCCAACCTGCCAGGGATGGGAGGGTGTGACCTGTGCTGACCCAAGCCACAGCCCAGGGCACTCATCTTACACTGTAAGATGTGTCCGTCCACTCAGCATCTCTGAGCATCCGTCTGTCCACTGTCCACTTCTTCCACGTATCCGTTCACCCTTCCCTTTGTGCATTCTTCTGTCCCCCTCATCCTGACACTTCGCCTCATCTTGCTGTCTATCCCCACCTTCCCTCTACAGCCCTGGCCTGCCTTCCTCCATTCTTCTGTCTCCTCTGTCATCCATGCAGTAGCCTTCCCTTTCCCCCCTCTATCCCTTCTCTTTTTCTATCATTATCTTCCTAGGTGTCTGTGTCTACCTCCTATCCATTCATCTCTCGTCCCTGTTTCACCCTATCCATCCATCCCATAGTCATCCTTCCATATGTCCCCAACTTTCCATCCAGCCACCAGCCCATCCTTTTACCTGCCCCCCAGCCTGCTCTCTGTTGCTAGTCTTGAGCAGACACGTGATGGGGATTTAATACTCTTTATTTAGCACACGAATGGAACATGTGAGTCACCCCACTGCATGACAGGTGTGCTTTTAGGCATAAGGAACACAGAGATGAAGAGTGCTTGCTCCAATATGCTCACTCTCAGGTCTTGGTTGCACAAAAAAATAAACAATATGCTGAACAAGCTCAGGACCTGCAGTGAAAGGGTGCTATTCATGCGGCCTGGGATTTGGAAAAGACTTCACAGAGGGAGGAGTATACCCGAGTGGACTCTTGAAGGATGAGTAGGAGTTCAGCAAGGGGGAGATTCCAAATAAAACACATCAAACTTTTTTTTCTTTTTAAAAATCAGACTACCTGATCATTGAGCACCATATGCCCACTTGGCCCAAATGTTGGCTGAGCCTTGGCAGAGCAATGAAGAAGGAAAGGAGGAGGGCAAGCCCCTGAATGCCAAAACCGAGGAATTCAGACTTTACCCCAAGGGCAGCTAGGAGCTGGTAAAAGGTTTGAGCAAGAGGAAGTGCTTAAATCTGTGCTTAAGTACAGATGCCAGGAGACCAAGCTGGAGGTGGTGAGACAGGCGGCTGGGGGCTCAGTGGACAGCATCATGTGGGAACAGGAAAAGCAGCAAGGAGAAGGTGGGAAGGGAGGGAGGGATTCCACGGAGGACCCGCGGGGGCGTCTGCAATTGTGGTAATACTAGTTAGTATACCCTCCTCCTAGGGCTGCTGCAAGGTAAACGCAATGATTAAGCACCGCATTAGTCACAGTTCTGCAGCCCTTGTTGTGTCCAGATCTTTAAATGTGGTGATTTAAATATAATAGCTAGGAGGTTAGTAGTATTCCCATTTTACAGATGGACAAGAAGTGAGTTGCCCATGGCCACCTATGGCAAAGGCGAGAACCCATGCCACGCAACCTGGATGGTATAGACAGAATGTTTAGCATTGCCCAGCACATGTGGGTGTTCCACTGAGGTTATAGGAAGGAAGGAATCAGAAAGATATTCTCCCCATATGGGGACACCAAGGTAGGCCAGGAAGGCCAGCAGGGGAGGTGGACTTAGGAGTCCAGTGCAAAAGGTAGTGGGTCTGAAAGAGCTTGTTTCAGACAAGGAAGCACAGAGGAAGTGGTTGGTGCTCAGACCTGGCCACACCCTGGACGCCCTGGGAGAACTGCTCACCTTCTCTCCTGCCTGGACCTTGAAGGACACACCCCGCACAGCCAATGGGAGCTCTGGCCAGTGTCTCAGCCCGAAGTCCCGGAACTCGATCTGTCCCCCGTGAGGCCAGGGAGGCTGGGCTGCACAAGTGGGCAGCATCCAGGGAGCCTGCAGCAGAAGGACACACGGTCAGAGAAGCCTGCTTCCAGGGCTTCTCACGAGGCAACCCACCCCTCTGAGTATATTTGGGGTATATTTTCTGAATGGGGACAAAAAAAGCTGAGAGTCCACTGTGGGCCAGTCTAAGTCCACGATTGGATCTTGATCCTTCCAGGAAACCCAGTATCCATCAGCACATGAGAGGATAAGGAAAATGTGCTATTTGTACACAGCAGAGCACTACTCCGCTACAAAGGACACATAGGTCATCTGTAGACAAATGGATGCACCCGAGACCATAATACTGTATTAGTTAAAACAAGTATCAGACACACAATATCACATTGTTTCAAAATATAAATAAAAACCAAAATAAAAGACAACTGGAAATAGGGCGATAGATCTTTTGCAAAGGAGAAAGGAACCAAGAAAAGAGAGGAGGGTATTAAAAACAGAATTAAGATTTGTTATGTACATGTATCAATTTTCTGGGAGATATGCGATTATTATACACTGCAAAGATGTACTAATAAAAAGTTAAAAGAAAAAAAAAACCCAGCATTATTCCTATGTCCCTGTGACTGTACACTTGCTTATCAAGCAGCTGTAAAGCTGTCCACTGTGGTTGCTGAGTGTTGCAGTGTTGTTCTTCTATTCCCTGTTCCCACTGCTTGATTTAATTATGTTGCAGGGGTGGTGCTATCAGGTTGCTGTAATGTTGCTGCCGCATGGCCCTTACATCCTGTCTCTCTCATCCACTGTCACTCAGATGAGTAATGACTTACATCGCTCAAGCCAGGAAGCAGGATTTGATGCTATAGCCATCACTGCCACCCTGGCTAGGAGGCAGCTGACAGCAGTGGGCTTAGTGGGACAGAAAAGGGTGCAGATTCCAGAACCCACGACAGACATGGACCCAGGTCCAGTGCCCCTCTCTGTGGGTCCCACTGAGGCCTCGCCCCCATGTCCCACCCATTACCTCCTTGGGCGTGTGGGTGTAGTCCTGCACCCGCTCCACCGACACCATGCTGTTCTCTAGGTCTGTCCAGCTGCGAATGACCCACTGCAGGGTCTGGGTCACCTGTGCAACAAGACATGACAGGCTTGGCTCACCTTGGCTCTGCCAGTCCCCATCCCCAGGCAGGAATCAGGCCGAAACAAAGGAACAGGGTGCTTGGAGGACCTGGGCCCAAAGGGATAGGATGTGGCCTCAGCCAACAGAGCTCCTCCCTTGCTTTGGAGAACCAGTATGCAGAGCAGGAAGGAACTCTCAGACAATAGTTGTTCCAAAGCACCGTGGTACAGGTGGGGAGACAGGGCCAGGGCAGGTGTCTCGCCTGCCCTGCCCTCTCAAGGGTCCAGGCCCATGAGGCTGAGCCTGCACTGACTTCCTGTCACACCCAGAGCCACCTCAAGCTCCTCACTAGGACCCTGAGAAGTCACATGCTCCTGCCCTCCCCTCCTCTGCCTAGCCTGTTCCCCCACTTCTACAGGCTCCCCTTCTCCAACTCCACCTTCCTTATGAGGTCCCCCTACCATCGGAGAGATGACCCCACCCACGTCCCCCAGGGCCTCTCCCTGTGTGCTTCTGCCTGAGTGGACACACACACTCCAGGGCCCCTCCTTACTCCGTCCCATGCAGCCTCCCGCCCGGCCCACTGCCTACAATAGGAATCCTCTGCTCGTGGCTGGCTGCACGTTCCCTTGCTAAGCTGCCCCACTGGTGGGGGGAGGAGGCCAACACTAGCTCACTGATGGGGCCTGGGCAGGATGAAAGGAGTCAATGCTCATGGAACACTGCCTCATTTGTGACGAACGTCACCTAGACATCATGACCTGGTCTCATGTGTTGTGACTAACAGTTAACAGAAGTTAATCACAGAAAACATTTTGTCTGCTTGGTCTCAACTAAAATGACAGTGTCAGTAGTGACCAGAGTACTGGCCTAACTTTTCAGGCCAGCACACTGAGCTCCCCAAGCAAATAGGGGCTCCTGTCCAAGGTCACCAAAGCCCAGTCTGATTCCCATAGAGCAGAGTTTCCCTGACTGCTTGGTCATGTGGACTTGGGGGTCTTTGAAGGTCCTGGGAGTCGGGGTGGGGTCTGTCTGGCTCTGGCTGTGCCTATGGCTTGAAGCCTACATAGGGATGCTGTGTACCTGGAGGGCAGCTGACACTGAGAACCCCACGAGGCCAGCCCTGAGGTGGTCCTTGCTCAGCACAGCGCACATGGCAGCCACGAACACCAGGCCGTTCCCCAGGAGCTCCAGGTTTGTAGCAAGCCACCTGCAAAGGGAAAGCAAGTAACAAGATTTGCAGTTCTCTCCTCTTTCACGATCCACTGCTCTGTGCACAAGGACTGACCATCACGGTGGCTCTGCAACCATGGGCACCCCAGCAAGGGTGTCCTCTTACCCCAGCTTGGTGAGTGGGGGCAGGCGACACTGCCCTGCTCCCCTGGCACAGAGCTCAGTAGAGCTGTTGTGTCCCTGGGGTACGTACATCTGCTTGCTGTCTGCTGGCCTGAACAGGCCCTCCTCCTTCATGGGGCCGACATCATCTTTATGTACAGGTCACCTCCAGTGTTAACACACCACTGATGACATCCTCTGTGTCAACCATCTCTCCATAACTAAACTAATCGGTTATCGACTAGCAAAGCTCCATCAAGAGATCAGAGCTCTGCAGATCTTGCCTGTCACCTTCCTGGCTTAGTCTCTAGGCCTATACAGGCTCTAGCACTAGTCAGACCCTGTCTTAAAATAAGAAGAGCAGCAGATGCTCAATGAATGTACTGTGACTGGGTGGATGAATACGTACCTCTCTTACTGAGTTTCTGTTCTGCTATTCACTCATTCATCCATTCATTTAGCAGATACATGCTGTACTGAGTGCATATTATGTGCCAGGCATGGTGGAGATGCTGACTATAAATAAAACAGCTAAAAATCACTGGCTTCAGGACATGATGGTACATACTATAATCCCAGCTATTCAGAGGGCTGAGACATGTGTATTGGCAAGTTAGAGGCCAGTTTGAACAACTTAGGAATACCCTGTCTCAAAAATTAAAATGGACTCGGATGTAGTTCTACCATGATGTAAAATGGGCTCAGTGCTCTTTGGGTTCAATATCCTACCAAAAATCACTGCCCTGAGGAAATCCTGAGCTTTACCACATATAACATCAAGTCCTCTTAACATAGGAGGCAGGTGTTGTTCCCACAGACAGATGAGAAAACAGAGACTCAGATTAGATATTTACTTAAACCCATATAAATTGCAAACAGTAGGATTTGTGGCCAAATATACCTCACTCACACTAGAGAATACACACCCTGTCCAAAAGATCATGCTCTTACTGAAACAACTACCAAAAGAATAAATGAACAAAGCCTTTACCTGGGGTCTGCCATGCTCTGGCTTCAGCTCTGAACCTGTTTCCCCATCTGTACATCTATCTATCTAACAGAGTCCTATCTGTATACTGATGTGATATCTGATTAAATATGGTGGGGGAGGATTAGATGAGATACCCCATGAAGTGTCACAGATAGTGGGTGCTTACTAAATGTCCTAAGTCTCTCCTCCCTAGCCAGGACCCCATGAAGGGACAGGACAGGTTTCCCAGAAGACATGCAGAATTGAGACACTGCCCACAGAGACAGACTTTTCAGGACTTGGACAGAAAGGTGAAGGGATTCACACTTATTGAGTACCAACTGTGTGCTTAACCCTCTCCGTACTCCAGTGCCAGTTGTCTGGACTTGAATCCTAGTTCTATCATGACCTTGAGTAAGTTTCCTATGTCTTTGCATAAGATTCACAACCTATAAAGTTATCTCTGCCCCATCAGTTAATAGGTTTAAATACAGATTTCCTAGAGCTAGTGGTACACATCTGTAATTCCGGTGTTCTATACTTCTGAAGCCAGAGGACTACAAATTCAAGCCCAGCCTGAGCGATTTAGTCAGACCCTGTCTTAAAATAAGAAGAGCTAGGAATATAACTTGGTGAAAGGTCCTGGCTTCAATCTCCAGTATTGTTAAAAAAATTATGCACATATATGACAGATCAATGCCAGGAATGCAGTAGCCATGTTACAAATGTTACCCATGAGTATTGTTAATCCTCAGAGCCATTCTGAGACAACCCCAGTCTGACAAATGAGGCTTAGGCTTGGAGAAATTATATGACTTGCCAGGATCAGCCTGCTACTAAGTGGCAGAGTTGGGATTAGAACCTGCATCTGTCTGCACTCAGAACTGAAAGGAAATTCTGGATGCTTATGTAGCTACTCTGTCATCAAGGCATGGTCCCAGTGCCTGGTAACAGAACCTCCTTCCTGCATCTCTGGTCAGTGCCGTTGGAGGCTGTTCTGGCTGGGGTCCATGTGCTCACAGTGTGATTCTGGAGACTGCCTGTGGGGCTCAGCATCCTCTTTGTTCCCCAATTTGCTTTTGACTTTGAACATGCCACCTGACCTCACTGGCTCATACACAATATGATCAGTTTCATACACTGATCACATACAATATGATCTTGGGTATAACTCTCTGAGATACAGATGGTTTACAGGGGCTTCTCTACCTACCTGTCAGCCACCAGTCGTGGGAAACTGACCCTCTGGTTTGCATCCATGAGAGCATCACTCTGAGCCACAAAGTGGCCCTGGGCTTGGAATGCCCTGACCACTGCACTGCCCTGGAACGTCTCAGCCACGTGGGAGCACACAGATGAGTAGCTGGCTGACTCCATGCGTCTCAGCTGGCATGAGGTGGCCACGTACAGGCTCTGAGGCAGAGTACAGTGGGAGAGGAAAGGGAAGAAACCAGACACAGAGAGGTGACTTTCAGAAACACAGGGAGCTCCAAGTCCAGGGGATTCAGGCTCAGTTACCAGCTTGCCTGTAACCAGGGGCCAATTGCTTGCCTTCTCTGGGCTCCAATTTCCTTGTAGACTTAGTTTCATGTTTCTTTTGAAAAGTCACCTGGGGAGCTCTGAAAAGCTCCAATGCCCCACACTCCAGAAGTACTGACTTGGGACCTTGTAGGATCAAACCCATAATGGACAATGGAGATAGTTGGCTATGTCAAATCCACTCAAAGGTTCTGTGTTCTGCTGATGCACAGTATGTGTTGATTGGCTGAGGACACAGCTGTTCGCAGCTGACAGATGGGCAGGAAGCTACAATGCCAGGATCTTTATAAGCAGTATGTATTCACCATCAAGCAGGCATTAGGGTTGTTCACAGCTCACAGGTGAGAACACCCAAGGCTTGAGGGATGAAGCAGCTGCTCTGAGCATTACAGTAAATGGCAGAAAAACAACCCTACCCCAGGTCAAGAGGAATTAGTGAAGTCCTCTTCTCTAAGTCCACACTGTGGAGGACAGTGGTGGCCAGGGCTTTTGATGACAGTGTTTTCTTTTACTTCATGTCTGATCTCCTGTAGGTGACCACTAAGCCAGTAAGTTATCCAGGCTGGGCTCAAACTTGAAATCTTCCTGTGTAAGCCTTCCAGAGTGCTGGTGTTACAGCATGCACCACCACACTTGGCTTGGAGAAGAGTGTTTTTTTTCCTTCAGTTGCTAATGAAGGATGATGTGAACACTAGGCTGGTAAGGGTCATCAGATCCATCCCTGGAAAGACTATGTACAAAATCAGGAAGCACTAAGCTAGTGGTTCTCAGGATTAGCACACAGCAGAGTTACTGGGAGCAGCTGTTAGCAGCCAGGCAGTTGGGCCCACTCTGCTAGCATCTGGGTCAGTAAGTTTGGGAGGGACCTAAGAACCCACATCTCTCCCTATCACCAGGAGAGCCTGATGCTGCTGAACTGGAGTCACACTTTGAGAACCATGAGTGCATTATGGGGACAGTAACTGTCCTGGTGACAGCTGGGCCTGCTACACTGTAGGCTATAAACATTAAACATTTCTGTTGAAACTGGTCTCTGGCCCTGGCAATGGAAAGGATCTGAGCTTAACAGAATTAATCTTTGAGAACCTGCAATGCAAACTTCCTAGGATCCAGAGAAGTGGAGAAGAAGAAGCTATAGCAGCAGAAACAAGGCTAGATATTAAAAAGAACTCTTCTTTGGGCAACAGAGACCACTGTGGATGCTGTCTCTAGTGCTACTCCATATGCCCTGCTGGGCAGCCTCTCTTACACTGAGTCCTGAGCCCAGAGATAAGGCTGGTGGGGATGGTCACAAATGGCCCAGGAGCCTGATGTCTCCATACCTGAAATCTAGCATAAAGTAGCATCAGTGGCAGGATGGCCACGATGGCCAGGGGTGTGACCATTGTCACTGCCAGGCAGACCTCCAGGAGTCCGAAGGTGTAAGTCAGCAGGGCCTGGAGCTTGTCTGGGATCTCCACATCCACCATGTCCATTTCCTTGGAGAAGTAGTTCAGCAGCTTCCCGACAGGTGTCCGCTCAAAGAAGCCAATGGGAGACCGAGCCACATCCCACAGGAGCCTCCGAAAGAGCAGGCTGGACGCCTGGACCCCGCCAATGAACACTGCGGCCATGGAGGCAAATAGTCCGACGGCTAAGGAGAGAGGAGGAGGATGAGACAGAGTATGGGCCCAGAGACCTCCGGAACACTCCTTTCAGGACCTTTCAGGGAAACCTAGGCAGGTTTCCCCTCATCCCTAGGGTGGTCACACTGATTATCTGTCCCCTGATGGACCCCCTCCAGGGGATTAAAGTGTTCCAAACATTCATGTCCATCTAGAACCTCACAATATAAACTTATTTGGAAATAGTCTTTGCAGATATGATTAAAGAGCCTAATCTTTGAATGGATTTGAAATCCAGTCTTTGGTATCCTTATAAAAACAGGTAAGATATAGAGACTCAGAAGATGACATGATAGAGGCAAAGATGGGAGTTACATATGCACCAGACAAAGATGCTGGAGGCCTCCAGAAGCTGGGCGAATGCAGTGAGGGTTTTCTCCCGTGGTCTCCCCACAGCCAGCCCTGCTCTCACCTTACTTGAGATTTATAGCCTCAGAAGTATGAGACACACATTTCTGGTGTTCTAAGCTACCACTCACAGCAGCCCTATGAAACTGATACACTGCCATGTGCCATCTAATGAGAGAGGACTGTCCCATGTAAATGAGAACCTGAGTTATCCCAGGGAGGGCTGATGTGGACAACTTCCTGGTCTACTCCCTCTGGATTAAGTGAGCACTGGCCTGAGGGCGTTACTATGCAAGTACCCCTGGGGAGCAGGTTTCTCAGTTAGTATGACAGACGGGTTCCTGTGTTTAGGCCTCGTGTACCAATTTTTGGGGGGTGGAGGACATGAGCTCATAGCAGTTTGGTGATGTGGCCAAGGTCACTCAGTGGATCAGGCTTAAACTGACTTTTAAAGATGAGGCTAATGCCAGCAGGCCACACCACCCTGTGAGCAAGGCAACCATCCACCGACTCCAAGCTGGGGCCGCAGGGGAGTGAACCGATGGACTTGACCCTGGATGAGGACAATGCCTGGGGAGGGAAAGGAAACCTGGAGGACCGGCAGACCCAGGGAGACACAGCTGGCAGAATGGTTCAAAAAATAAAATCTATCAATATGCATAAACACATTTAGCGAAAAGAAGCTCAGACTAAAAATCAGAGGATGTTTCCAGGCAACAGGAACATGAACGAAAGCTGCTATCCCACTTTCAGAAAAATTGGACTTCAAGCCAAAACTAATCAAAAGATATAAAGAAAATCACTACATATTTGTTAAGGGAAAAATATAATCAGAAGTGATAAAAATTATTAATATATATGCACTGAACAACCGTGTACCCAACTTCATAAAATAAGTACTACTGGATATAAAAAAATCAAATAAACAAACACAGTTATACTGGGAGATCTCAACATCCCACTGTCACAAATAGATCAACTAGACCAAAAAACAAACAAGGAAATATATCAAAATTGAAAAAATCTTCAAAAATGGATTTAATAAGATATCTACAGTGTTCCACCCAACAACAGAATACATTCTCTACAGCAACACACATACCTTTCTCCAAAATAGACCATCTACTAGCCAATAACACAATCTTAAGTAAATGCAAAGGAACTGAAATTCTAACACATGTAAAAACTAAAAATCATTGGCAAAAGAAAACAGAAATTATGCAAACTCATGGAAACTAAGCAATACACTCTCAATCAGTGGGTTACAGAAAAAAATCAAGGGAGAAATAAGATAGTATCTAGAACTAAACAATAATGTGAATATAACATACCAGAACTTATGGCACACAAAGCAATTCTAAGAGGGAAGTTTATAGCTGTGAATGCTGACATCACAAAAGCAGAGGAACCCCAAATAAATAACCTAACAATGTACCTTAAGTCCTAGGACACCAAGAACAACTACAAGGAAAGAAAGTATGAATCTCAGAGCAGAAATTAATGAAATTGAGAAAAATTCCACAGAGTCAATGAATCAAAAAATTATTTCTTTGACAAAACAGAATAAACAAATCCCTAGCCAATCTATCCAAAGCAAGCAGAAAAATGACCTCAAATCAATATAGTTAGAAATGAGAAAGGTGAAATCACAATGGACGTTGCTGAAATCAAGATTATTAACAATTACTTTACAAATCTGTACATCATAAAATGGAAAATTCAGAAGAAATATATAGCTTCTTAGATATATATGAATTGCCAAAACTGAACCAAGATGATTTAAAAATCCTGAATACTACAAAAACTAACAGACAATGAAGCTGAATAAAAAAAATCTACCAACTAAGAAAATCCCAGTCCAGAGAGATTCAGTACTGAATTCTACAAGAACTTTAGGGGAAATCTAACATCAATACTCCCCGAACTCTTTAATGATATTTAAAGGAAAGGGGTACTTCAAAGTCATTACCTTGATTCCAAAACAAGAATTAAACCAAAAAAGAGAATTATAGACCAAATTTTTTTCATTGGTGTACTCCTGTACACCACTAACAAATTCACTGAGAAAGAAATTAGGAAAAAAATACCATTAACAGTATTGTAAAGAAAAGTTAAATACTCAGGAATTAACCTAAGTAAGAAAAACTTCTACAAAGAAAACAACATTCTGAAAAAAAATTGAAGAGACCATCAAAAAATGAAACATATCCTCTGTTCTTATAGAGGTAGAACAAACATAGTCAAAATGGCCATATTTCCAAAATTGATATATGTATTTTATGCACCCCAATCAAAATACAGACAACACTTCTCACAGAAATGGAGAAAACAATTCTTAAACTTATAAGGAACCAGAAGAGACTCAGAATAGCAGAAGCAATTCTGGATAACAAGAGCAAAGCAGGAGGAACCACAGTCTCAGACTTGAAGTTATATTACAAAGTTACAGTGACCAAAACAGCAAAGTACTGGCACAAAAACTGAGGATCAGTGGACAGAACAGAAGACGCAGAAACAACCTCAAGCACATTCAACTGTTTGATCTTTGACAAAGGGGCCAAAAACATATCCTGGAGGAAAGACAGCTTCTTTGGAAAAACTTTCTTTCTACATTCAAATGTAGACCCAAATCTCTCACTAAACTACTAAACTAAAATCAGAATAGATCCAGAAAGGATCGTAAGCTGCCAGAAGAAATGTATTGGTAAAACTCTTGAAACCATACGTGTAGGCAAGGATTTTCCAAACAGAAACCCTGGTTACACAGGAAATAGTACCAAGAATCAACAAATGAAATCATAACAAATTAAAAAGCTTCTGCATAGTAAAGGAAACAACCAACAGTGAAGAGATAACTTACAGAATGGGAAAAATTTTAACTAACTGTTTCTCAGAAAAAATATAAAATATTAGATTCCCCCAATAAAAGACTCAATCAAAAAATAGGCAAGTGAAATGAATAGATACTTCACAGAAGAAGAAATTAAAATGGCCAATAAATACATCAAGAAATGTTCAGCATTGGCATTGGCCGTTAGAGAAATGCATATTAAAACAACATTGAAATTCCATCTTACCCCAATAAGAACACCAATCATCAAAAAAAAAAAAAAAAACCCAAATAATAAATGCTGATGAGGCTAGAAAAGGAATCCTTCTACACTGTTGGTGGGAATGTAAACGACTACTACAACCAATGAAAATCATTATACCTCAAAAACATAAAACTAGGGGCTGGGGATTTAGCTCAGTGGCATAAGCGCCTGCCTTGCAAGCAGGCAGTCGTGAGTTCGATCCCTGGTACCGATAAAAACGAAAAAGACAAAAAAAAAAAAAACATAAAACGAGACATTCTGTTTGACCCAGCTGGTCTCCTCTTAGGTATCTTCTCCGAAGAGTAAGAAGACATCATGGTATAGTATAAGTACACACCCATGTTTATAGAAGCACCAGTTCATAACAAGATCTTGGAAGCAGCCTCTATGCCATCAACCAATGAATGAATGAAGAAAACGTACTTAAATCCAGGAGACTACTCCTATGTCATAAAGGATAAGGAGTCATCTGTAGGAAAAGGATGCACCATGAGACCATAATGTTAAGTGAAATAAATAAGACACACAAGCTTAAATATCACATGGTTTCTCTTATTTGAGAAATCCTCAAACATAAAGCACAAAATAAGAGACAGAGAATACTAAGTTGGGAGCTAGATCTTTCCCAAACGGGAAAGAGGTACAGGCAAAAGGAAGGAAGAAAAGAAGATGCAAAAAGGAATTGTATTACGTACATGGACCAGCTCCCCACAAGGAACATGGACACCGTGTACTGCCAACATGTGCTAACCAGAAAAGTAGAGAGATGGCTACACTTAGGCATTTGCTCTTGCTGTTCCTGTAATTCCCTCCAGTGAGGCTATGTTTGAAAGAGAAGCAGCAGCAGGGCCAAGGACAGGGCACTGGAGAGGGAGGTGGGTAGGGACAGTGTAAAAGGGTGGCGCTGGGTGTCCTTGGGATGACAGGACTGCTCTGTAACTTGAGCACTGTGGTGGACAATGAGCCCACTGTACTGTGTTGGATCTGCACAGTAGCAAACACTAAATGAGGAAAACTGGGCAAATCTAAAGCAGTGCAATGCCCTGGCCACCGTCAGTTTCCTTGTGTGACATGGTGCTATTACCTTGCAAAGTGTCCCTGCAGGAAGAAACTGGCAGCATGCAGAGGGGGCTCTGCATTATGTCTTATGTCTAAATGGGAACCTACTGTTACTTTAGTAAACAATTATTAAAAGGAGAAGATAGGAAGGGAGGAGGTGAAGTGGCGGCAATGTTTTTAAAGGAGGAGCCTGGTTCTTTGAGGAAGCCAGCAGCAGGGCAGTGAGAGTCATGATCAGACCAGAGCTGCCCCTGCATGCAGTGGGAGCTGGGAGAGATGTGGAGGATTCCAGGAAAGGTAGTTGGTGTTTTCAGAAATCTGCTCTGGCCACAGCTGGGCAACCCCAGCTCCCTGCAGCCTCATCTGAAGGTCTGTGCTTGGGTCCAGGACATTTTCCACAGATGCTCAGGGAGGTCAAGTGGAACCAGGGGTGGCAGAACAAGGGAGCCTGGAGAACCCCTCATTGGAGCCAGGAGGATGGGATGAGGTTGTGAGCACCAGGTACCTTGGAGACAGCCGAGGAGCCCAAAGACCCAGCCGCGCAAGGCTGTCTGCATCTGCTGCCCGTCCACAACTGGGTCATCTGCCCACAGGCTCAGCCAATATCCCCGGCAGAAGGAGGCCACTTGCTGGCAGAGGAAGAGGAAGAGCGTGTAGGTGCAGAGGGGGATGCCCACGGCTTGCAGGTAGCTCAGGTACATGGCGGCCTTCACCTGTAGGACATGTGGTCAGGGTCAAGGGGAGGGCCGAGCCAGGGCGAGGCCAGCCAAGGCTCCCCTCAAGACCCTGCCCAGCCTTTCCACCTCTGTCTGCCAGACAGTCCCCAGTGGGCCATCAGAAATCTTAAAGGTACAGACTGGGTGACTTCTGGATTTGGAACATTTTCTTGAGCACCTACTATGAGACAGGCACACAACTTTATGCTCACACTCACTTCTATTCCACAGATCAGGGCACTGAAGCACAGGGAGGAGAAACAGCTTATGTAGGGTACTGGTCCTACCACTCTGGAGCTCTCTGTCCAGCTGTAGAGGAAATTTCTGAAAACACCAACTAATCCTGTTTTGCTGCTGCTGTTGGCTGGCAGCCCTCTTGCTCTCATAACACCCCCACTTACCATGTGCCAGCATCATAAGCCGTTCCCCTCTCTGTGCCCTGAGCTCTTCTCACCTCCCAGCTCTGCCCCTGATGTTCTCCCTGCCTGGAGCATGCCCTCTCCCACTTTCCATGGCACGCTCCTTCACGTCCTTCAGGATAGCATAAACACTGCTCCTCTGAGCAGCCCATCCAGGAAGCCCTGACCCTCAGCTGAGCTGCCTTTCATCACCCTCTTTTGTTTCCTCTCATGAGGTTCTGAAGTTACCTTGCTCGGTAATCGTTGGTAGTGAACCTGTGGCACGTGTGCTGCAGCAGATTGTTTTGTAGCATTGCAAGCCCTAAAAGGTTCACCATCACTGTCCGAGTGTTTGTGCCTGCATCCCTCACTAGCATGAAACCTCCAACAGGACAGACGTTACCTGGACAAGTATGCTGGATGGATGAGTGAATGGTTGGACAGGCAGATGGATGACTGTGTGAATGGCTGAATGAATGGATGGACGGATGAGTGGATAAATGAGTAGGTATAGAGGTGGGTAGTTGGATGAGTGGATGAATAGATGTGAGGACAGACATAAATGTATAGTGAGGGGGTAGGTGCATAGATGAGTAGAGGTAGAGGGAGACAGATAAGATACAGGTAAGAGGGTGGTTGAATAAGTGATTATATAGGTAGGAGATAGGTAAGGGGGTAAGTGGGGCATGATGAATAGGATGGAAGGGATGAGTGCACATATAGATGGATGACAGGAAGGATGGAAGGGTGGGTGGTGTGTGGATGAATAGAGGGATGAATGGATGGACAAAATCATAAGGAAGAGGAGAAATAGTACAAACTTCAGATTTAGACTGACCTAGATGTGGGTCCCAAGTTTGTCATACATACAAGTTTCTCAACTCTTTCACATGTCAGTTTCTTCATCTCCAAAACTGAGCTTCCACTATCTATGTTTGAAGGATTTTGTAAGGACTACAAAAATGACAGTCTAGGATCTTACTTGGCACATAGTAGGTGCTCAGTAAAGGTGAGTGTCCCTCCCCAATACTATATGTGGTGGGAGGACTTGGGCCTGGGGAGAGCAAAGAGCGGCTGGTGGTTACCCGGCCATACCGCACACTGCCCTCTTGCGTTGGCTGTCCTGTCCCCTTAGGATCATCTAGAGGAGCTCTTGTCTGGGATGCTGAGATGACACTGTTCCTCGTAGAGGCTGACTTTATGGACCTGTGATTTAGAAGTGAGAACCAATCAGTATCTCTCCCACAGAGGCTTACCCAGTCCTCAGGCCCCCTGGTAAGCACTGAGCTCTGTGGTCTCCTTTCCTCCTCCTCCCTCAGCCACCATACTTAGCACCCAGTAGATGTCATGTCTCCCTACTCCCCACTGGCACTCAGCTAAACTCCACCGAGAATCCCAGAGCTAATGTTTCTCCAATGACATTTCACAGAATAAATATATATCAACCTATTATTATGTATCATGCATCATCTATCAATTTATCAATCTATCTATGCACAATCATGAATCACCGATCAATGTATCCATCCATCCATCCTTCACTGATCCATCCATCTATTCTTCCATCTCCCCACATATATGCATCTACTCATTTATCCATCTTATCTCACTCAGGATCCTTGTCCAAGAGTGTCTGTGTTGCACTCAGGAGAGCTCTCAGGGCAGATAGCTGGGAGGGGAAGGGTTGTACCCAGCCTTGATATCCCGAAGGATTGAGGCCCCTCACCCACTGCATAGTATGTCCCCTGACACCTGGCACATAAGCTCTAAGTGTCTGGCCCTGTGTTTCTCTTGGTCACCACCAGGCCTCCGCAAGGAGAGCCAGCTGTAGGTTCTGCTGTGGCAGATGGTCCCACAGTGAATTTAGCTGCAACACGAGGGCCAAGAGAATAGGAGACAGTGGACCTCCTTGTGGCCCCCTATCTGTGTTCCTGGACAGCACCCAGTGATGTCTTGGGTGTAGGCTCAAGCCCTCTGCCTGGTCTAGCTGTCAAAGCATGAAGGACCAGGCTGGCACGGTCATGGTGAGGCTCTTTCTTAGAGACCAGCCTGCCCTACGCAGCAGTGAGAACCTAACAAACTGTTCTTGGTCTACATTAGAGCACCTGCCATGTTGGAGGGCCAATTGTTCATGTTATGAACCAGTCATTTGGGGACCTAATTGTTTTGACCAAAAGACTGGCAAAAAGCTAGTAACTCATGCCACACTGAGATGTGAGATGTTCAGTAGGTGCTCCACCTGGGATAATTTGCACCCCATCCCACCACCTGAGCTACAAGTGGTTACAAGTGGAACCATACATAACCCTCAGCCCATACTCTCCTGTGCCCAGTACCATGGTGAACTCACCTCTCTGGTCTGTGTTCAGGTCCTCCACCTCCAGGGTCACTTGTGTTGGCTGCAGGTTCTGTTTCTGCAAGGCCAAGGGGCTTCTGTCATGCAGTGGGGCTACACCACACGATGCAGACAATGGTTTCAACCTTCATCTGTCCCCATGATCTGGCTCCTGCTGCCCTTCCCCTGGGTTCACTCAGAACTTTATTCTGCATCCCCCACTGACCAACTCATCCATTTCTCACATGTAATTTAGCGACTGCTACACATGAGGGGTTAAGAAAATAGCAGGAACATTATACAAAGTCAATTTTTTCTAGCTCCTAGGCACCCTTGCTCAGGTAGCTCCAGGCCATGTCTCCCTGGAGGGCTCCTTCCTCCTTCACCTGGGCTAGCACAGCTGTACCTGCTGGCTTGAACCATGGGTGTTACGTACATGACTATCCCACTGAGTGGCTTGTACCACTGGTAGAAGTGGTATAGTCACGCATGAACCACCCCATGGTTCAAGCTGCCCAGGAATTTTGGTCCTGTTGTGAACATGTTAACCACACATCCATGAACAAAAAGCAACTGCTATCTTAAGACACTGATTTAGGGGTTGTGTGTTATCCACATTGGCCCAGCAAAAACTGACCAACACAAACAGGTGTGTTCTATTTTCAAGCTCCAGTCCTGTAACTTGTTACAGCCCTCATCTTACAGCTTTGATAAGGGTAGGCTAGTGCTAAGCAGATGATTGCAGAAGAGGTACTACTAAAACTCAAGAGACTAGGTGTGAGTTCTTGCTTGGTCATGATGAGGGACAGTGTAGCATATGGTCTAGCATATGCTCTTGTTCGGATTCACATCCCAGAGCTGCCACTTATCTGACATGTGGAACTCAGTTTACTCATCTGTGAAATGGAGACGAGAATACTGACCTCACAGGCTCAGTGAGCTGCTGTCAGTTGGCATTTGTTGCTCACTATGGATACACTTGCATGGCTCACCGAGCAGCTTTGGTGTCCTCTGCGTTATCAGAAGCCCCAGCTAAAATGTTGTGGCCTTTTAGGCACTAAGGACCATCTTGCTTGGTCTATGTAACAGCTTCAAGCACAGACTCTGGAGCTGAACACACCTAAATAGCCACTGGGGACCTTGGGAAAATGGTTGACCTTGAGCAAGTGACCCCTTTCATTCTGCATCTGTCTGCTCATCTGCGGGAAGGCAGAATTCACTCATACACTTCACAGGGCGCCTCCAGGGACCCAGTGATGGATATCACAGAACTGCTGCATGCAGCCTCTGGCTTGCATTGGTGTCCTTGGCTCCTCTTGGGAACCATCTGCTTCCATCCAGCCCACAGAAGGGATGCTAGGGTGCTCGGGTCCCAGCAAGGGGACACTGGAGCCTTCTCCTGGGGCAGCAGGATGAGGTACAGAGAATCAGCAAGTCCCAGCCTGTACCTCCGTCTCCTCCACCTCCAGGCTGTCTGGCTGCCTCCAGAAGGGCCACCAGCGCCCCTTTCCTATGCAGCAGCTCCTGGTAGGAGCCCATCTCTGTGATGCCACCATCTTCCAGCACCATGACCTGATCAACATGGGGCAGGACGTGGAGTGCGTGGGTCACGAGGATCCGCGTCTGCATAGAGAGAGTCAGAAGTTACGCACATGTGCCTGGCCGGTCTTCTGAAGGCAAGGGCAGGAAAGAGCTATGTCCCTAGGCTCAGGGTGGGCAGAAATGGCTCTCTTGTGCTCCTCCCCACCCCTGCACTAGAAAACAGCAGAGAGAAACCGAGGAGTCTCTTAGCCATGTCTCCAAACAGGAGGGCACAGAGTTCATCTGAGTGACACAACTTGAGGCGGAGCTGGACAGGTGACTTTGTAGTTGCTGTGTGGGGACTGACCGGTAAGTTACAGACAGCACAGGTCAAGAAGGCATTGACTACACTGAACCTACTGAACGTCCTAGCTCAGCCACACAGCACATTACAGAGCCCTGGGTTTCCACTTAGGGACCTTGGGACTCACTGGCTGCCACTGCTCAGCGCCACGAGAGAGTATTAGTAGCCCAAGAAAAGGCTGAAATTCAAATGCATGATTTCTGCTAAATGTCTATCACTTTTACACCATCATAAAATTGAGGAATCCTAAGTAGTTTAACTATAGGCACTTAAACAACAAGTAAGTGCCTTTGCAAGCCACTGAGATTTGGAGACTGTTATGTAGTATTGTCACAGCAAAAGCTGACAAATATAAAGAAGACAACTAGATTCAAGAGGAGGATACTGAGATAGACCCGGGTAAGGACTAGATTCTAGGGGCTTCCTCTTCTCTTGTCCTGGACCCTCTGACAAACATTCTTGGACTCACTGTTCCTTGGAGCAGCCCCCTGGGCCCGATGACCTGGTGGAAGACATGCTGGCCAACGTGGGCATCTAGGGCTGCCAGAGGATCATCCAGCAGGTACACGGCAGCCTTCCTGTACACAGCCCGGGCCAGGCTCAGCCGCTGCTTCTGGCCCCCAGAGAGATTCATGCCCTGTGGCCACAGACAGGCACAAGAAGCATGGTCTATATTACATCTGCTGGGCGACAGTGGAATGACTAGGCCATACAGGCATGCCTGATCTCACTTGATCTGTCCTCTGGGCCATGGCCAGCTGTGGGCACCTGCTTCCACCCAGCATCCCTTAAGCCTCGCTGCTGTCTTCCAGCTGAGCTTCCTGGAGGACAGTCTTCACCCACGGTGTCTACTCTTTTTCTCCCATTCAATTCCCCATCTTTTCAGACTGTTTTCTCCAGGGACACAGTTTCCATGGAGGACTCCTCTCATTTCCCTGTTGCCTCATCTGGTGGTAGCTCTGTAGTCCTTGTTTTCATTCATTCATTCATTCATTCATTCATTCATTCATTCAGCTAATTCTTACTGCATGGATTCTGTGTACCCAGCAAGGTCCTAGGGCTCTGGGGACCCAGCAATAACCAGAGCTAAGTTCTTGCTCTTCTGTCTTTTATCCTAATGAGGGTAGGGATAGGGGACAATCTGTGACCACAAACAAGTAGAATGAACAGGGTACGGGATGTTGTCAAGGGCCATGAGGACCAGCAAGCAGGTACTTATAGGGTAGAGCGGCCTGAGCAGGGTCACAGTGCTGGGTGAGGCAGCCAGGGAAGTCTCAAGGTCACAGAAGTGAGGGGACAGCTTCCCAGCAGAGGGCGTAGCAGGCACATAGGGCCTGGCGTGGGAACGTATTTTGGGTATCAGGGAACATTGCCAGGATCCTTGTGGCTGGACAAAAGAAGGAAAGGAGAGAGTGATGGGAGATGAGGCAGAGAGAGAAGCAGGACTAGATGGCAGGGGATCTGGCCAGGGATGGTCAGGAGTTTGGCTCTAAGATTGTTTGAACAGAATGCTGCCGGCTGAGCAGCAGGATTGGGTGCAGGGGGTTGGGGACAGAAACACGGAGCCAGGGAGGATGCTCCTCCAGCGATGTGGTGGGGAGTGGGGACACTCCAGGTCTGCTCCTGAGGAGGACAACAGGCTTTGCAGATAGACTAGCAGTAGATGTGGGGGAAAGAGAATCAGAGACACACGAGGTGGGGGTCAGAGCCTTCAGGAGCAGGAGGCTCTGGAATATTGGGCACTTGGCCCAGGGTGTGACACAGCTGGGCAGATGTGGAGGCAGCTGGCAGCCCCCCCTTGGAACACTGTTCCATGGGCCTGCATTATGCCTTGCCCCGGCTCATACCCACCCTTGGTCACTTGTTTGGCTTGTCCTTGGCTGCAGTACTCAGTGAGCTCCCTCAGATCTTTGAACAATAAACCAGCCATGGACCAAAGGTAAATAAGTGCAACTCTGCCTCAATAACGCTTTAGTTACAAAGCCAGGCAGTGGGTCACATTTGGCCCATGGGACGCAGTGCCTCAATCCCCGGCCAGTCCACAGCTCTGGATGCCTATATTCTATTTATTGTACATCTCTGCCCAGAGCTTTTGCCAAGATCCATAGAGGAGAAGAAATCTGACCATCACACAGCAGGACAGAGCAGAGCAGAAATCTTGATCTTTGCCTTAGTTACTTTTCTTATTGCTAACACAAAATACCCAACACCCAAAGTTAAAGGACGAAAGGTTTATTTAGCTCACGGTTTGTAGAAATTTCAGTCCATAGTCAGCTGGCTCCAAAGCAGGGTGGCATGGCAGAGAGGCATCAAGGAGGAAAAACAGTCCATGGCAACGCAGGGCAGGCAGCAGGCAGCAGGCAGCAGGCGGCTAACAGCACAGCAGCACCTGCCATCTCTTTTATAACTTGCAGGCTACAGGCTCCCACTTTCTGGGTGGTGCCACCCGCACCCAGGGTGGCCTGTCCTAAATCCTGGCATCACATTAATCCTGCTGTCACACACCCTAGATCCTGTCACCTCTGAAAAGCTCCACCTATGACCACATGCAGTTTTGTGGGGACATCTAGACTCAAACCATAACAATCTTCTTACCGGTAGCTGTCAGAAAATGCCTCATTGCATATCCTGGTCACAACTCTCTGCTTTTCTCTTTGGCCCTATTTTCAATCATTGTTAATCAACAACTATTGGCCATCACTATGTCCGACCCTGAGCTGGGACCTTTTCTTTTACTTCCCTGTCCCTCTCTGTCACACTGTCCACAGGTCAGAGAAGCAAACCCCAACTGCAATGCCTCCTCACCCTGAGAAGCCTGAGGCACTTACCTGCTCCCCAGTTGGGGTGTGCATGCCTGCAGGAAAGCTTTCCACATCTGGCCCCAGAGCACAGGCCTGCAGCACTGTCTCCAACCAAGGCAGGTTCAGCTCTTGCTGGAAACACACGTTCTCCACCACCGACGTGTTCTGGACCCAGGCCTCCTGGGGCACGTAAGCCACTGAACCCTAAAACACAGCTCACTTTTGGAGACAGAGGTGGGAGTGATTCTGCAGAGTAGGGGGGCTAGGCTGGGGTAGAGGAGATGGAAGAGTTCTTAGCTGTGGAGAGAGGCATGGGAGGGAGTACGGAAGGGAGCCTTCAGGATGGGGACGTCTCGCAGGTGGGAGGGTGGTCTCACCTGCATGCTCACGGACCCTTCTAGCTTTGACAGTTCCCCGAGCAAGGCAGACAGCAGGGAAGATTTCCCTGCCCCTACTGGGCCCACAATAGCCAGAAGACAGCCCTGGGGCACAGTGAGGTTGATCCTAGAAACCGAGAGAGATGCAGCCCTGGTCAGGCCCAGCCTGTGTAAGAGCAGGACAGGCGAGCCCCAGACACAGCCAGTCTGTCCTGTTGGCCACTTCACCACCCCATCCTTTCCTGTCCTTGTCATTGTTCATGCCATGCACACACACACCTAACACGGTGTATATACACACAAATGTGCATGCTCACACACTTGTACAAGCACACATAGACACATGCATGCACATATATGTGTGCACACTCATAAGTATGCATGCATTCACAGAGCACACATGCACACACTTAACAAAGCATGCATACACAGCTGCCACACACATCAGTGCACATGTTAACATACATGCATACAATCCACACAGCTGACTGTACGCACACACGCACATAGGCTTGTATACACACATATGTACAGTCCATTTAGACCATGCATGTACATATACTGGCTATGCATAAACTCATGCACACATGCAACTGTGAAGACAACCTGCTGTCCTCTGTGCCTCTGCTCCTGTCCATTTCCTGTAGTCCACCCTCCACCTAGCAGCTGCAGGGACCTGTTAAGCCCCAACTCAGATCATAGCCCTTTCCAGCTAAAGCCTTTTGGCATTTCTACCTTGCTTGGTGTTGAAGCTAAAGTCTTAAAGACCACGAACACGTCCAGCCACCTGCTGCTCTGTCACCTCAGCCAGCTGGAGTGTAGGGAGGCATCTTCCTCTCACTGGGGAGGCTCAGACCCCCTGTTGCCCTATCCATGAAAACTTCCACTTTCCTGATTCTGCTAGGGCCAATGCACCTGGGCTGGAGACCTGAGCTGTGTCACAGGCGGGAAGTAGCAGGAGCCCCACACATTTTCTCTCACAGAGGTTAGGGTAGCTCCTAGGGGAGTCATTCCTACCTGTGCAGGCAGGGAGGGCTCTCCCGGGACCACGTGAAGGTGCCATCCTGTATGGTGATGCAGTCTTTCCCAGGCGCTGCAGGGCACGGAAGGCAGTCACAGAGCTGCTCCCACCTGCCTCATCTCCATCTGAGGGATCCACCCTACCCAAAAGTAGCAGGCTGTAGCTGAACCCTCCCAGGGAGCCATCTGCCCGCTGTGCCCAAGCTTGTGGGTGACCTTGCATTGGCCCCATTGTGTGCTGTGGCCATGTGGGTGGCAAACCACAGCCCAGGGACCAAATCGCATCTGCTATTTTATAAATTAATCTTTACTGAAACACAGTCATGCCTATTCATTTATATAAAAGGGTGACTGAAAAATATAAATGTTTAAATTTTTAAAAATTTATTACAGTAAAAGACATTGCCAGGAACAGTGGGCTAAGTGTGTTCAAAATGGAGTATTTTGAGAATTTTGAGGGCAATTAATGTAATGTACATTTCACTTGTAATACTTTTATTTAAACACTCATTGTATATTCGGATCAGTCATTGATCAAACAGTTACAGCAGTTTCTATCAGATGAAAACATTTCCATGTGTCCTACTGGATCAGGCACCCTGGGACTTCCAGCTCTTCCCCAGAGTCAAAATGACCACAAAAGGGAACACTTTGAACTGATTCAGGACATTGAGGCAGCCATTAAAGACACTCAGGACAGAAGGCCTCGGAAAGTGGCAAGAACAAGGAGATGAGTGTATTTGAAGCCAGGGGGAATTAATGGTACTGTGTCTGTCACTGTAATAAATTTCTAAAATGTAAACATTTGCCATATTTTTCATCCGTTTTTTAAAAACTCACTGTTCTCATGCTAAAATGGCAGAGTTGAGGGGGCATGGCAGAGACAGCAGGGCTGTGACCCTAAAATATGTACAATCTGGTGCTTTACAGAAAAAGCTGGTGGACTTGTGATGTAATTTACACCTGAGCCACGGCTGTGGCTGAGGAAGGAAGCATTGTTTACTTCACTGGGTGCCAGTGTGAGGTGGCACGGGTGGTTCGGTGTGTCTGGGTCTTGGATCTTAGCTGTGGAATGGAGAGGACAGAGATGACTGGTTCTCCACTCTGAACACTCGTGGAATCACCTGAGAAGATGTTCTAACACGACGAAGGTCTCTGAGGCTCAGCTCAAATCAATTAGATAGAGTCGGAGCACCTGTGGTTTTTAGTTATCTTAGTCATTTAGGGACCCATTGAAACAAATAGTCTCTAGGGAACATGTCAATAAAATGCAGGGTGCCCAGCTAAATTTGAAATTCAGATAAAAAGAGAAATGTCGGATAAATTTCTTTGGGTGTAAACATGCCACAAAAATGTAGCGGGACTTTCTTTAAAAAGAAAAAAAGTTCTGTTTATCTGAAATTCAAATGTAACTGGGCATTCTCTATCTTTGTTCATGATTCTAGAGACCATACTCTAGGGGCTTTGTCTTTTGTCTATAACCTGAAGTGTACGAATCCTTCTCCTGCTTGCTCTCTACTTATCCAGCTGTAAAATGGCAGGTCCTAGAAGCACTTCACCCACAGTGTTACTAAGGGGCAGGGCTCTCTTCCTTGCTTTTCTCCCCCCCCCCCTTTCTCCCTCCTTCCCTGTATTAAGGGTTGAACCTATGGCACTGTGCATGCTATTTTTATAAATAAAGTTTTATTGAGACACTGTTTTATCGAAACCACTAAGCTACATCCCCAGCCATTTTTATTTTGAGACAAGGTCTTGCTGTTTCCCAGGCTCACCTTGAAATTGTGAACTTAATACCTCCATCTCCTGAGCAGCTAGGATCACAGCTATGCACTATCGTGCTTGGCTGAGCTTATTTCTACACAGAGCACTTTATACTGCGCTGACACACAGTAAGCACCCACTCAACACTAGCACTGGGTGTCAGCGTTCATCTCACTCTTGTAAGTGTGCTTTTGGGAGAGTGAGGCTCTGGCCCCAAATAACCAGGTGTGTCAAACATGTGTCTAGGATAACCCTTGAGTCTCTGGTTGGGGACTTATATAACTCTCCAGAAGAGCTAATGGCACAGTTGTCACAGACCCCAAACTATTTACTGAGCAGCTCCTAAAAGCCAAGTGGTGCTCGTATAGCCATCAGGACAATCCTGGTGGTTGGAAATCTGAGACCAGGAGGGAAGAATTGCTGCCTGGGGCCCCAGCGGAGGGGTGGGCACAGATCTGAACCCAGAATCTGGGTCTGAACTCCTGAATCACATCAGTTAGGCTGAACAAATCAGATACAATTGGGTCAGGGCTTTGAGTCATTTTAGAAATGCCAATTTTGAGTTTCTTAGAGGGCTGTGTGCTATTTCCAGGTTTCCCCCCTCATAATTATACAATCACCAAAATACATAATAGCTGGCTTTGTGCTGGGCTCTAAGCCAGGGTACTATTTAATTAAACACACTCAGTTCACCCTCGCAGCCAGCCCAGGCAGCAGGTGTTATGATTCCTGCAGACAGAGGTCCCAACGTGTTAATAACTTGCCAAGGTCAGTGCCAGGCCCAGGATGTGGACCTGGATCGCCCATCCTCGTGGGCTGGGATTTTAACCGCTACACAGGTGTTTTCTAGATAAGCAGGTTGACCAGGTGCCCCAGTGACAGGTCTGCTTCCCACTGCAGCAGTGGCGGTTGCTGACCTACATGTGGAGGGGGGATGTGGAGCAGAATGGGGCTGCCCTGCTGACCAGCAGGTGGCAGAAGTCGCCTCACAGCATCTATAACTCTGATCCTGGTGGTTACTGAGAGACCTGCAGAAAAGCAACCCATGGTGCCTATTTCCAGTGGCACCGTCCTCCCATTGCCAGCAGCCCTCACTGTCTCCCCAGTGTGGCGCTGATCACTGTGGGGATCCCCCACCCTCAACCCCTGCTGCATGCAGCACTCACGGCATCTGGAGGGACTCAAGACCACGGCGCCAGGGTCAACTTCTTCCAGGTAGAGGAAGGCGGCCAAGCGGTCAAAGGACACCCGAGCCTGGGGAACAGAACTCCAGGTCACCACGCTGAAGAATGAAGAGCTCAGTCTTCCAGGCAGGTGGCTGAGCTTCCTGCCCACCCAGCCCGGTGGGTTTGCAAAGCATGGGGACAAAGCTGTCCAGCTCCTGGCAAACAGTGTGCCCCAAGCTATGACCACGACAGTAATGAGGGCCTTTCCTACCTCCTCGCTCCTAGCGAGAGAAACTAGAGCCAGCCATGGCACGACAATCAAACCAGAGAAGCAGTTGGTGGCTTCTTCAAGGATCTTCATCAAGCCACCTTGTGGAACAATTTCAAACTCTGTCCACATGGAGGTGCCATTGCAGCTCCTGGCCACAAATCCATTTATGAGGACTCAAAATGGGAACCATTAAAATACAGGGGCTCAGTAGTTATGCTCTGTTTCTCACTTCCAGCAAGCCCAAGGATGCACAACAGGAAAGGATAAGTGATTGCAAAGGCAGAGAAGTGGCCCTGTATAAAAAGGAAACTGAGCCAGGTGTGGTGGTATACATCTGTTTCTCCAGATACTTAGGAGGCTGAGGCAGGAGGATCACAAGCCAAGGCCAGCAAGATCCTATCTCAAAATACAATGAAAAAGGCTGGGACTACAGCTCGTTGGTACATGCCCCTAGATTCAAGCCCCAGTATCACAAAAGATTAAAATTTTTTAAGGGGGTAGGGTGGAATCTGGAAGAATTCTGGCTCATGGAATCACTGAGAGCCTGGAGGAAGTGTGCTGAGGGCCCAGGCCCCAGTGCCTGACCTGGACGACACAGTGGATGCTAAAGGGCAGGAAGGCCTGGGCCTTGTTGAGGATGCCGAGCACCGTGAGGGTCACGAAGGCCTTCTCCGCATCCATCGCATTCTCCTCAGCCACCAGTGTGTGGACAGCAAACACCACCAGCGCGACCTGGAGAGACACGAGGTGGGTGAGGAGACTGAGCCCGGCTGGGCAGCCTGGCATGCTGAGGGTACCCCGCCTTCAGCCCGTCCTCTGCAGGAGGACCACAGGGACATCACCAGGAACGTGGACACTTGGAAGGACACCAGAGACACGGAGAAAAGCAGGGTGGAGGTCCTCAGGGCACCCAGCTCCCGGCCCCGGATGTGCAGGACCCTCTCCAGGAAGGCTTCCTCCCAGCCGTGGGACTTGATGGTCCTCATGGTCCTGAGGATGAAGCCGGTGAGCCGCGCCCGGGAGTCCTTCTGCCTCATCTGCTCTTCCTGGGACCAGGCGGAAGGGGCAAGAGAGGGGCAAGTGGAGGGTTCCTGGTCCCTGGCACGCTGCGCCCTTGCAAACCCTGCTGGTTCTGCCTCCACCCCGTTTTCTGAACCCACCTGCTGCTTAGCGTGTCCTCCCCCGACCTGGCCCCGGCTCCGCTTCTCCCACACCTGGCTCCCACACTTGTGCCCACCCAGAGGAAGCCTCAAGGCCCAGGAACAGAGGCAGGGCCTCAGAGCCCACCCGGAAGTCCCCCTGGGGTGCGGGTGATGCCTGAGCTACAGTTTAAGGGGAGAAAGCCAGCACTAAGCAGAGCAGAGTGGAGGATGGAGCAGGAGGAGGGGAGGCATCCAAGACCCAGGCCGTGGTGTCAGTTACTGTGCTAACACAGTGTGTCGGGTTTGGGGGCGGGCTGGATCAGTGGGGACCTGAGGGTCAGGCAGGCAGGCTTGGGTCTCTGGTGCCACCACAGAGAGGCTATGTGGAAGGTGCTTGGAGATGCCATCCAAGCACCGCAGAGCCCAGGAGACCAGGTGGGGAGGGCTGGGCAGTGGGCAGGGAGGGGCCTCTCTCCATCCTCCTTCTTCCCCTCCCCCTCCTCCCAAGCACCTTCTCTATGCCACATACTAGTCCAGGGCCAAGTTAGCCTCGGAGACCCCTGGGGCAGGGAATACCCACTCTCATAAGGTGGGTATGCCTGCGGGTTGTCCAGGAGCAGGGTTACAGGAACATAAAAAACAGCCCAGACAAAGGAGATACGAGGTGGGGGAGGTACGCTGTAGGAGAGGACACAGGCGAGGCTGCAGTGAGGGTGGCCCGGGAGCAAAGCCTGGAGGTGGGGGCATCTGGCAGGTGTGAGGTCTGGGGACAGAGGGATAGAAAGAGGGAGAGGGCACAGGGCCAACCTACTGCATTTGGAGGTCTCTGCTGACCCTAAGGCCCACAGGCCCTCTGAGGGATGAGAAGAGGAGGGTGTGATTGTCACATGTCCCCTCTGACTGGTGAGCAGAAATGAGCCCAGAGGTGGGGGGTTGCACAGAAGTGGAGAGCCAGCCAGACCGGGAGGGGTCACATTCTGGGCAGGATGGAGCCACCACCCAGCAGACGGGAGCTCAGGCCTGAGTGATGAGCAGAGTTGCACCACGGTGATAACACCCCCCAGCACCCCAGTCTCTCCTAAGTCTGGCATCCACCTAGGCCCAGGGCCCACAGGTTCCTTCCTTCCTGCCTGGCCTGTCTCTGTCCCCAAATGCCAAACCTGATGGTGGGTCTTCTTCTTGGAGATGAAGAAATTCAGAGGGAGGAGGCCCAGGAAGACAGCGATGGCGGTGAAGGCAGATGGCCCGAGGAGCTGGGGACAAAGAAGCCAAGATACATGAGACCCCCAGGGCTTTGGCCAGACCGAGTCCCAGGCGCCTGATGAGGGCAGGCCAGGTCACCAAGATCAGGACTCATGGGACCCACAGAGGAGACAGCTGCTGAAGAAGGGGTGTGCCCACAGCAGGACTTCTGGGGGCTCATATGTGCAGATGGCTGAGGCGAGGGGCTCCCGCCTCAACGGTGACAGCAGGGCCCTGGGTTCAGTTCTGGTGCTGATACCCGAGAGGTGGCCCTGTGTAATTTCCCCACACTTTGTGAGCTGTGTGTAAAAGGGGAACAGTTCTTCCTGTCACCCAATGCAATGATTATTGTAGTCTGTGTGTCGCCCCTTAGGAGTCTTGGCACATTTAACAAATAACCATATACAAGTGAATTTCAGTTAAGAAGTTCTGTGAATGTTTTATGTACTCTATGTACTTGAGATGCTTATAGTGAGACTGTCTAGTTTGTCTAAAGTTCATGTTTAACTTTTTGGGTAGCAAACTCCCAAGAATGATCATTTCTAGACTAACCCTAACCCTAACCCAGTTTCCCCTCTCAGAACTTAAAACGGACCGTTTCTTTCATTTATGTGGCAATGGCGCCACCCAGCGGCTTCATGGGAAAATGTCCAGAAGGCAAACACCTGCCCTTAGCTGGGAATGATTGGAAAAAACAACACTGAAGACAAAACTTCCTGAACCAAATTGTGTCCTCTATCTGTAGCAACAGCCGTGGCTGTCCCTCCTTACCTAGGATTGCATGGCGACACTCAGATTTAGGACCTATGTGCTGCGGGAGGCCATGTGTGTGTGTACGCACAGACTACAGACATAGGCGGCTATCTTGAACTGTGACTCTCTCCCTCTCCCTCTCTTGCTCTTTCCTCAGTGCTGGGGATTGACATCCGCAGCCCTTTTCAAAAATGGGCATAATGTCTCACTAAATCGCCTCGGCTAGGCTCAACTCTCAATCCTTCCTCCTCCGTCTCCTGAGTGCCAGCCTGGCTTGAAATATTTTAAGCACCCATATGAATGACACAAGGCCTCATGTGATGGGTCACGATCAAAACACAGGAACACTAAAATATTTTATAAAATCACCTTCAAACCCTGTGTAAAGCCATACATAAAGCAGAAAATTTCATATTTAGATTGGGTCTTATCTCCTAGAGATATCATCGTTGTATGTGCAAATATTCTAACACCAGAAAGAAGCCAAAGTCTGAAACACTTCTGGTCCTGAGCACTCTGGATTAAGGACCTGCAGTCCGTGTCAGCCCATCTACCCCCTGGCACTCCCAGGGCAGGGAACGATCCTTCTTGAGATCTCTTTCTAGAAACGAGCAAACTCCACACTAAACAGCAATTTGTTCCCCATCAAAGTTGTCTTTGATTTTTTTGTTAACGACACTGATGCCCCAGCGTTAGTGTTTAATCTGCCTACTGGGTACCGTGGAACCTCCCTGAGAGGTACCAATGTCATGATTAACATCACCATTTTACAAAAGAGGAAACTGAGTCCCAAAGTCGGTATCCAGCTCCTGGTCACGCAAACACCTGCCTTGCACAAGGCTTTCAGGCCACATCTGCCCACCGTGTGGGAGGAAGAGGAGAAACGCGCTCAGCCCCCCACCTGCCACAGGTAGGCGAAGCAGACGACCATCCAGAGCAGCGGCAGCCAGAGCCCGTTGAGGTACAGCACGCTCTCGCTCAGCCTCTGCACGTCCACGGAGAGCAGGTTGACCACGTCCCCCACTGCGCTGCTCTTATGTGCGCCAGGGGACAGAACCAGGACCTGCGGGAGGGACGGGGGAGAGCTGAGGGGAGGGAGGGGCAGCGGCTTCTTTTTCCGGACTCCCCCCCCCCCCACACACACAGGAGACATGAGCTCCAGGCTGGCGGTCACAGGAGGAGAAAGGCCACCTCAAAGCAGCTCCAAGGGTTGGAGGGGTGAGGTTGGGAGCTCCCAGGGCCACATTACCCAGCCCCCACCAGCCACAAAGGAGGTGAGAGCGCCAGAGGCACAACCCCAAGTGAACCCTAATCCTCCCGGTGTCAACACAGCTGGGGATGTCTCCTTCCCGAGGTGCAGGGGCTCACCTTTCTGTACACCAGGCCAATGAGGGCTGAGCGCAGCCGCATCTGCAGCAGCTTGAGCCGGTACATGTGCTGCTGCTCAAACAGTGTCTGCAGGCCGGCCGAGAGCAGCAGCAGCAGCGCCAGCAGTGAGCCTTGCCAGGCGGGGGCCTGGAGGTCGCCCATGAACTCCAGGAACAGGCTTGGGGGAGACGGGGACAGCGGGTGAGGCCAGGGAGCAGGTGCTGCTGGGGCCCAGCCTGGCTGGAGTGGGACCTCTATGTGACCGCCACAGTAGGCCCTGCCAAGGTCCACTCTGCGGCTGCTCAGGTCACAGGGTGGAGTCTCGTCCCACCCTGGCAGGCTGAATGGTGTCCTCCTGCCCGTCCACCCCCCATGCAACTGACAGAGCCCTTAACTAGGCAGCCATCTTAAAGTGAGGCCAGCAGCTGGGCCCCATCTCAACCCACTGGGGTCCTCACCAGGGGACATTTGGACAGAGACACCGGGGGCTCCACATGTGCAGAGGAAGGGCTGCATGAGGACACAGCAGGAAGGGGCCTCTGTACCCCAAGGGATGAGGCCTTGGTCCAGATGTCCCTGCTGACCCCTTCACCTTGACTTCCAGCCTCATAACTAGGGGAAGATAAAGTTCCACTGTTCGCACCCAGTACCTCTGTGGCTCTCTGCTGTGGCAGTCTGAGTGGAATACTGCAGCCTGCTTTTTCCTTTTCTTTTTTTTTCCTGTACTAGGGATTGAACCCAGGGCCTCTGCACCAAGCTACAGTCCCCAGCCCTTTTTAATTTTTTATTTTTAGACAGGATCTTACTAAGTCACTAAATTCCCCAGGCTGGGGAATTCAAATCTGGGATCCTCCTGCCTCAGCCTCCCAGAGTGCCGGGATTCCAGGCATGTAATCCCACACCTGGATACTCTAGCCCTTGAATCTGGGTCAGCCATGGGACCAGCTGTGACCCACCACCATGGTGACAGTGAGACTTGCCAGTTCTAATTTGGGCCTCCAGAGAAAATATGGCTTTTGTTGTGTCTTCTAGAACCTTCTCAGCAGGGCTTTGGAGGATGGGAACTGTGTAGAACAGGGATTGGCCACCCGGCTACAACCACTTTGGCCACGCCAGTCACTGGCGGTCCTGTCCGTGGAAAGAGCTGCCCTGTGCCCCTGGTCATAACTGTTTTCCCACTTCATCCTAAGCGAACTGTTGCCTGGGACTTTAAACCCCTCACCTCTGGGGCCTTCTGTGTGTAGCACTAGCACACAGGCAGGCGACAGCTGCTGTCTGCCCTCGAGCTTGTCTTTTCTCTCTGCCTGACCCTCGGGGCCTGGGAGTGATGCACAGGCAGAGAGCTGCCTGGCCAGGGAACAGCGTAGGGGCCTCCAGCTCACCAGGGCCCAGGCTGGACCTACCTGAGGAGCTTGGGGACTGCGAATCTGAAGGCGTCGGCGATGATGAGGCTGAGGGTGCCCAAGAGGAAGGAGCAGCGGAACACCCTCCAGATGGCTCCGAGCAGCGGGCCCCTCGGGTGCCTTCTTTGTGGCAGGAGGGCCTCCAGCTCCTGGCCCGCCTGGTTCTCATGCTCCGAGCCTTTCAACCCCATGGTGCACCTGGGGAGAGGAGGGCCGCACTGTGGGGTCTGCTTTACTCCTCAGCAGGGGCAGGTGGGAAGGGTCAAAGGTTCTCTAGGTATAAGGAGCATGGCCTGTGGGTCCTGCCTGGCCCTCACTTGCTCTTCCTAACCACCCAGGGGACTCTAAGGAGCCAGTGAGCACCCATTTTATTCCAGGTACTGCTAGTCCTCCTAGAACCCTGCAAGCCATTTCACAGCTGGGGAAACTGAGGCTCAGAAGGGTGAATGTACCCAAGGGTAGACAGATGAGATGGAAAAGAACTAGGATGTGAGTGAGGTGTCGTGGGGCATGCCTGGAAGGCTTAGGCCGGAGGATCACAAGTTGGAGTCCCAACTGAGCCATTTAGCAAAAATAGGGCTGGGATGTAGTTTAGGATTAAGGCCCTGGGTTTGATCCCCAGTGCTGAAAAAATAAAAATAAAGAGCACTGGTGATGGTTTCAGTGCTCTGTCTCCAAAGCCTGCTGTGTATGGCGGGGCTCAGGCTGCCAGACTGACTTTCAGAGAGACCAGGCTTCTAGCGCTATTCGGGGATATTGCTAAGGGATCAGGGTTGGATAGGGATGAGAAGAGGAATAAAGATGTTGTATCCTTGTACCACCTCCTCATTCAGCCCCAGTAACGTGAACATTATGTGCTGCACATGTGTCCTAATAAAAGAATAAAAATAGGCAACTCATCACAAAACAAGCCAAACAACAATGGCAAAATACCATGTGGCCCAAACAGATCTTGGGAACTTGATTTGGCTGGCTTTTGTTCTCCCCGGGTGAGACCCTCTCCCTTTCCCCAGTGTTGCCAAATATTTCAGAAATAAAATTTCTCTCAAGTGTAGTCAGTTGGCTCAGAAAATGGCTTGTATAAGGTCGGGCATGGTGGCACACGCCTGTAATCCCAGTACTTGGGAGGCTGAGGCAGGAGGTCATTGCAAATTCAAGACCAGCCTGGGCTACAAAGTGAGCCCCAGGCCACCCTGAACAGCATGGCAAGACCCTGTCTCAAAAAGACCAATAAACAAATAAATAAAAAGAAAATAGAAAATGACTTGGATAGCCCTGCCTCTCCCCTTCCTGCTTGAGGTTACATCTTCTTCATCACATGAGCCTCCTGCCTGCCTCTTTGGCTGTCTGTCTGTCTACCTGCCTGCCTGTCTGTTATTTGTGCGATTCAGCCACACACCAAAAGCCACCTCAAAGCCCTAGAATTTGCAGGGGTACCTTTTGATCCTCCCTACAGAGCCAGTTTTGTTCCCTGAAAACCTGAGGTCCAGTCATGTTCAGTGCCTTGTGGAAAGTGACCAGGCTCGTGCTGGCAGGGCAGGATCTAGTACAGGGACATCTTTTTCTGTGTTGAAGACTCTTTTTCTTCCGGCTTCTTCAAGGCCCAAGGGCTCATGGAACTTTCTGGAGAGGCCGCCGTGGCCGAGTCCAGGTGGAGTGGACAATGCCAAAGAGCTTAAAATTCTCTGACTAACTAATCTTGCTTGAATTTCTGCTGTTTTTGAGGATTTGCTGTTTTCCAAAAATCATCTTTTAAAAAAATATCTCAATGGGCCTAGTGACGCCCCCTGCTCCTTTTTCTTGCACAGTGTTGGGGATGTAACCCAGGGCTTTGCACAAGCTGGGCAACACCACCACCGAACAGATGAGAAAATTGACCCCAGGAAACAAATTGTGTAATAAGTGAGCAGTGGTCTGCATGCTATGAGCCACAGCCCAGCTCTCTGACCCTATTTGTAGCCTAGGCATTGCTTCCTGCCTGCCATTCCACCATAACAGCTTTTTCTGTGGCCTTCCTGGAGCTCCCCGTTGTGAGTCTCCATTGGGGTGTCGGCTCTGGGGAGAGCTGTATAGGGAGCCTGATAGGCTCATGACTGGATGAGAAACATTTGATGAATTTGCTTTGCTAGCCATACCAGCTTGAAGTCCGCCACCCACTCACCCCTGGGCCACACCGTGGTTCCTCAACCACTCCCTTTCCAGCTGGGAAACAAGTTCCTCTGAGGTGTTTTCTCGCTCAAGGTTCCAGAGCTCTTCTGGTCTCAGAGACTTCCTGTAGCCCTTCCAGAGCAGTCTGTAAAAGAGAAACACCGGGGTGAGCTCCTCCTGTCATCTGCCCTGCAGGGGCACAACTGATGGCTGTGAGCCTGCAGAAGTCATTTTAGCTCTCTCTGCACCTCTGCTGGCTCCTGAGTCGGTGAGGGGAATGAACCTTAGCTCTGAACCTTACAGAGATGGTTTCGTCTGGTAGCTTAGCATTGGCTCATTTTATAGATGAGGAAGGAAACAGGCGGGAGAGAGTAAGCAACTTAACTAAGACAGGGAAGTGCTGGGTGCCAGCCAGGATGCCAGCCAGGATGCCAGCCTCTGCCTCTCTGGACCTGCCAGGTGCCCTTTTCTAGCACAGAGAAAACTCGGGAAAGCAACAGGTTTGGTCTGGAAATGATTAACATTGGTTTTTCTCTGAAATTATTTTTGGAGTTTTCTTCTAGGGCAAGTGATTTGATAACTTTTTCAAGCTTGGGTAGTAATAGGAAGATTCTTTTAAAAAAATTATTAAAGTAAAAAAATGAGTTGATTTAAAAGAAAAACATTACTGGGGTCGGGCTATGGCCCAATGGTGGGGGGAGAGAGAAGAAAAGAAATGAAAAAAGAAAGTTTGGGAAGCAGAGAGAAACACCCAAACAGAATCATCTAGAAAACTTCCATTCTCTTTCCGCCAATTCCACAAGTCCAGAAGCTCATGTCCGTCACTTATTTAACAACTCTTGTTTATCACACAATATACTAGGCCCTTTTGTAAGTCTTGCAAATTTCTCCACACAGCCCTTAGGTAGTTGCTACCTTTATTCTCATTTTACAGGTGTGGAGACTGAGGCACAGAGAAGTTAAGTAGCTTCCCCAAGGTCAAACTGCCAGGAGGTTGTGGATCCAGGATTCCACCTGGGTGGTCCCACAATACTGAGGTCGGACGTCACAGAGCAGGATTGGGAGAGGCCCTTCCTCAGTGCCACGTGTGGCTGGCGCCAGAGCCCTATTATCTCCATCAGCCTGGGACTCTCCAGGCACCAAAGACTTGGTCTTTTTGCATCTTGCACCTGGTGCTTAGCACACAGTAGGTGCTTACTGAATGTTGGTGAAGTGGCTGAAGATGAACAATAAATGTTACAGTGTAACAAAGTAACTGGGTACTCACTACACACAAACACTAGGTGCTAGGCAGGGTAGCCTGGCTGCTGTCTCAGCCCTGGGGTTGGGGGTGGGGTGATGCATCTGGGCACAAATAACTGTGGAGAGGTAGCAGACAGGGTGGGATTGGGGATCCACCCAGCCCCTTTTCTGCATTTGCTTACCTAGAAGCCCACCAGAACAAGACCTTGGAGGGGAAGGAGGCCCCAGCCTCTGGGCACGGATTCTGCAAACGACAAAGAATGGGGGTGGGGAAGACTCTGGTCTCACATCTGTGGTGAGCGGCTGACCAAGGTCAGGGACACAGGGGGAATTCTCCCAGAGGGGACCTCAGCAAGCTTGATGATTCCTGGTAGGCAAGACAAAAACAGCCTGGCCCACCAGGACTGAGCATGCTCACAAGGTAAGAATCAGAGTTTCTCACAAAAGCAGCTATTATTATGCTAAGACCAAGATGTTCTCCGTCAAGGACCCTGCAGGAGAAAGAGTCCTTGACTCAATGCCTGAGTGGATGCTATAAAGAGAAATCTGCCTGTCATTTTTGTCAACTGCTCTGGAAAGACCATATGATCTAATCTTTTCACTGGTAAAGCATGAAGGTGCCCGTTTCACCACATCTTTGCCATCACTGTTTGTTGTCAAGTTTTAACGTTTCTTCTTGCCACCTGATAGGAAGAACAAGTCCAGTTCTGGTTTTAAATAGATGTCTCAACATTTGAGTTGTTCTTGCAATTGTTGCTGTTATTATTGTTTTTGTTTTTGTTTTTGTTTTTTTGTACCGGGGATCGAACTCACAACCTCATACTTGCCAGGCAGGCACTTATGCCGCTGAGCTAAATCTCCAGCCAACTGTTATTATTGTTTTCAGTACTGGCAATTGAACCCAGGACTTTTTTACTGAGCTACATCCCCAGCCCTTTATAAAATTTTTGTATTTTGAAACAGAGTCTTGCTGAGCTGCCCAAGTTGCACTCAAACTTGCAATCCTCCTGCCTCAGCCTCCCACAGTGCTGGGATTACAGGTGTGTATCACCCAGCATGGCTCATTTGAGTATTTTCAAAGACAATGTAGATCAGTATCTTCCCCCAGATAATTCTTTCCTGATTTCACAGGCTACTACAGAGTTACTTGATGAAAATTCTCACGAAGCCTATATTTCTGCAAAGCACAAATACAGGCATTATTTTCCACACATTTGTGTAATGTATGACTTCCTTAATAGCAGTCTCCCTACGTGACTGGGAACTGGTAAGTACAGGGACCATCTCTGCTGTCACCACAGATCCTCAGCATCCAGCTGAAACACAGGGTGGGGGTGGCAAACTACAGTCCACGCCAAACCTGGCTCACTTCTTGTTTCTATAAATAACAGTTTTACCAAGCACAGCCCTGGTCATTTGGTGCCCACTGCCTTTGCAGCTCGTGCACCATGATGGTAGAGTTGAAGTAAATTGGTCCCGTGGCTCACAATGCTTACAAGATTTCTGTCACATTCCAAACAGAAAGCCACACAGGCAACGAATCAATGTGCAGATTTGCATTTTGCTACATGGCAGGGTAAACAGACAATGAAAGGCCCGTTGACTCCCTCGTTTAGCTTGCTTTGGTCGTGCGTGGAAGTGGATGCAGGGACAAAGGAGGCACTGGGGTGGGACCCGGTGACTTACAGACTGCTGGGGGCCGTTTTGGAAGAAGGGGGGCTGATCCACCAGGCAGGACAGCACAAACTCAGCCATGACCAGAGACAAACACAGGTAAGTGGACAGGTGGTGCAGGGGGTCACTCTGGAAGTCCTGCAGAAGAGAAAGCAGAAGCCACACTGAGTCTGACCTGGGGAGGAGGTGAGGTGGCAGAAGGTACCTGCCGTGGGGGAAGGTCGAGGCTGGACAGCATTCCCATGCCAGGAGCAGCATCCAGACGGGATCAAGGCCACAGAATCCACAGATTTCCAGACCAGGGCTCTGGAAACCCAGAGCCTCCAGCATCCCTGGTGGTTCCAATTTGACTCCGTGCGAACAAGTGGGAATCAAGGCCGTGCCAGTGTACACTAGTCTCAGTGCTGCAATGATGAAATCCAGGGACACTGGGACTTTTTCCTTGTGCCAAAAGGAAATCATCTCTCCATCTCTGTCCCCCATCCTTATCTCCTGTCCCTTTCTCTCACGGCCAGGCTCCCCTGGTTGATGGAGAAGGGCGCTGGTTTTACTGTGCATCTATTGTACCTTGGACACACACCCTTCCCCATGCTGACTCCAGGGGGTTAGCTTGCTTCGTTTCACGCCTGGGTAAACCAAGGCTCAGAGAAGCCATGGCACTGGCTCCGGGGCACATGGCCTGTCTGATTCAAATGGGAGCTTTGGCTGCCATGTGCTGTGATTGCTGGCATGCTCCTGTCCCCTCTTCTGGTTACAGCACCCCATTATTCTTTCCCTTATGCTTAGGCACATGGTTTGTACAGAACTTGCTCCACTCTAAGGTCAGCGGGAAACTGAGACCCGGCGATGAGTACCGTCCAGGTCCTGGGAATCGTTAGGAAGGAACACAGGATTCATGCTGGGCCAATGAGGGCCGAATCCACTGGGAGAGTCCCAAGGTTGTTGTATTGGCAGACTGCAAGCCTGGAGCTTCTGGGGTCCTTCCTGTAGACTCCCTGAGTGTGCAGCCAAGGGGCAGAGAGAGGACATCTGGTGGTATTATTATCTTGCCTGGGAGCTCATAGATATGAGCTAATGAAGTCACAAACTAATACAATCCCTCTGAAGTCTGTGCTAGTGTGAATTGGGCTTACATTGCTTAAAATAAGAGCCCTCATTTCAAACCAGAATTCCTGCATGCATTGCACACTCTTCTGGACTATTTTTCAATAGACAGCAAGTTTGTACCCTACCTTCCCCATTCTACCGATATTTTGATATTGGAAAGTTTGTTCTGAATACAGGTCAGATAAACTTGGCCCTTGTACTCTGAATGTGTGTGGCCCTGAAAAAATCATATCCTTCTCTCAGCCTCTGTCATCATCTACAGTAGGTTCATAGCTAGGCATGGTGGTGCATGCCTTTAATCCCAGCACTGGGGAGGCTGAGGCAAGAGGATTTCTGGGAGTTCAAGGCCAGCCAGGGCTGCATGGCAAGTTCAAAACTATAAGCAAGACTCTGACTCAAAAAAAAAAAAAAAGAAATAATAATAATAATAAATGGGACTATTAGACTACCACAGAACACTAATATGGTCCCAATGAGAATGTGAGCATGAATGCTTACCATAGAGTGTGCCAGGGCTGGAGTCCCAGCCATTTCTGCATTATTACCCAAGCAGCCAATCTAGAAGTCAACCATAGGACCCACCCTTGATGGATAGCTGATGGGGTTTCTGGCTCCCCCATTAATTAGAACAGGTTACTCTTTTTAAAAAATCAGTTCTTAGGCTAGGGTGTGGTCCAGTGTTAGAGTACTTGGACAGCACGTTCAAGGCCCTGGGTTCCATCCCCAGCACCACAAAAAAAGTACAACACAAAGATCTGTCCTGAAGGCCAAGATGCTATTCCTCTACTTTCTCCTTTGAGAGCAGGACAGGGAAACCACTGGGCACAAGAAATGATGGTTCATAACCTCCTGCAGGCCGATCGCTGGTTTCCAGGTGGTTCCTCCTACCCATGGCAAGCGATTCTCAGTGGGGGTGATGGTGCCCCTGGAGGACGTTCGAAACATCTAGAGACATTCTGGGATCTACTACATGGGTGGGGCTGTGAGATCGGTCCCCAGTGGGTAAAAGCCAGGTGCTCTGTTCTGTACCCCACAGTGAAGAGCACAGCCTCTCTCCCAATGGGGAGTTCTCCAGCCATGATGTCCACAATGCTGAGCTTGTGAAAGCCAAGTCTAGGAAGGCTGGGGAGGCAGCTCCGGGGTCGAGTGCTTGCCTACATTCGCCCAGCCCTGCCTTTAATCCCCAGAACTGCTAAAAGAAAACAGCTCTAAAGAAAACCCGACTCAAATAGTATTTTTGTTCTTTTTACAAATAAAATGATGCACTGTGTCACCTAATATGGAACTATTGCTTCCTGAATTGGGAAAGTGAAATAAAAGTGGCTTTGCAAAACGAGTGTGTAAATAAAGATGCATGAGAACGTGGGGGAGTATGCACAGGTAAGGACTGGGGGAAATGTGCCGGTCTATAAGGAAGAGCATTTGTGTGTGTGTTCGGGTGGTGCATGCGTGCTTGCCTGTGCTTGTGTGAGGCATGAACAGGAGCAAAGTGCATGTGTGGCGTGCAAATGGAGTATGTAATGTGGGTGTGTAAGACAGTGGAAATTTGTATTGATAAAGATCTGGGTGACAGTATGAATGACCTTGGAGATGATTATATAAAGTGAAATGAATCAGGCACAGAAAGACAAGTGCTGTGTGATCTCACCATATGTGGAATGTAAGGTTGACACTAGAATGGGGATTACCAAGGGCTAAAGAAGGGGGCGGGAGGAAGCAGAGGGCAGAGCTGTCAGCAGGTACAATTAGGAAGAACCCTGCTAGCAGGGAGACTATAATTAACAATATTGTACAGAATATTTCAACACAGGGAGAAGGCTCTGTAAACTCGCCAACTAGAAAAGATGAACATGTGAGGTGATGCATGTTCTAAATACCCTGCGCTGATTATTGCACAATGTATGTATGCATTGAAATATCAGCTGTGGAGGGAGGGTCACAAGTCTGAGGCTCTCTAAGCAACTTAGCAAGACCATGTTTCAAATTTTCAAGGGCTGGGGATGTAGCTCAGTGGTAAAGCACTCGTCTAGCATATATGAGAGCCTGGATTCAATTCCTGTCTTGTGAAAGAAAGAAAAAACACAAAACAATCATACAGTGCCCCATAAATATCTACAATATTGTGAGTCATTTTAAAATAAAAAAATGGATGAGCTCATGGGCACTTCAATGTAAGGGTGTGCTTGTGTGTCTTCAGCGTTAAAGTGACTGGGGTGTATATCTCCATGTGGAGTAGAACTCCTGTGTGGAAAGGGGAGGAGGAAGAAAGGGAGCCTGGTTTCCTTCTCCAGGTGGCCCAGGCCTCCACTTACCCCACTCGAGGCTTGCTGGACAGCACTGATAGCTGGCAAGAGACAGCAGAGGAGCCAGTACCCAAACAGCACCCCGGATGCCCGGACGCCCTTCTTCCTCTCCACATGGACCAGGAACATGGCAAAGCTCTGGGCAAGAAAGTTCAGATGGGCCTGAGAGGGTTGGGAGTGGAGGGCACGAAGGGACGTCTCCACTTTTCCCAAGCTCCCCACCCATGCTGGAAAAGCAGCAGCCGGTACAACCAAAGAGGTCATTACCATGGTGGTGAGCCACACTGTAGGATGAATAAGGACTTCCGGGGTCTGTGATTGCCCCTGCTGGATTCTCCACAGAGGAACGGCCACATTGAAGGTACACAGGAGGATAAGGGCGAGCCCCAGCACCTGGGGAAACAGCTCAGATAAGGCTGTGTGTGGGTAAAACGGAAGGTAGTAGCAAATTGGAGGTGATCTCAGTCCCACTGGGCAGTGGTTCTGCAGAATCCCCAGTGGGGCCCAGTGATGAGCCTATGCCAGAATGTTATCAGTGTGTCAACATGAAGAATGCAGGAGGCACCACACTGCAGAGCAACCTGACTGTAACTGCCATATAAAGAATGCAGAGCAGAATGAAGCTAGTGGGTCTCCACTCCTGCACATGCGCCATGACTTCATGTAGGAAGAAGATAGGGTGTAAAGGGAAGTTTACTAGCAGGCGTTTGCAGTCTCTGCTGTTAGGGACCAGAGAAGTCTTGCATGGCGCCAGTAAGTTTCTAGGTCCCTCTACCATATACTCTTCCCTTTTTGAATAAAATAAAATGAAAAGGGGAAAACATGTATATGCACACACTGGAGAGAAGGCAGCCCGGAATTACCAAAGTAGCCAGCTAGCAGGAGGCAGGTTTGGCAAACCCCATCTCGGGGCAGTTGAGTTGGGCTGGTCATGTGCTTTGAAATGGCTTGTGAGCTAAGAAAGGATTTTGTATTCTTTGTATCATGAAAAATAATTTTTAAAAAATGTAAAAATCACAAGTCACAAGGAGAAATTAGATGAAATTCACAATTTAGTGGCTATGAAGTTTCACTGAAACATAGTTGCAGGTATTTATCTACAACTTCTATGGCTGTTTTCACAATGTATTAGCAGAACTGAGCTTTGGAAGGGAGGAGGCTGTGTGGTCTTCGCTCTGGCCCTTTCAGCTTGCTAATCTCTGGGCAGACAGCAGGCAATGGAGCTAGACTTAACAAGGAGGTATGGGAAGGAATGAACTTTGAAGAACATTTCTATACCAGTTTGGAGGACAAGACGAATGAACAGAAGGGCTTGCAACTGGAAAGGTAGTGTTTATCTAACACTAAAATAAACACACAAAAGTTTTAAAAAACTGTTCAGCAGGTTTGCCAATGAGGGAAACATAAATGCAAAACTGGGCCAGGACTATAGATCAGTGGTAACAGTGTGTGGTTCACATTTGCAAACCCCTGACCCTGAAAATAAAATAACATAAAATGAAAGTGTAACTTTTAAAATTTAAAAAGTCCATCTTGGGGCTGGGTATTTAGTTCAGCGGCATAAGCGCCTGCCTTGCAAGTAGGCAGTCATGAGTTCGATCCCCGGTACCGATAAAAAAGAAAAAGACAAAAAAAAAAAAAAAAAAAAAAAAAAAAGTCCATCCTAATGCGGCCCTAAGATCACCTTATGTATCCCAAATGTACCCATGTCACAGTGGAAAATGGCAGATTGTGGTAGCTTTTGCCATCCAAGAACATGTGTGTGTCTGTTGTCTGCGTATGGATTTTCATAATTATGAAATCTGCTCAAGGGAACTTTGTTCCACTTAGTTTATCTCTGTTGCCTCTTTAGTATCGATCTGTTTGATTAGCAGATTTCCCTCTTGTCAGTAGCCTGTCAGTAGCCAGGCTACTTCCCAAGGGAGGAGTATTCATTTTGGAATGTCTGCCAGGCTCCACCCTCCCCTCTCCCCATTATCTGGCTCCAGTCCCCCAGGGGCAATGGCTACCATTTTGGCTTTGAAGAGGGGGGACATCCGGAGGTAGCCCTGGCCATGGTGGTGGATGTAGAGGAGGTAGAAGGGGCCGAGGACCCAGAGGTACAGAGGGGGCAGCCAAACCCCTGCTGCTCTCAGGAAGCACAGGCTCAGCAGGTGATTGACAGCAGGTTCTGGCTCACTCTGGTTCCACACCTGAAAAGACACCAGGTGGGAGGGGCTTAGCATGGTACAACACCAAGGTCCCAATCTCACCTGCCCACAGGGTCGGGCAGTTTGGGATCCTTAACAATCACATACACATATTCCAAGCCCTTTCTGGAATAACTTTTAATTCTCAACTCTTTTCACCCTAACATCATCAGCTCTACAAACTAGATGTAATCAATCACCCTGCTGATCTAGCAGATGAGGAATCTGAGACCCAGAGAGTTTGAGTAACCGGCTGGTGCTTCACAAGTGGGAAGTGGTGGGACTGGGATTTGAACCCAGGGAGTTGGGTCCTGGAGTAGAGGAAATCTGGGCTTCATAATGAGTGCTAGGCACAGCCTGTCTCTCCTGGTAAAAATTCTAGGAAGCAGATGTGACTGTCTCCATATCACCACCAGGAGACAAGAGTCACCAAGAGGTAAGCAAGCTGCTTCCTTCCAGTCCACACAAACAGAAACTCCAGACTGAAAAGAGCACCACTGCCACAAAGCTTGTCCTACTGGGTCTCTTAGTCTTTTTAGAAAACCCTGTACTGGAGACTGAACACAGGCCCTTCAGAGTGAGACAATAAGGTACACATCAACTCTTTTAAACCTTTTGAAAATTTTGAGACAGGACCTTGTTAAGTTTCCCAAGCTGGACTTTTTTTGATCCTCCTGCCTCAGCCTCCCAGAGTACTGGGATCACAGGTATGTACCACCATGCCTGGCTTGATCTGTGATGTTTATCTGGATTCTTCTGCTGGCCCTCTCCTCATGGACAAGAAATTTGTGACGTTTAGAGGGCACGGCTGCATCAGCCCTCTGCTCCCTCTCCTTCACCCCTCCGTGCTTATCTTTTAAGTTCTAGCTTCTCCACTCACCAGCTAGGGCATGCAAACCATCCTGGGCCTTGGCTTCCTTCCCTGTAAAGGGGACAGGCCTTTTTCTCTAAGGGTGGTGTTGCCGGGCCTAAAAGCAGTAAATCGCAAGGCACAGCGCAGGCACAGGGTCAGCGTGAGTTCCTCTGCCCGCTCAGCCTGGGGAAGTCCACTCCCCGCTGCGCTTTCTGGGACACAATCCGGGATTCGGGAGGAAGCCAGGGAGACAGGGGATCCAGGAGACCGGAAGGGGCTCTCTGAGGGTGGGCCGGGTTTGGGCAGGGTCCACTAGCTTTATAAAGATAAGGACCAACGTCCCCAGTAGGTGGGAGGTCTGGAGACCCCTGAAAAGTCCTGGGCTCTGCAGGTCACAAGACACGGATGCTCGGACGGTACCTGCACAGTAGAGGACCAGAGTCTGCGGAGGGGGTCCCTGCATTCCCCAGGTTTGCAGTCCGAGCTATCTACTACTGCGTGAGCAGGGGAGAGTCAGGGGAGGGCGAGCGCGGGACTGAACTCACCCCGGGCCCGGCGCAGGGCTCACCCGGTGCGGCCATCTGCACCGCGCGTGGGTCCCAGCGCTGTCACTCTTTCGTCCGTCCTCGCCGCCTCCCAGGCTCGCTCTCCGGGCGCTGGGGGCGGGTCTGGGAAGGACTGGAGCTCTGATGGCTAGGCCCGGGGCAAAGGTCTGGCAGCGCCTAGGGAGAGGGACGGCCCAGGCCTGCTCTTGGAGAGGCACCCCGAACCCCTGAAGGTGCAGCGACAGCCTGTACTCTCCTCAGCTCCCAGCAACAAGGCCCACCCCAACAGTCCCAAGCCCTTTGGACTCAGCAATGCCTGGAGTTTATCCTGGTGGAAGAACCGAGGTCTTGCATGCTGTTTTCACTGGAGATGTGAGGGCAGCCAAAGTGTCCAGTCACGGGGTAGGCACAGTCTGCGGAAAAAATTTAGGAAGATTCTTAGTAAAGAATTTAGTACAGTGCTGGACAAACAGTAAATGCTAAATATGTTAGGTTTGCTTTTTATCTTTCAGACAGGAGTCTTGCTAGTTGTCCAGACTAGTCTCAAACTCCTGGGCTCAGGGAATCCTCAAATCAGACTTCAAAGTAGGAGGGAACTACACATTAGATATTATTTAGCATTGGTATCATCTTTTAGTCCACAGTTTACTAAGCAGTGGCTTAAAATGCCATTGCAGAAATATATTAATATGAGAGGTGGTTGCTAAACATTGCGAACAGATGATAGTACAAAATAGATGCGATGATTTGGAAAAAAAGAAGGGAGAAGGATGTGCCTAAATTGGGGAAAGTGGAAGACAAAGTAATTTTTTCCCAGAGGGTTTGTTTTCCTTGTGCTGGGAATTGAACCCAGGGTCTTCACACTGAGCTACATCTCAAGCTATTTTTAAATTTCAAGACAGGGTCTGGCTAAATTGCTCAGGCTGGGCTCAAACTTGCTATCCCGCTCCAGCCTTCCAGAGTGCTGGTGTAGGGAAAGCTGGGAGACAGGCAGGGAAGGGGAAAGGTCTTAGCGAGGGTTCTGGCAAATCTTGACTGGAAAGAGTTAAGCCTCTGCTAGAGAGCAATAAAGAGAATCAGAGAATTGGGGAGAAATGATAAGCAGTTGGCTTTAGTTGCCAGGGACTCAATTAGGTTGCCAGGTCCCCAGTTTGCTCCTCTCCACCTCCAATTAAGTTCAGAAGAGATAACGTAGGAAAGGGGCTCTATCGTAGAAAATTCACTGTGTATGTACAGTAAAATATATACTCACATCTGCATGCCCACTTACTTACATAGAAATATAGATGTATATAGATGTACACAGAAATACATTTATATATTTTATTATTCTCTCACTATGTTAATGCACTAAAATATACCTATATCCCTTTACTATTTGCTACCTCAGCCTTGAATATAAGACTCTGCTGTAAATCTCAAAGGTATCACTTGACATAACAAAGAAGAGCAAAGCTTACCCAAGAATTTGCAGGTGGGCAGTGTGCAGGGACAGTTGCCGAATCAGAGGTCTCAGAGCCTAAAACAGAGCAGCAAGCTGTAACAACTCTCAAAGGGAAGAGTGCCTGTCTTGCCGTATAGTAAAAGAGGCCAGGAATAAACACCCGTAAGCACTGGCTCCAGGCTCCCTACAAGGTAGCTATCTTATTTCTCTCTTCTTTTTAATAAAGTGCTTTTGTTTCTCCTTCTAAACTTACATCTCTATCTCTTTTATCGATGTGAAGGTTATGGACCCCAGATAAAATCTACCTGCACGAGATGGGGTAACACATGCACCACTGTGTCTGACTGTTGAGTATTTTAAAACCAGATGTGTAGCTGGTGGCAATTTGAAGCTATGGGTTCTTTTCGAAAAGACTTGGTGTATTATTGTAATATAAGCATAAGCCAAACATAGGAAGGCACTAATGCAGGAATCATGGATACTACTTTTGCTTTTTTTTTTTCTTGTTCTTTATTAGAGGGCAACAAACATGTATTTAAGATATGACTGAAAAACTGAACTGTTTCCCGAATATAAGCCTTGACATTCTGTACGGGTGTAGAATAAAATCTTGCTCTGTCTATCCTGCTTTTTCTAGGGCCAGGAAGTCACAGGTAGAAACAAAGAATAAAATAGGATCTCACTAAGCTTTATTAAAGTACTTAATAGGAAATCTTACTAAAGGCAGCTTTTTGCTTCTGCTCTCAGACTCCAGTAATGAGAAAGACGAAGGAAAGAGAGAGAGGGAAACCAGATCTGGGACGGCATCATGTAACAAAACTGACAAGAATTTAGTGAGAAGAGTCCACAGGCAAAATGGGGATGCAGCCAGGAACGTGACAGGTTAGGGTAACTAGTGCCCAAGCCCCTCAACCCCACCCCTGTTAAAATGAAAAGGAGATAGAAAACAGCCATGTAAGACTCTTATTTAATGTATAAAGCGCACATTTCTCCTTTACTTAATCATTAACCTGTCTCATTTACTGACCACTAATCCTTATCTTTCTGTAAGGCACCCCACACTGCATCCATCACAAAGGGACAGGAAGAAATCAGAGGGCCAGAAAAAAATGCAGAGAGAAGTGCTCAGGTTAGGATTAAACACAGCTAGGGAACCAGTCTCAAGTGGCAACTTTCAGGTACCCACATAGGGGGTGTGGAAATCACCTGTCTTAAAATAAAAAGGAGCTGAGGATAAAAATACACAGGTATTCACTTCTGATGCCCCCACTCTTCCAAAGTAGCTATCTTATTTTCATCCTATCTTTTTTTATTATTATTATTGATATGGGGATCGAACTCACGACTACACTCTTGCAAGGCAGGTGCTTATGCCACTGAGCTAAATCCCCAGCCCCCAACCCCACTTTTTAAAAAAAATACATTCTTTTCTTTTATATTAAACTCTGCCTCTTTAATTCATTACCGAAGATGAGAGTTTATGGTCCCAGTAGGATCCCACTAGCTGCATGTTCCAACAGAGCAGTGGTGTGGCATGGGCATGGTGTACACCCCTCCCTATACATGAGATTTCTCCACATCTTGTCCTCCTCTTTTCCTCCAGCCTTACCTCTCACAGGGCCTCCTCCCTGAAACTTGTCCCCACCTTTTTGTACTGGGGATTGAACTCAGTGCTAAGATACACCCTCAGGTTTCTGCCCTTACCCCCTAATTTGAGACAGTTGCTCACATGGAACTTGAACTTGTGATCCTTCTGCATCATCATGCCTGGCTTGTCCAATGTCATGGTTTATGTGGTTGGCCCCCAGGCTTCATGCATTTGCATTATGCATTTGTGATATGTTTATTGTCTAGTGCTTGGATTGGGGGTGTGAGTATTACACTGGCCTAGGGGTGGAGCCAGGATGTAATGTAATGACAGAAAGCCAGAAATGTGGGTGACCCAAGGAAAGCTGCAAAAAGTGAGCAGAGAGGATTTAAGAGAAAAGCTGCGGGAGCTGAAATCCCTGAAAGTGCCATGGGGGTGGAATCACCCAAGCCTTTTGGAGCTTGCAACCAGATTGCTTCAGATATTGAGCATAAAACTCTAGGACTTAATGTTTGTCCTGCTGTATGTTGGACTTGCTTTGTTTCCAATGCTTTATATTCCCCTGATTGTAACTTTTGGAATGGTAATGTTTATCTTGTGCTTTTGCATTCGAGAAATGTTTAACCTTTGTTTCATTTTTACAGGGGGTTACAGTTAAAAGATTGCCAGAGATCTTGGAGGAGACTTGGGACTTGGACTTTTCAGCAGTGCTGAAACTAAGGACTTTGGCAACTCTCGGAGACAGACTAAATATTTTTTTTGTATAAAAGATGTACATGAATCCTGGGGGCCAGGGGTGGAATGTCATGGTTTATATGGGTGGCCCCCAGGCCTCATGCATTTGCATTATGCATTTGTGATTGGTTCATTGTCTAGTGCTTGGGTTGGGGGTGTGAGTGCTACACTGGCCTAGGGGTGGAGCCAGGATGTAATGTAACGGCAGAAAAAAGGTGTGTCTCTCTCTTTTGCTGGTTTCTTCTTTGCTGTTTGCAGCTGCCATGAACTGTGGCCCAGGGTGTGGCCCTCCCTGCCTCGGAGCCAACTGAGTATGGACTAAAACCTCCAAAAACTGTAAGAAATAAACCTTTCCTTTCCCACTTTGTGCATCAGGTATTTTGTCTCAGCAACGAGTAAAAAGTAACTAAGACACCCATCTTTTTGAGTCTCTTCAGCCTAACACAAGGTCTTGGTCCCCTTCAACTGTTCTCCTGCCCCTGTCTTTTGGAAGAGGAGACACAAAGTGCCAGGATTTGTCTTGAAGCTGAGTGTGGCAGGTGATAAGATTATATAGTGCATCCAAAAGATGAGAAGTATAAAACAAAAGAGGTCTTTATTCTGAGACCTTGGAGAGAGAAAACAAAAACCCCCCTGACCACTGGAGTCTGGCTTTCTCTCTGGTGGACACGTGGCGTGGGGGCATATAAGTAACCTAGGTTTGGGGTGGAACCTAAGGGGGCATTAGGGATGCACAGGTAGCCCATTGGTTTTTGTTTGGAGCCATAGGTAAATTCCTAGGGAAGGGGAAGATGGAGTCATAGGTAAATTCCTAGGGGTGGGGGAGATAGGAGCTCCTTGGTTCCGCCTCTAAGGCTTCACAAGCTACAGTGTCCTGACTGGGCCAAAACTCTTTCAGCAGGTCTGCTGTTTACATGAACACTTTGTCTGTTACTTGAAGTGGTTTTGGTGGAGCAATAGAAACTATGGGGAAAGTGGAACCCTTCTCTTTCTGTAAGCTACTTCCTTTTCACTGACAGTGCCACCTTCCTGGGGCTTTATTTCTTTGTATGGTTGAAAATCAATTTGAAGAACTGGTTCAGAAATCAGAAGAACATAGAGAAAATCAATTGGGGTGAACAAAAATCAGGATTTAGGCATCCAAATCCCTATTTCCTAGCTCTTGGAATGCCTATGACTATATATAGAGTTCTAGATGAATCTTTCCCCCTTTCTGGTTTCTGCTTCCGATTTCATAAAATGAGAAACTATTACAGACTGTGAGGCTCCAACAGACCTGACTGTTCCAGCCCCAAGCCAGATTGCCAGCAGACGCACTGCTCTCTGCAAGGAACTCGGCTCAGGCTGTCGTCAGCAAACATAGGAAGTTGTAGAGGAGATAAGATGGGACAAGGAAAGAGAACAATTATGGCAGCCATTGTTGATTTTCCTATTTTCTGATTTTGAACACCTGTAATGTCTTCATTACTCTGTTTTGATCAGCTTTATACTATTTTGTTTTGTATGAA